ATACTCAGTGACCCACGTACAGACGTTTTCTGATTCACGACATACCGTGTATGGAGGCTCACCCACGTTCCGCCAGAACGTGGGTGAAAATCAGAATGGAGCGCATTGTGCGAGCTGTGAGGGTGCTCAGCTGAAGAAGTTTCCGAAGCACGAAATCAAAATATTGGATGAGCTTCTTAGGCCCGGGTAGCTTCGTCTTTGACCAGGTTTGGGCCTTTCGCTTTATGCTTTTGTTTGTTCCGTGTGACTAAACACAACATTGCAACGTCGGTGCCCTTCATCCACTTTACGTGGATCACCCACGTACGCGTTTCCGTTACGTGGGAACTAAACCTCCCTAATAAAGCGATTGAATTCAAAATCAAAAAAAATGTTGGGGATCGTCTGAAGCATATTCAATCGAGGTACAGTCGGGCTTGATGACTGATCAAAGCCCTCGGGCTGGTCCCTTGGGCTTTGATCAGCCATCAAGCCCTCAGTACCTCGCTTGATTATCTACTTCGCGAATTCGGGCTGTTGTGCAAACGCCCTCTGAAAATGGTTTGCGATGATGCTGATCACGCCTCATCATTCGCACTGCCTGGACCAGCTTGATACTGTCCTTCTGCAATTCAATCTCTTTCTGATTCACCTACTCGTCAACTTTATTGGCTACACATTCTTTGTCTCCTCAGGGCATGACTCTGATGAGCTCCTGCTCCTTCTTCATTACCCTGACAGCATGCCATTCTTAATCGCAGCTTGTGCATTTTCTCAGAGAGCTCTGCCATTACTTTGCCCCAAGTCAGGTTCAAAAGAGACTTCTGGGAGTACCTGGAGAGGACATAACCAATCTGGTTGTAGATTGGCGTTGGCTGACCTGTCTTAGGATGGATGAAGCCAGCCCGTGTCGTAATTGACATGCCTCGCCTTGTCTTGAAACCGCGGCTGTGTTCGCCGCAAAGAGAGGGTGAGATTGACAGAAATCAGCCAGAGCTTGATCACTTACTGTAGTTGCGGGGTCCTCGACCATGCCGTCCCAAACACTGATGCAGTTTTCGCTGTCGAAGCGACGAACTAACGTAACGTCGTTACTTGAGCCTATCCAGTAGGACCTTGCCGAGACACAGGCTGAGAGAGTCGTGCAATTCTATTCGTCTACAATTTGTAGGCAGATTTGGCGACGAGCGACGAAGACGGCAGTCGAGTTTACGAGATACCGGTACTGAAGGCGGTAGTGTTTACCAATCAGTTGGGCGACGGGGATTCTGTCCGTAACTCCGTGAAAGGATGAGTGAACGAACTAACTTCGGGAACATCAATGACTTTGTGCGAGGGCTCGCTTCCGGCAGCATCCATGTCCAGTGCCTCGCGAGCTCGAGCTAGCGAAAAACACTGACATACCGATTAGGGCTGAAACGATTTATATACCGAATAATGGATTATGGAGTAGATCTACGAGTAGATCTACTCGTTTGATAACCATGATAACTCTAACGATCGAGCAATCGTTTAGATTACCGATTACGATTATTTTGCGTTTTTTAAATTTGTGTCCAGAAAGTACGTACTGTAAACCCTCGTTTTGTGAAGTTTGAATCAGTTTCCGCTGGGAGTATGCAGTTGCCAGGGCCAGGGGTAAGGTTCATGACTTCAAAACTGCCATGTTTCGGAGCTACCCTTTCACTAATGCAGGTTTGTTGGTATTATGAAGGCATAGTTTGTGGAAACAGAGTAATTTTTGCACATAATTATGACACTATTTGCTAACGATTATAATCGATTACTTGCTAAAGAATAATCGATACTTGAAAAATCCACGATCGTTTCAGCCCTAATAATATTATATTTTGCTGTCTTCACTCAGGAAACGAAGTAAACGGCAGTTACGGACAGAATCCCCGTCGCCCAGCTTTTAGCCTAGTTCGAATGCGCTGATGCCAAACCGCGGGAATCTCCAAGTTTCAACCACCTCTGAAGCTTGGAGAGCTTTGGAGAGCCGCCTAAAAGTCGGAGTGGATATAAGAACGGCTCTCGAACTTTTCGGAGAGTCTCCAACTTTTCCGAGAGGATTTAAGAACGCACCCCAAGAGTGGCTGAAAGTATTCGTACTATGATAATGATATCCGAAATGGAATTCTCCAGGATCTATGTAGGAGAGGGGTACGGGTGTAGATTTACGTACCCTGGCCACGGCGCGTTGCACCAAGAGTACATGGGGTAAAGTAACTTTAGGGCGCGTTCAGACTACCGTAAATCCCGTCAAACCGTGAATGGCGATAAACCGTGAAGGACATTCGCACTACCGATTACTAGGGGTATAAACTAACTAGGGGGGCGTTCGAATTGTCACTCTTTGACTTTTCGAGGACTTCCTTTTTTCTGAAGAGGTGGCTTATTGACCTCTTCACAACCTCATCCTCTCTCTCTCTCTCTCTCTCTCTCTCTCTCTCTCTCTCTCTCTCTCTCTCTCTCTCTCTCTCTCTCTCTCTCTCTCTCTCTCTCTCTCTCTCTCTCTCTCTCTCTCTCTCTCTCTCTCTCTCTCTGTGTCTCTCTCTCTGTGTCTCTCTCTCTGTCTCCGTCTCTCTCTCTGTGTCTCCGTCTCTCTCTCTCCGTCTCTCTGTCTACCTCTGTCTCTCGCTCTCTGTCTGTCTGTCTGTCTCTCTCTCTCCGTCTGTCTGTCTGTCTGTCACCCCCTCCCTCTCTCTCTCTCTCGCGCGCGCGCGCTCTCTCTCTCTCTCTCTCTCTCTCTCTCTCTCTCTCTCTCTCTCTCTCTCTCTCTCTCTCTCTCTCTCTCTCTCTCTCTCTCTCCGTCTCTCTGTATCTGTCTCTCTGTCTGTCTGTCTGTCTGTCTGTCTGTCACTCCCTCCCTCCCTCCCTCTCTCTCTCTCTCTCTCTCTCTCTCTCTCTCTCTCTCTCTCTCTCTCTCTCTCTCTCTCTCTCTCTCTCTCTCTCTCTCTCTCTCTCTCTCTCTCTCTCTCTCTCTCTCTCTCTCTCTCTCTCTCTCTCTCTCTCTCTCTCTCTCTCTCTGACTCTCTTCACTGTAGTTAATGCCTGTGGCCTGAGGTTGTGAATCCATTCCAAACTTGGTTTGTTCTATGATTTCCCCACACATGCTTGTTTGAATCATGAAGTACTACAGCAGTAGTCATGGTAGTGTAGTACTTCGAGTCTACGTCCTGGTCCCTACATCAAGTAACAAATTAGTTTCTAGTGCCAGGCTCGGCAAAATATCGAAGATCTTGCAGCAACACTTTGCAGCAACATATCAAGGCGAGCGGACTCAGCGGAGCAGAATCTGCCTGGGCCAGGAAGTCGTACCCAAAACTGGTTCCGGAATTCCGGGGGCCTACCACAAAGTAACCCATAGTACTCGTACTACAATTTTTTAATAAGTCTGTACAGTACAGTACAACTGCATTTAAATTTTACTGATTATTGTACAACTCTCTTGTAATAATTTATTTGTATGTTTTCAAGCACAAAAGTCCATGGACTCCGGGATCTTGAAGAAGCAAAAGTTCAAGATTGGGGCAGACAAGTAGTTTGGATGGGCCGTATGCGATTCTCCACCGTAGTTGAATGGGGCCCCAAGCTGATCCAAGGCCAAGGGGCACGAAAATGCATCTGTTGTGCGTATGGGAAATTCGCAGGTGCCGCACTTGGAAGTCACCGTATACAGGTCCTGCATGTCACGAGCGTGGTCACAAGGTCCCGAATAAACTGGTGTAACTCCGGCCGGATGTGCTAGTTCTATTTTTTTAATCTTACAACCCTTTACCAATAGTCTAGTCAGTTCACTTGTAGTAATATGGCCTCCTTGGACGACCTATCGAGCCTTCCAGCCTCACCCTCAGATGCCTCGATGGAGAGACGGAAACGAGTCAATCTTGACCATCTGTCTGATCAAGAAAAGCGTCAAAGAAGAAAACTAAACAACCGTGTGTCCGCACAACATGCTCGTGATAGAAAGAAGAAGTACGTGGAGCAGTTGGAAGACCAAATTCGAAGGCTTCAAGCTGAAAACTCAAATCTACGTACATCTGAACAGCAACTAAAACTCCTTCTCCGACGGACAGAAAGCGATTCTTCTGTGGGCTCCCGGAGTCCGAGCTCCAGTACAAGCGATTGTGCTTCATCCAGTACAAGTGATTGTGCCTCGGTCAAGTCTGAGTCCGCAGCACTCAGTGCTCCTCTGCAGCAGGAACATTCAACTTGCCCGACGGTCGTCATCATGTATTGCATGATCATCATTATTGTCGTGAGTACATGTTTAAACGTGTACAAGAAGGGAGCAGCCACTCTGAGTGGGTATCTCCACTTTCTCCGTACTTCACTGATGATGAAGCCAATTCCAGTCTTGCAGAGTCACCAACAAGTCTCTCAACTGGCTTCGACACTGATCTCCTTCTTCTGGATTCGTCAATGGTCAAGGATGAAGACAATGGTGGGCTTCAGACACACCAAACCGATGATGATTTGTGGCTAACGGAATGTGTCGATCAGCCGACATTGGAATATGATGGGGCGGACTTAGAGGCTTTGGTCAACAGTTTATTAGATGATGATAAGGAAGGATTGCCTTTATTTTCAAATGCATGTGTAGCCTGGTAAGATAATGGTCTTGTTCGTTTAATAGTAGGTCACCACACTGCAACGTGCGCACACCGGACTTACAGCCGTAGTGACCTGTTTCTTAGCTGGCGTTAATATCTACGCCTTCTCGGATTGTCCTGTGTCTTGTTTGCTGTCGTGTTGATTTTTAAAATTGTTGTTTTAATTTATTACCAGGCTTTGTTTTTGATTATATTGGTAACACCACCACATATCACAGTTTATCACCGCTTTTTGCTGCTGTTCACTGCTTTGCTCCCGCTATCCACCGTTATTCTTTTTATACTAGTCACCATGATCCCTGCACTGCAAGTTAAATAAAATCAATCAATCAATCAATCAATCAAGTATCATCCCTATCATGTATATAGGGGATTACCCCACTCCCTGATTCATATCCAGATCCATTGTGTGCCTATCGCTGTGTGGAGATGTTTCTGTTCAACAGTACATAACCTACACCACAACAACCTGTCACCGTGTAAATTCCAGGAGTTGCGGCATTTCAAATAATTCTATATTCTGCGGGAATTCGGCAAGGAATGTGAGCACAAAATATCTGTAGGCAACTGACAAATCTCCCTGGACATGATTTTGCAATATAATCAGTGAAAAGGCAATGTGAAGTGTAGGCACACATGGATATCGCACAGGAGATTCTGCACGTAGTGAGAACTGTCTGACAAAGTTTAATCGTGGGGTGTTACGTGAAAAGTACAATAAAACGGAAGTAAACTGTCACTAGTGATGTACTGCGAGTAGTTCTGATAACGTTGTCAAAGAAGTAGGTTGGCCAGTTATGCTGTCAGTTCCTTCACAATTCAGGAGCTAATCATACCATGCCTAACCATGTAGTCAATAAGGGCAGGACGTGGTCCGGCAACCAACGATGTCCAGCACACCCCAGATCATGCTCAGTGCGGATGCAAAGATCTCTGTTCCGTCGCTGCACATCTCATGTTAATCGAAGCAGGTTGAAATCAGTTCTGTGATGTACACACACAACAAGAATATTGCACACAACACCTTTTGTGAGCGTTTGAGAGCATCTGTCCAGCGAGTACCATCATTTACTTGCTCATGCTGATATACACAACAGAACTTGGAGCGTGATGTGGTAGCTCGACATGGTGCTCACTACGCCTGGGTACAGAGCCTTATACAGAGAGAGAGAGAGAGGGAGTGAGAGAGAGTGAAACAGACACACACACACAGCTTCAAATTGCAATGCAGAAATTGGCGATGAAATGTGAAACATTCCAGCACCAACCTGAAAGCCCACCGCCAGCAGGATGGTTGGCCGACGCTCCATGTGTTGCAACCTCACCGGCGCGTGTCCGTGATGAGTTGCTCACCAACAGTAAGCCTGCCCACTCCCTATTCACAAATATGGCAAAGTGAATGTACACAACACAACACAACACACACAATGACATACACACAATCATACCGGTACGCACGAGAATTTTGCGTGCTCCAGATCTAATATTTTGGAGACAAGCTTAGCTGGTGATGGAAACAACGTGACAGATATACAGCATTTTTAAAGCATTGACAAAAGCAACCAGAAGACAGTAGCCTCGCAGTAGCTTTGAATGCCACAAGCATAAAAGTAACGCACCAGAGAACGCAGTGCTTCGGTAACAGTCTGAAGCATGGGAAAATGTTGTAGGCCGTTCATACTATGTTGCAACACGTGTCACGTTTTGGTATTCTATGTACTGGCAGACGTCGGTATCATGCAAGTGCATTCACACAGGCATGCACACACAGTTCATACAGCTTTTTTTGGCCACAAACTGTCGGGAACAACAGAATGAATCTCGATACAGGGTCTGGGTATGCTGGCTACATGTCCGTATCAAATTTGTTACTTCCCGCCACGTTCCATGTTGTCATGGCTATTCGGACGAAAACACCACGTACAGTCAACTTCGCGTATAACGACACTCGGCGGGGCATCAGAAAAGTGTCGTTATTCGCGAAGTGTCGTTATACCCCGAAGTCTCATTATAATGTATTACAGTTGGATGGGACTTTGCTCTGGGCATGGAAATTCTGTCGTTATTCGAGAATTGTCGCTATATCCGCAGTCGTTATTAACGAAGTTGACTGTACCCCACATTTTGGGCGTGTTGTTAATGGCCCATTACCGCTGCCAATCAGGTCGCAAAGCTAGAAAAATCCTTCTCCATCTGTCTCTTGTGCCCTGTGCCCCCCCCCCCCCCCCCACCCACAAAGCCGGTAGACTAATGTGGCAAGCAGGTACATACTGTATATCAAAACACACGTCAAGGCAATGGCAAAGAGCGACTTATATTTTTTAAATTTGTATACCCCATACTTCATAGAGTACATAAAGCAACTTAGACAGGTATTGGAATGTTGATATGACCAGGCAGTCAGTAAGCCTACTGTAAAGCGTGAAATTTTCGCGCCGTTTTTAGTTCGCGTTTTCAGAATCCGGACAGGTTCGCGAGGTTTTTAATTTTGCGATTGCAGAATGGCATTCTCGCTAAACCTGTGGCATTCTTGCTAAACCTTTCATGGATCTCCTTTTCGCGCTGTCTAAATTTCGCGATTTCCACGCGGTCGCGAATTTCGCAGAAATTAGACCATCGCAATAATTTCACGGTTTACAGTATGTATATGTAGTCACAGGTACCATCACTATTGTGTCAGTGCCTGAGTTCAAAGCGGAGGTGGAGAATGATCACATGTCAACCGCGGTGGTTAAGTACCATACTTTGTGTATTTCTTATGTCTGTCAGCACCACACACTCTGGGCTGCGTTGAGTATTGCATGTATCACATGCCAAGCACTAATGGCTACTCCTAAGGGGTCATCACAACAGTGTGTTGTGACTTTTGTCGTCCCTGAAACGAACATCATTGATGGGGGGGGGGGGGGGGGGGGTGCGGGCCAAAAACCCAAGTCGACCAACACTGTACAATCGTCTAGCATAGCAAGCTGCATTCATTTCAGAGGGAAGGCAGGGGGTCCCAGTACAAAACGAACGACGTTCGTTTCAGGGACAACGAAAAACTTTTTGCGATAACCCCTAATGGCAACCTTTGACCTCCTTCAAAGTCCTTGCTGGGCGTGCAAATATTCTGCGTGCTCACTTGAGCTGAGCACGCCAACACTGAATGTACAATGGAGGAACACCGAACAATAGGAACAGGCATGTACCAGTGCAGGTGAAACTTGGCCTCATTGACCACCCGTACGACTGGTCTTTTCAGGTCTTTGAACACAGATGCTCTCTGACACTATGGTGGCCACTGAACAGTCTACGTAATAAGTGCCTAATGTCACACTTCATTTCGTGACATCGCGCGATGTGTTCCTGTGCCTCACGGACCACGTACTATAATTGTAGGTGTTTTTGGACCAGGCTTGGCACCCACACTAGAAAATGCTGAGGAGGTTTGACTTCACAAAGTACAGTTAAGCTCAATGAAATCCGGGCGCGTGAGTTAAGTTTGCACCTTGAACCATTGTGTAGCCCAGTGTTCACGGGTCTAGAGCATACAGGCCAACCCTCCTGGTTTTCTCGGGAAAATCCCAGCAAATTAACATTACTCTCGGGATCCCGGGGATTTCAAGCAAACTCCGGGAACAGTCACCTTTTTGTCTGATCAAGGTTTTCCTAAAAACTCCAGGGACTCGCCTCCAATGTCCTGTTTTTTTCTTCTTCAAAAAATGTATGGTACACGGTACACACTCGCACTTCGAACTGTACACAGCACTTTCAAGACCAGCCTAGCCTGGGCTACTGGTGGCACGCGTGATCTGCACCGACAGGCGCGCACTGACTGATTGAACTGCACTGCAGGGTCGAACTGTGCTGTACGCAGAAGTGGACTACAAGTAGTCCTGTGCCGTCGAACGTTTTTGGGCAGGAAAGTTCTTTTCTACTTGTTTTGGTGCCATAGGGATTTTGCATGTCTTGTCAAGGGATTGAGATTTTTCTGGTTGGTCAGTACTGTAGTGTCGCGTATAAGAGCATGACCTGTATAGAAGCCGATTTTTCGAAGAAGCACGATTTGAATAGAAGCCGCTCTCTGCAAAGTACATGTGCAAGTACATGTGTGCCAGGGTGCACTGCACAGTGTAGACACAATGCCCGGCGTGTACTTGAGTGACCCGACCGGATTTCGTTGAGCAGTACTGCATGTGGCATAAAATGCGACGCTTTTTGGGTTTCTGCAGAGCTGGTGTATTTTCATGATTCACAAATGGGTTTCACTGTAAATTGGCGGTTGAACTCGGAGGAAACAGGTCGCTTTGCAAACTCCATGTTCCCATGGGATGCTTTCGATGTTCCTTTTATGCAGTTACTTCGCAGGTAGAGAATGTGTATCTCTGTGTAATGGACCTCCTACTATACGGGCGTTTACTGTGCGATGCCAATTCATAGGGGTAAGCGGATTATGCCGGCATAATTTTTGGTATAAATCTGGTCCTTTTTGAGAAGGAGCATAAAACGGCATCCGAAAAACAAGGGAAGATGCCCAATGAGGCTGTTATACACACCTGCTATTGAATGCATAATTGAATGCATAATTTTGGCATACAGTCAACTTCGCTAATAACGACTGCGGATATAACGACAATTCGCGAATAACGACCGAATTTCCATGCCCGGAGCAGGCCCGAGGTCATATTCACTGCTTGAATGACGACTTTCTGGGCTTTTGACAGCTATTTCAAGTACCTGTCAGTCAAGTACATGTACCTGTCATGCAGAAGTACATGTACCAGAACCTATAGCTATGGTGATGGATAAAGAAAAGAAAATGCAGCCAAGGGGGGGGGGGGGCTTTTCTTCCTTTTTTATTTTTGCTTCAAAAGTGTTGGATTTACCAGCACACCTACATGCATGTAGTTGTACATGATTGTACAGTAATCATCATACATGTACATGTCCCTGGCCCTGTAGATGGCTCAAAAAGGCATATTTTTCAATTTATTTCCCTTGCATATTGAATTTTTAGTTCCTTTCAACTGCAATATGAAAATAAAGTACACATTGACATAGAGCAAGAAAAGAGCTTGATTTTGATATGCATGTCATACTATACAAAATATGGGTTCATATACATTCAAATGGGACTTCGGTTATAAGGACACTTCGCGAATAAGGATACTTTTCTGATGCCCCGCCGAATGTCGTTATTCGCGAAGTTGACTGTAATTACCATATATTCTCTATTACAAGCACAGATCTCCATTACTAGCACAGTCTTTACTAGCACACTGTGAGCACCTTTCGAAACATTATAAGCACAGTCTCTATTATTAGCACGGTCTTGGTGGAAATCAATGCTGCATGCATGATATCTAGCATGTATTTCTTCTTGCTCTGTAAGGATGTATTGGTTGAAAAAAATATAAGCGCAGTCTCCAATATAAGCACGGGGTAGAGGGGTGTTGAAACAATATAAGCACGGCGCTTATAATAGAGAATATACGGTAGGTCCTTTTTGAGAAGGAGCATAAAATGGCATCCGAAAAACAAGGGCAGATGCCCAATAAGGCTACTATATACATACCTGCTATTGAAGGACAATACATAGCGCTTCTTGTCGATTTGGAATGATATTTTAGCAGCCACTATACGACAGCTCCCAAAAGTTCAGCGTTTGCTTGTGAATTTGGTGTTCCTCTTGCATATTAGTGTCTTGCACCTCCACAAAGCTCCCAGTCCACATCATGACAATGGTCCGAGTCCTTTTTTCATGGCGATTATCTGTTCTTTTGGTCTTTTTGGTGAAGTATATAAAAGCATAATTGGCTGTTTTCTCGAGCATTCTGCGAGCATCCGCTAGAGCATAATCTGATCATTTTCCAAGCATAATCCGCTTACCCCTAATGCCGAACATACAGCCGTGGCCAAAGTCGTTGAAAGAAATCCGACCTGCGAGTCAAACGCAGCGCCGTGTTTCCATTTCAATTACTTCATGCACGTACCGAAAGCCCAGCCGAGGGCTGCATGAGCCTTGGCGCTGCTTTAAAGTTGTCTCATGGGTCAGATTTCTTTGACCACAACTGTACTTCCTGCATGCTATTCAAGGCCATTTAGTGGCTGTCCAGTACCATCTATGCTTACAGTCACGTGACTTGCAATTTTGAACACACAATCACATACCTTACGGGCAAGTTGCTTCTGATGTATAATTATGTCATTCCAACAGCCTCCTCAGAACTGGCTGTAGCGCAAGAAGATAGGTAAAGAAAACACGTGCCATGGCCATCGTCAATCTACAATATAATGTAGTGGCCAGCCAAGCAGTCAGCCAACACAGATGTATATTATGTATTCTGCAATCAAGCAGATATTGTTCTCACCTTGAGATTTGAGTGAGATCCTGCTCCATTTCCAGTATTCGCCCGCCTGCCATCTACATTGTATCAAAAATTATCGAATGCTTGTGCTTCCATATTTGTGGTCTCAGGCCCGTCGGGGGCATTTCCTCTTTTTTTCAGCTTCTTTGGGCCGCATGCAGTGTCCTCTGCGGTATACCGGTAGCTGTAGCATCTCTCTGTGGTTTGACTTCCACCCATCACTTCAATCACCCTGCGAATGGTTCACGCCAGCACACTGTTCACTAGTATGAACACTCTACCTCTGCCAGCCTGGCACCAGTGCCCAGTCGGCCAGTGGCAGGTCTAGCGCATCCCAGGTACAATAATATAGCACAAACAGAACTACACTACACTACAGTACAGGCGGTAGACATGGTAGAACAGAAGGGAAACCCCACATTGGAAAAAGACACCTTCCACTTTACCTAAAGAAACGAGGGTGAACCATACTTGAAACTCCAAGAAGAAATAGCCACAGCACCAGGAAAATGAAACAACTCGTAGATTCTACAAGTTAGTTCACACTTCACACCTCAGGAAGTTCAGCAACTCACTTTCAAACAGACCACAAAACTGCTCTGGGACACGTCATCATGGTCATCTTTGGGTGAAAGCAGGAGTCCATAAATAACCAGATTGAACCCCGGGGGACTCTTGCCAGTCTTGGTGAAAGGGAGATCTGTGTACCATTTTTTTGAATCAGCAACGTATCTGGCCTGGGATCACCCAGATATGGAGCGTGCTGGTACATGGTGTGCAGATATGGAGCTACGCGTACATATGTACGCAGTACGGTAGAGGTACACACGTGTTCAGATATTTTGGCCAGATGACATCATTCTGATTCAAGAGCAAAGACGTGCTGTCACATGTTCGTCATCGAATTCTGCGGATAATTAATTATTTCTTGTTGCAGCGCATGCAGTGTGCAAGTGTTTAGTTGGTTCAAATGACTATGTTCAAGAAAATGTTCTCAATGGATAAAACATCCCATGAAAATAAGAGTAACAAGTAAAGAGGAGAGGAATGCTATTATTCCTGGTAGCATTGGCTATTGAGTCGAACTAGATCCTGAACCAACATCAGAAAGTTGACTATGGCGGAGGAGGAAAGACAGCTAATTCCAGTTACAGTTGGTCTTGACAATAACAGTGACGACGAATTGTCTCGACTGGGTGCAGATGTCTATGATCAAGATGAATTGGAAGAGGGTGTCATGCGTCAGCTGCAGGATGAAATGGATCGCAGTGACCAGATACTGGCGCGAAAAAGGATAGAGAAGGACTTGCTTGAGATTGGTCGTCAAATCAGGTAAATGAGGGTATCTTAATTTTTGAAAGAGTGTTTCTTTTTACATTTTGCCATTCCAGTGCTCTCTCATGATCCCAGGATTCCATCTCTTTAATAACGAATTGAGAAATTGCTGAACTTTCTTGGAGACAGGAAGCTTATCAAGGAAAGAAAAAACTGCAAATGTCGAGCTCTTCACCACCACATCAGGACTCAGAAATTCACGAACCGTAATATCTCTTATGTTGTTTACTGATATCTCTGAATCCAATTGAATGCAGCGTCCCTTGGGTGTTTTAATTTGCACAGTGTGTGTTTTAGTCCCTCTTGTCTCACTTCTCACCTCTTTCTCTCTTTCCTTTTTTTAAATCACCCCTTGTGCTTAATTCTTCGCTAAATTCACCTACACTTATAGTTGTAATGGTTACCACCCTTGTGATGCTATTTAGCCTTACGTTTCATTGGTTCTGGTTCCTTGTATCTCATTTGAAGAGAATGCCCGTAAACTGGTTCGTGAATTTCTGACTCCTAATTGATCATCGGATGAGCTTGGAATTTGTAGTTTTTCTTTCCTTGATAAGAAATTACTATTGTAAATTATAACGTACATGTAATGAGAACCAAAGGAAAAAGTTGAACTACTGTAGAACGGGGAATTTTAGCGACTATTAATTTTAGCGTTTTCCCATTGTCAACGGGCTAGCGACGTTTTATTTTAGCGATTTGCAGCGATTTTACTCACGGATCACCAGTGCACTACTAATGTCTCAACGGATTAGCGACTTGAAACTTTAGCGAAAATGAGTAGATCGCTAAATTCGCTAGGGTTTTTACGTCGCTAAAATTACCCGTTCTACAGTATCCATTGGACTGTGCTTTTCAAGAGTAAGAGGCAGTGATGAGGTTAGAATCATTTCGTGAAATGTGAAGGGTGTATCTGCCCAGCCACTGTACAGGAAAGGACAGGATTGAATTTCTTCTTTCACTGAAATGTGCCGAGAGGCCCGAGAAGAATCGATTTAGTAGCAGTGTCCACTGTAGCACAAGTATTGCACTGCAGTGCAGCCTCTCGACTCTCATCTGACTAACTGCATTGTACTACATGTACTTGATGACCACGTGGACTGCAGCCGTCCGTGGATTGCCGGTGCACAGCTTGATGCAGCGAACGTCACCGCCAATCGGGAATTTTCTTTCTTTTTTTTCTTCTTCTACCCCGGACCCCCTCCCTAGAAGTAACTCATTCCTGGGTAATAGCCATAAGTCTTGCTCATCCGATCATCAACCTGGCGCAAAGCACAACGTTCCACCGAGGCAGAACCTTGGCTATGCTGGGGATCTAACTACCCGATGGCAGTGAAACTTAACCCGTCAATGACAGTTATTTGTGGGTTGGACCGCTGTTGGCTCCCCCCCCCCCCCCCCCCCCCCCACACACACACACCATTTCTGGCTGACTGGTACTAGTAGATCTCATCCTAGGTGGCTGGTACAGGGCAGACCCTCATACACGTGTATGCATGGTTGTTTGGTCATGCGTGTGTGTGTGTGTGTGCATGTGCGTGTGTGTGTGTGTGTGTGTGTGTGTGTGATGTGTGTGTGTGTGATGTGTGTGTGTGTGTGTGTGTGATGTGTGTGGATGTGTAACGTGTTGCGTTCGATAACAGGCTGAAGCGTATAGGTCTATCGGGTACAAAGCACACCGCTCTGGAGAGAAAGAAGATTGTAAGTGCTGCCTTTCCTGTTCTGCTCTTCTGCAGTAGTCACTGCCTATGCTATACGGTCAGGTCTCGCTCATGTGCAGAATTGAACGCGGGTACTGTGCCAATAGTAAAATGTAAACATGAGAAAGGACACATGGTCATAGGTCATACCATATCCTTGACTTTAACCTTCCAAGCTGGAAGGCTGCTGGTTTGCGCACCGGAGATGTGTTAGAGCTAGGTGTCAGGTCGTTGAATGTCTCAGTAGTCTGTCAGTTTTGTGCTTAGTCATCGCACTTTCTGACCGCCTATTATCTTGTTACAGTAGTAGACAGTTACTCATAACTCGTAAGCGGTGTGTCCTTTCTCATTTTTGCATCTCGCTTATGTGGTCTTCTTTTTCTTTCTTTTTCTTCGATTCTGTTGGAAATTGCTTGGAACCACAGTTAATACTATGGAAAAAGTTGTTTTTCTTTTTTCGGTTGTCCAGTTCCCTCCCCAATCCGGATGGTTTTTTTAAACATGTGCGGACAGGCAAGGTCTGACAGCTGTAACATAGTGTATTGCATGATTCTCCTTCACTGGAGTCTCCCAGTCTCTAAGCTGGGCACTGGTAATACTTCGTGCTCTAGTCTCCACTGTGCGATATGTGTGCAGAGCCGTGTGCTTTCTTCTGTGTGCTCGCTTGCAGGTGAAGGATCTCCATTCCCTGGAAGCCAAGGAGAAACGTTTGAAGAAGAAGCTTCAGTCTGGCCAACCTATCAATGAACTCGATAGTGGCAGTGATAATGACTGTGAAGTTGATGAGACAAATGGTAAGAGGGCAACTGTAGTTGTCTTTTGTTCTGTCGAACCATGTCACGTGGTGTGTTAAGTTCTGCCATTGCAGCACTGGATAGAGGTTGCACACTCTTTGCAGTCTTTGGGGTTATGTACTCTTGTGTTTATTTGTAGCAAGAGTCCAAATCTAAGAGTATGCAGCTGTGATCTCTTTTCTATGAGCTAGTTGCACGGCACGCTGCCTTCACTACATCATGGGGATCATGCAGCTGCATCCGTGCAGTGCGGATAATCAAACACCACACTCTCCCTGTGGTTTGAAACCAACTTTCGTATGGAACTGGAGTTTGTGTACCCAAAATTTAGAGATTGCGTCAGTAATTGAACGAATCAAGAAAGAGCCGGGTGTGGTGGTACATGTACGAGAGATTGTGGGTTTGAGTGCATGAGTACAAGGATGCAGGCAAGTTATGTAATGAAGGCAGCATGCTCCACATTGACCCATAAGGCCATCATTTTTTATATCTATGTTTCGCGTCGTCCGCGCGCATATGTTTTGATTTAAAAAATCAAAAAATTCGAACATGCACATGTACAGTGAGTGTACGATTGTGCGAGTCATCATGCGCGTGGACTGGTTGCATACGTCAAAGCTGGAATTCAGAAATGGCCTCGAGGCCAGCATTGGTAAATCGTTTGTTCGGCAACTGCGATCAGTATTCTATGAGCTTACACCAGACCGCATCGATCGCCTCAAGCGGAGAGGATGCGTCGTTCCGGAGCTCTTTGCACCGCTGCTGAAGACTGAGTACAATAACCCAGCGAAGCATGGACGCCAACGGTTGCCTCCTCTGTCCAAAGTGAATATTTACTCATGCAGATAACCCAGATTTTGTGCTTCGATGAACGATTTTTCTTTCGAATGTACAGCATGCACGAGCTATTGTGCTATATACAGTGCTATGCGAGCAGTTGTATGTAATTCAGCTTATGCTGTCTTCAGTTATGTGTGCTATGTGTGCTTTTTCTTCCTCTGTCGTAGGTGTGTCTTTTGCTGATGCCCTGAGTACAGTGGCTCGCAAGAACACCAACAGAGCAATGAAGTCGGGACAGATCTCTGCGCGTGAGCGAGAGCAGCGCGAAGAGCTAGTGCGCCTGGGCCAGATGACACCGTTCGGCAGCAGCTTGGCTGATGTGGCGTCAACACGGCCAGCAGCAACTGCTGGGGCGGTGATGACACACGGTGCTACCAGTGCTCTTTCTGCAGCCACAACACAGGAGTTCTCACCTCGAGGCGGTGCAACATCATCGTCGAATGCACCGGTGCCGTCAGCACATGCCGTGTCGGACATTCCACCCGGAAGGGCAAGTGGAGGCACCAAGCAACCTCCGCAACCATCTCATGGGCCCAGCTCTGATCGCGGTCACTTGCATAGCTCTCTGTACAATGCCGCTGAAGAGGAAGTTGGTGAGCAAGCTCAAAGGAAGCGTCCTGTCTCCACGAAAAGAGTTGCAACGCCTTCTTCCCCAGGCAGTGAAAGTGAAGGAGATGAGTATGTGCCCTCACGGCGGGAAATGCGTGACAGTTTCATGGACGTTGCATCTGAGTGCTCCTCTGGAAATGAGGAGGTGGAAGACAACAGTGGTGCAAAGAAACGAACTAAGAAGGGCGCTGGTCGTAAGCCATTGGCTACAAAAATCAAGTCGCCACCCACACCTAAGAAGATTATTGTGAAACGGAAAACTGCATGTCGTGATGATGGCGATGAAAAGCTATATCAGCAGCGGCTTGAGTAAGTTACGGCTTGCGCTGGTAGTGGCAGTACTCCCATGTTGATACTCAATCTGGTCGAAAGAATTTGCCTTTTTTATGTAATTTATTGCACGCATGTTTCAACAACGGGTGAAAAGACATGTACTTCAAGCCATGGTAAAAGTGGCCGATATCAGTTTTTGACTCCAGGCACAGGAAGTGTTTGAGACCTCTTGTTTCATTGAGCTCAGTGTATTGAAGGTGGTGGGTATGTTCTTTCCCTTATTTTCTCGTTTGGTCACGTTTGCCACCCTAACCAAAGTCAGAGTCACGTAACTATTCCCAAACGGTTTTCCTGGGGTAAACAGCAGGTACTTTTGTGAGATGTGTGCGTGTATGTTTGGTTTGCTCACGCAGTCTCATCAGCACGGAACAAGAGCGTCAGCAAGACATCGTTTGCCGGCGAGAGGAGGCAATGGAGAACGGACTGGACGACTCCCTGGACGATGTTGATGCCTGTGGACTGCCTTCGTGGCTAAAGAGGCCGCTGTGTCTGGAGGCCAGCCGTGACGGCACGGTCCCAGATGATCATGAGCTGCCAGGGGGGCTGAACGTGCCGGGATTCATTTGGGACCGTCTGTACATGTGAGTAGTGCTTTCTGATTCGGTGGATGTTTGCTTAACTCCTGTGGCTTGCCTGACTGTTGACTGCATGGTATGTTCTGATAGGAACTGTGCTGTACCTGCAACCATCTCAGGTTGCAAGCCTCTGTCTCTCCTGCTAATAGCAATCGGGTTTACATTGTAGTAACTATCAGACGGTATCAGTAAAATGTTCAATTTGGATTCTTTATGTGCTGGTAGGTACCAACGTGTGGGCGTTCAGTGGCTCTGGGAGCTGCACTCCCAGAAAGTCGGAGGAATCGTCGGTGATGAAATGGGCCTCGGCAAGACCATCCAGATGATTGCATTCCTGGCCGCTCTGCACCACAGCAAAACACCGATAACTGTAGCACCGAGGTAAGGAACCCCATGAACTGTATACCATTGCCGCTGTTCACAGTCATAGCGGCATTTGTGGTTATAGATCACTCTGTGCCATGCCACAAAAGAATCCCGTGCGCATCCGTACGGTGCCTGCTTGGAGAAGTGCAGACTTTGAATTGTGATATGTGAACTCTCACTGAGACAGAGCTACTGTACACCACCGTCTTGATTATTTGGGAAATCATAACATTCGCCTCAGCCTGGCCTGTGCCTGTTTTGAATTGTTTCGAAAATCGTCTCACCACTTCTGTGATTTCTCTCTGTCTCTCTCTGTCTCTGTCTCTCTCTCTCTCTCTCTCTCTCTCTCTATCTCTTTCTCTCTCTCTCTCTCTCTCTCTCTCTCTCTCTCTCTCTCTCTCTCTCTCTCTCTCTCTCTCTCTCTCTCTCTCTCTCCTGAATGTATCATTTATTTCAAAGTTAAAGCAATCTTTTTCCCCCGCGAACAACCAGGCCACTATTGGCCATGCTGCTTACACCCCCGAATAATACATTCATTGTCACTCATGTACGCCCTCAGGGTTGTACGAACACTGGACTGCGAAATGATGCATGGCGCAAACTTGAGTCATGGGACTGGATTTCATTGACCAGCACTATAGTTCTGAAACTCTAGTGGACTGTCACAGAAGCCTTTTAACACGCTGTATGTGTATGTTATCCGGATTGCTCTGTACTTGCTTGCTCGATGTAGACGTTACTACGGCATGGGCCCGGTGCTGATAGTTTGTCCGGCAACACTGCTGCACCAATGGGTGGCGGAGTTCCATTACTGGTACCCGCTGGTGCGCGTGGCTGTGCTCCACGACACGGGAACATTCAATGGACGAAAGGTACGGAAGACATTCTTCAATGCTGGTGTTGTGCACTTCTCTGCATTCGTAGTGAGCTTGTAGCTGCGCCGGAATTGCTTTTGTTAGAGTGGCTGTTGGCATGTGGGCATACATAGATGTGGATAAGACTTAGTGTACCACCCGGACACCGCTTGCTTCGCTTTTGTTGCTAGCCCACGTCTCCTGTACCACTATGGATTGTGGGCTGGAATTGTATCAATGTGTGGGTCTCTTGACTTTCCTTTGACTTTAGGTTAATCGAATCTCGAAGTAGCTATCGAATACTAAATAGAGTACTCTAAATCAAGGATATTTCGTTTGCCATTTAATTTCATATTATACGTATGCTAGGGCTTTGAAATTGAAATGCATACTAAACCAAGCTTTATGTAGGAATGGTATGACGGACAGTTTGTATGTATGAAAATATTAATTGTGCACGTGAGCGGGTTTTTGATGAAAACATTCAGAGTTTTCTGGTACGAGATATTCTTGATTTGCGGTATGCACGATTGGCGCTATGCTGCCGTTCTGGACAGCACTTGTCAGGGTGTGTGGGTAGTTGTGCTTATGGTGCGAGTCGCCTTGTTGCAATTTCCCTTCTCCGCTTTTTGTGCCCTGCTTGCAGGAAGTACTGGTGCGTACGATTTTATCCAGCGGTGGTGTTCTGTTAACGACGTACACCGGTGTGCGCCTTCATGCCGACTTGCTTCTCCCGGGCAGGTGGTCCTACGTTATATTGGACGAAGGGCACAAGATCCGCAATCCCGACGCAGTCATCACGGTTACGTGCAAAATGGTGAGTAGCAATATCTTGATGCTTTGGAGAGAAAAAAGAAGTCTCATTGGATTCTGCTGCTGTCATTCTGCTCTGTAGGTGTCTGTGCATAGTATTATTGTATGCACCACCCAGTGTTCTGTAGTCGCCCTATGCCTTTGGTGGTAGATTTTAGACTATAGCATCTGGCATGGTTGCAGCGTTGTTGCTCTGGTCAGAACCATCAGTGTTGTGTCCACATTGGTATTTAACTTCTCTTCTCTCTCGTTGCCTTGTTGTCCTGTTTGTCTGTGACTTGCCATAGTTCAAGACATGCCATCGCATCATCCTTTCGGGCTCGCCCATGCAGAACAACCTGCGCGAGCTGTGGTCCATCTTCGACTTTGTCTTCCCCGGCCGTCTCGGCACGCTGCCAGTGTTCATGACAGAGTTTGCTATTCCCATCACCCAGGGAGGCTATGGCACAGCATCCACTCAGCAGGTGAGAATTTGAATGTACAAAATTTCGCAAACTCTGCTGTATGCACAGTGTCCTTCAAGCAGATTTGGGTTTTTACAAAAAAATTGAGTAGTGGTGGACATTCTGCTTGGAAGGAGTAATTGTGCTTTCTTCTGTGCTATAGTCATAGAGCTGCAACGTAGCAGGACACATGGCTTTGACTGCATCAGTAGACACTGCCTTTATTGTGGAAAGGTCATACATGTACATATACAATGGATGTGATGCTATAATTATTATAGTGGTGTTTCCCGTTTGTGCCTTTCCCTCAAACCAGTGAATGGTGGTGTTGCATATTGTTTTTTATTTTATTTTTACCTGCGCCGTATCTTCGTGGCAGTCATGTATGCAATGTCCCATCTGACCAGCTAGCCTTCTTTCTCCATTGGTCGTGTGTCCAGGTCCAAACCGCCTACAAATGTGCGTGTGTCCTGCGTGACACCATCAACCCGTACCTACTGCGACGGGTGAAAGCTGACGTGAAGATTAACCTCGGACTACCGCCGAAGAATGAGCAAGTCCTGTTCTGTCGCCTAACAAGTGAACAGCGCAAGGCATACAAGTCTTATCTGAAGTCAAGAGATGTGGACTCAATTCTCTCAGGGAACTTGAAGGTAAGTCTCGGTAAAGATGGATTTTCAGAAAGTGTTTACCTAGTTGTGGGTTACCCGGTGTATGGGGATAAGAGCTAGACATGTTCTTTGTTTGATATTGTGGTGCATTGGTCATGACTCATGTGCTTTCGGCCATTGATGTAGCAACTCACCATAGCAAGTCGCATGGAGTATTCTTTGATGGATAAATGCACGTTTCCTCCCCTATCTTTGTTTTGCAGGTGTTTGTCGGCCTCATCACTCTTTCCAAGATCTGCAATCACCCCGATCTTGTGTCAAACGACTCGTGGGATGCTGACTCCACTCAGGGACTGAGGGCCGTCCGTGCTGGCCATCTATCCCAGCCTGTGCCGTCCTCACCAGCCAAAGCCAAAACCAAAGCCAGTACCCCGTCACAGCCTGTAGAACTGCTTGCATCTGGCAATAGCCGTGCTGACAATATGACAGTCTTACCTGCATCCGACAATATGACAACCCTACCTGCAGCTGGCAATGCGACAGCCCTACCTACATCTAGCGGCAGTGGTACTGACAGCAATCCAGTGCTGCCTGTATCCGGTAACAGTTCTTCTCACGGTGCGGAAACCGTGCCGGAATCGATCTGTGGTGCTGACAATACGGCCACTGTACCTGATGCTGACCAGGCTGCCTTCGCAGATGTTCCTGATGAAGTCCGTAGCAATGCTAACAATTCATTGCGAGGTACTGGAACCATTTCTTGCTTGTTGTGCGTAAATGCTCTTTAACTTTTTGTAAGTGCAAAAAAAGGACTTTTCTGGTCGTTTTGGGGAGAACCCCTACTTTTTTTCTGAAGCTTTGCCAGTTTAGTTTGGTTATACATGTACAATAACATGGTTGGGTTACAGCACTCAACCAGGTATAGATGTACACTTTACCTCTCACTGGCATGGTATGAAGTGATGTGCCTGAAAATATTTGGTACGTGATTTGGTGCCGGCTGTTCATGCTGCCCCCTGTTTTGTAGGCGTCACCGAATCTACGTATGGCTATTGGAAGCGGTCTGGAAAGCTGCTCGTGGTCCATTCACTGCTCAAGATGTGGTACCTGCAGTCTCATAGAGCTCTGATATTCTCTCAAACTAAACAGGTATGTGACTTGTCTGTGTGCAAAGCTTCGAAGCAGAAGTACGTTGTGTCACTTTATTTTTAAACTTTTTTCACTTTAGCTTTATGTGTTATGAGTCTTATGATGACTGTTATCCTGCTCAGCTGTACTGCTTACATATGGACGGATAATAATAATAATAATACTTTTCCCGTTTGTCTCTTTCCCTCAAACCAGTCAATATTTTATGACTTGGGGCTCCCCGCGTGCTAGTTTGTACGTGAAGTGTGTGGGTTACAGTGAGGGCTGCGTCCCATCCGCCTGTGTGGATTCACAGGAAGTGTGAGTTACGAAGTCTGAAGAAAATGTTGAACGGCCTCTGCTGGGATGACGACTACACCATAGCTCAGTGGTTAGAGCATCGTTGGCTACAAGCGAGGGTCCCTGGTTCGAGTCCTGGTGGTGACAGTCAATTTTTTCTTCAGACTTTTCCCGTTTGTCTCTTTCCCTCAAACCAGTCAATAATAATAATAATAATAATAATAATAATAATAAAGTCGTCATAATAATAATAATAAGTAAACCCCAATGATTGGGGTGCATGGTATATTGTGAAAGTGCATCAATAGCAGTCTATATTTCCTTAGATCCTTCTGGTTCTGCTTTGTTTCTGGTTTTCCGTCGCTATTCCGTCTTTCTTTCTCATCTCTGCCGCACACACTCACACGCACGCACGCACGCACGGACCAACACATGTCCACACCCATACCTATACCTGTGTACAGACTCTGGACATTCTAGAGCGCTATGTGGCCATGCGCGGGTACAACTATCTTCGCATGGACGGAGACACACCTGTTACACGCCGCCAGCCACTTGTCAACCGCTACAACGATGTAAGGATTTGGAACACTCGGCGTCTCACTTCTTCCCTGGGCTATCGTCTCTAGCAGTGGCTGAGCCACTGGCCCGAAGTGTTCACCATAGCGATAAGTTGCTTTCCTTTCAATGTGCTGCCTCAAATTGTGTGGTGATTTTCTTGTTTCTTTGTGGCATTTGTAAACACTGATGAATGTGGTAGAGAAGTGTTTGAAGAATTTTACTGAGAAATTTCCACTTTTGCTCTTCCCTGTCCTCTCCTGTGCTTAGGACCCGTCGATCTTTGTATTCTTGTTGACAACACGTGTTGGTGGTCTGGGTATCAACCTGGTCGGTGCCGATCGCGTGGTCATCTTTGACCCGGACTGGAACCCTAGTACTGACATGCAGGCTCGCGAGCGGGCATGGCGAATAGGTCAGAAGCGCCATGTTACGGTGTACCGCTTGCTGACGACAGGAACGATTGAAGAAAAAATCTACCACAGGTACGTTTGTTCTTGCGCCATCAACATTGCCAGTGCTGAGTTTTTGCCATGAATGCTTCCTTTGACTGTTGTTCTAGTATTGTATCCCTGCCTGTGCATTGCACTGCTCAGTATTAGAATCCCCGGCAAGCTATCAATAGTGTTTTCTCTCTCTTTCTTCCTCTCTCTCTGTCTCTCTCTCTCTCTGTCTCTCTCTCTCTCTGTCTCTCTCTCTCTCTGTCTCTCTCTCTCTCTCTGTCTCTCTCTCTCTGTCTCTCTCTCTCTCTGTCTCTCTCTCTCTCTCTCTCTCTCTCTCTCTCTCTCTCTCTCTCTCTCTCTCTCTCTCTCTCTCTCTCTCGGTCTGTATTTCTATAGGCAAATCTTCAAGCAGTTCTTGACCAATCGCATTCTGAAGGACCCGCGCCAACGGCGGTTCTTCAAAGCAAATGATCTCCACGAGCTCTTTACATTGAATGATGAGATTGGTTTCACCAATGTGGCAAAGTCCTCATCCGCAGAGGAGCCGTCCAGAAAGAAGGATAAATCTCAGGGTTTACCCCTGACCGAAACCGCTGCTATTTTTGCTGGACTGGGTGCCGATGTTCCCATGCCAAAGAAACGCAAACACGCTGCTGTTCCAGGCAGCGCCGTCAATGTTGTTGATGCCGATAATGATGCTGAGTTGAGTGACCAGGCAATAGGTACCACCCCACCAAGTCAGAAGAAACGCAAGAAGAAACGACCGGACACGGGTAAGTTGAGATCTGGTCACGAACTCACAGAATACTTGCCATGGACCGTGTTTTTCCTGCTGTCTGCCATAATGTCAGGCCGATTGCTTTCGAACACCACGTGCACAATTGCCGTAAACTTGTGGCAATCAATGCTTGCAGCATGACTAGTTTGATGAAGTGCTGCACTGAAAATTATAATGCTGGAGATGGATGCTTTGTTCACTTGCTAATATTTCAAATTATCTTTGTGCGTGTTTTGTCTGTGTAGCCATAGAGGGTCACCGTATTCGACACCTGGACTGCATTGATGTTCAAGCAAAATCAGGTCAGGAAGCTGATGACACCATGGCTAAGTCTTCTTCCCAATCCGCGTCCTCGTCACCAAGCACTGACAGGAAGAAACAAGCAAAGACAAGTAGCAATGGTGGTAGAGGTCAGGCTGACACTAATGACCAGCAAGCTGATGATGACTTTATTCTCCGAAACTTGTTCAAGAAATCCGGTGAGTGTACTGTTGCTGAAGAACAGGGCAACATGGTTACATTTGTAGCAGGGAGTAGTGAAGTACTACTCTCTGATATGCAGTGTCTTGCGGTGGGGTATGGGGAACGTTTAGTGATTTTCGTGCCATTGAGCTGTTGTGTGGAAGGCAGCAGGTTGAAAGTGATCAGAAACAAACGCATTGCACTCTTCCGGGTCTTCACTGTTTTGTGCTGCTGTTCATCATGTGTGAACTGCTGTGGTGTTGTTCGATGTGCCCTGTACAGGTATATTGGGCGCGTTGCAGCACGACAGCATTATGGACTCGGGTGACGCTGACTACGCTTTGATTCAGGCTGAAGCAGACCGTGTGGCCAAGCAGGCCGCTTCCGAACTGGCAAAGTCTCGCGAGCAGTACAGAACTGCCGCAGCACAGTTCTCTTCACAGCCAGGTGTTTTCAGCACCGTCAAACCCGTGCCTAAAAAGTAAGAACGCCATGCGGTCATGCATTGTGTTTGGATTTGCGCTAGCCACCGGTGTATGCTTCGCTGTTGAAACTTTGCGATGCGCTCTGCCCCAAGTTGCTTCCACCTGCATACCTTCTGTTTTGACTTGTGCGTGGAAGTGGCCTTTGCTGATTGTGGGTGCAGGTCAACCCATCAAACACCCTTTGTTTGAACTAGCTTTTGTATCAACCGAGGGGGGGGGGGGGTCTGGCTTGTAGGATGGTGTATAGCAGGTGAGTATGCCCTGTTTCTACTTTTTTTAGTCGAACGTATGGCTTGTCTGTGTTTTGTTCCTTTAATAGGCTTTACACCACATGTTTATATGAGTACATTGTCCCTTGCCTGTTTGTGTTGCAGACCAAAGTTTGGAAAGCAAAACCAAGCACCAGCCCTGTTTGCCAAAGCAGAGTCTGCAGGAAAGGAGAAGACGGTGGGTCACTGTTTTGTACTGTAGTGCATCACTAGAACGTGTTGTGCCACTTGTACCGCTTAATATCCCATGTCTAATAAGCGTACAACTGAGTACAGTCCATCTGCTACCTAGCCGAAAGCCATGCATCACGCATAGATAGTACTTCAAAGACGTACCGTACTGACTGGTCCCCAGGGTCTAATGATTTCTTCGGCGTGAAACACCAAGTCATAGCTAAATCTCAATTCGATCTCTCTCTCTTTCTCTCTCTCTCTCACTCTCACTCACGCACTCTCTCTCTCTCTCTCCCTCTCTGTATAATTATTGAATTATATAGTTACATCAAGAGTACATAACACATGTTACGTACTCTTGGTTATATGTGTCAGTTATACCGGATCTGTACCATGTCTGCCATTATTGACAACGTTTGGCTGCACCAATGTGATCGTTGATGACAGGTTTTGACTGCATTGTATCATTTGGTATTGTAATCTCTGCATCCTGGTTCTTCCCCTACTTTTGCTGTTTTCTTCTACAGCAGGCTATCGCTGGAGGCAGTGATGGTGCTGACATTATTAATGGAAGCGAAGACGCTGGTAGTACTGTTGCTGGTGACAATGGCGACGGTGGTGGTAGTTGCAACGCTGGAATCAAGTTTGGCAGCGGAAAGCTTGCTGGCAGCAGCACGATAGCGTTGGGTTCGGACAGACAGGATGCACCCGAGCAGTCCACTGGTGCTGTGCACTCCTCAACATTGCTGGCTCGCATGCGCGCAAGGCAGAATAACTCGGTCGGTGGCAGCGTTTGTGCAATAAGTAGCAGCAGCAGCAGCAACAGCAACAGTATTAGCAATAGCAGTACTGCAAACAAGCCTGCAGGAGCAACTGAAGCAAACGGATCAAGTGATGTTACTGCAGCAAGGCCCACACCCACATCCAGCCTAATTCAGGAAACCCAGGAGTTCATAACTTCGCGGGGTGATCGTACATCGGCCACAAGTGAAGTGCTCTTAGCCCATTTCTCACCGCGCCTTCCACCGAATGGTGCCACTGTCTTCCGCTCCATGCTTCGGCAGATCTGTGACTTTTCTCGGTCACCAAGCGGCGAGGGTACCTGGACACTGAAAGAGGAATTCCATTGATGCACACTCCACTTTCGTCACCACTGGGTAAATGGATACAGCTTTGGCGAAGTTGTTTCACTGTCTAGATCTGGCCAGAACAGTTAGAATTCTTATTCTGTAGCTCATAGAGGTGCGGTGGCTCTCACTTTTTTTCTTTAAAAAATAAAATAATTGATTGTTTGCTATCGCTATACAGCCGACAGCCTGTGCAATTTTTAATCTTTTTGAAGAGGTTTTACACGGTTTTCCATATGCCTGTGCTTACAGCATGAACACTGGCTGAGTGCTGTTAGTCATAGCTAGTAGGTAGTCATGGTTGCTAGGCACCGATTGTCAGAACTATAACCCCATGCCACTAGCGGCGGTTCCATGGCCAGTACTCAATAGTGGCCCGATATTAGTGGGATATCTTCATATACGTGCATTAAATTTTGTACTCTGTGTACGCCTTGTCCCCTTCTTCATCAGTATTAGCAGCTTTATTGGAAACAGCAAGTTTTAGAACATTGTCGTATTATCAACTCATATGAAAACATCTATACAAAAATAATATTATTTGCAATTCTTGCGACATGCTATTTTATTCATTGTAGGCCAAACCATTAATTTTGCTTTCAAAATACTTCCCACTTTTTTAAAGTAAATTATTCACATCCCTTTCCAATACTCGCAGCATGGAGTGAGTTACTGAAATATCAAGCCCATACATCCAAACTACATCTTGCTGCATGACGTATAGCTCTCAACTGCACTGTGTATGTGTGCGTGTCTGCGTGTGTGTGTGTGTGTGTGTGAGAGAGAGAGAGAGAGAGAGAGAGAGAGAGAGAGAGAGAGAGAGAGAGAGAGTGAGTGAGTGCGTTCGATTATGCCCGCGAATCGATTCACGAATCGATTCGCGCTATTCACATCACCCCATGTGAATAGGGTGAATGGATTCCGAATCGATTCCAGGGCTCATGACATGAAATCGAACGACTTGAATGCATGCGAATGGATTCATGAATCGATTCAAGTGCATAATCGAACGCAGTCAGTGTGTGTGTGTGTGTGTGTGTGTGTGTGTGTGTGTGTGTGTGTGTGTGTGTGTGTTTGTGAGCGCGTGTGTGCGTGTGCGTGTTTGTTGTGCGGACACACACATACATGTATCTGATATATACATACTGAGTATCTGAAATATTTACCGTGCAACTACATGTATGCACAGTTTTTCGACAGGTAGTACGAGTCTTGAAGTTCACACGTTCGCGTTACCACCCACCGCTATTGCCGGCATACAGTTGTGTTGAGAAACCAAGAGTTCATGGAAAATGGGTTTCATGTACATGTACCAGCAAGAGTATTATGCTCTTGCCAAGTCTTGGTGCCAGCAAGAGTATAATAACCCCCCAGATTATAGTATTAGTACTGACTGAGGACTAGGGACTAGTCGACTGAGTCACTGAGGTACATGACTGGTACCAAGAGTACATAACCCCATTGGGGTTATGTACTCACATAACCCCATTGGGGTTATGTACTCTTGCTGGTACCAAGAGTTCATGAACTCTTGCTGGTACTGTAGTACTACATGTAGTACTAATACTAATAGTAATACTCTTTTCCTTGCACTTTTTATTTTGTTTGAGAAAATTAATTCTGTATTAAAGTCAACGTCGAATGAGTCACGAAATGACATCATGTCCGGTAATTTTGCTGGGGTTTTCTTGAGTTATCGTATGGTGACGTGTGTTTCCTGGATCATGAATATTATCGCGTGCCCTGCTTCAAAATCGTCACATTCTTGCTCAGTCAACACCTAGTACCTCCACTCCAGCTGGAGTTTCGAAACATCTTCATTTCAGTCTCGAATCAGCAAGAACAGTAACTGCATGCTGTTGTAAACACTCTGTGACGAACAGCAATCATCGGAAGTATCTTGGAAGCGAGCCGCATTCCCTGCGAGAATGGAGAGTATGTTTGGGCGCCATGCGCCCTCCTTGTCGGCGTTGAGCGACTTCAGCAAATTGTAAGGAAACTGAATTTCGTGAGCATCCTGGGACTTGCCCTGAATGTGCTGTCTGGCTTCTTCTCTGCTGCTTTTCTTGTGCCTTGACTCGCGCAGGAGCCATGATGACCGGTCTCACTTGAAGAAAGTCTATACGTCTCTTTCTCTTACATTGCTAGCTGCCACCGCTGGCTCTGCCGTCAATGTCTTGCTTGGCATGTTTCAGGTACATGTACAGCCCGGATAGCAAAAATTTAGTATTTCTATTTTTCTACGGGGAGCCAATAGTGGCCATCCATTTGGCCATTGGAGTCAGCTTTTCTGTTTGTATTCGCACCGTGTTGCATTACGACGGTGGGAAGGGCTGGTTTATGTTTGCAATCGTGGAGGCCACAGGAAATATCGGACATACTGTAATTGGGGGTCTGTCCATCTATAATTCTATGATAAAAATCATGAAATGGATATGCCTCATCAATTTATTGTGTGGATGTGATGTGTGTACTGTGCATGCAGGGAGCCTTCCTGGCTTCTATTGTGTCCATCGGTCTCCTGCTTGCTCTGCGATTCAATCCGGACAATGGCAAGAACCTGGCTACCCGTCTAGGTGAGTGTGTGCGTGTGAGCATGTGCGCACACGCGTGAGTGTGTCTATGCACGTGTGCTGTGAGTACACACATGTGTATAACACTGTATACAGGCCCGCCGGAACCGGTCCGGCTGGTCAGTTTAACACCGGACCAACGTTGTGGCCACCAACGCATGTTTCCTGCTGAGGAGGGTATACATGTACAATGTATATCCCCGCCATATCAAACACAACAGTATGAAACTATGGTACGACCGGACCAATTGATAGCTGCTTCCGGCGATACTGGTATATACGCACATGTGTGAAAAATGTCTAAGCCTGTTTTTAGAAATACTCTCCCAGTTCCAACTTCTGCTTGTGCCTACATGTACGTTGTGCCGCCGTTTCCAAGATAGGGCAGTGTTTGGTAGCAAATAGTTAGGGCTACAGACCACATCGTAAGCATTGAGTGTTGTTTGCCTTGCAGGCCTCATTTAACTAGCAATGCATGGGCTTGTTCTTTGTGTGTATCTATTTTGCTTTGCAGGTTTGCTAGCGGGCTTTGGCTTTTTCAGCGGTAAGTTGGAGCAGGCGGGTCTCTCATCTGTTTTATTATTCAACAACTAGTGTATGGTCGGAGGGGGGGGGGGGGGGGGGGGAGAGGGAGAGGGAGAGAGAGGAGGAGAGAGAGACTGGGAGGCGAGAGAGATGAGTGAGGTGTAAGTGGCATTGTGTTGAGGTGATGTAGTGTAAGGTGTAGTGATTTAATACACCCAGCATAACTGTTAATTTGCGCCGTATCACACTGGGCTTTTGCAGCTATCTTCCCTATCGGCAGCACCTACTAGTGGGTATATCTGCCTTGCCTGTTACCACCCTCTACGCAGTGTTAGGTGTTCCACCCTCTATTCTCTTGTGTTGAGAAGTGCAAGCAGCTTAGGAAATTTCGCTCTCTCCAGCATCAACGCATCCAACTATAGCATGTACATGTACTGGTATGTGGCTTGTGTATGTGTTGCTTGTCATGTAGATTGAGTGTATGGATTGTTATAATGCTACCGTAGCATTATGTTGGCACCCGCACTATTGCATCCACGTAATACATTAATGTTGTGACTGGTCAGAAAATCAAGTGATGTGTCTCCAAGCCCAGGGCGAAAATTCTTCACCAGCCATCTTGCACTGCTGTGGTATTATTTTGTTACCTATGTGGATACAATGGTTTAATTATAGCAATGAAAAGGATGCACTGCGCACTCATTCTAAACATGCATCAAGTCAAAAGTTGCTGGTTTAGTTCCAAGAACGTTTACATGGCTATTATTATTTTTGTTTCGAGTATTTACAAAGACACTTTCATTTGTATCCACTGCTTTCTTCCAGGTGTTTCTATGGGGCCACTCATTGCTCACGTTGCTGCAATTGATCCATCGTAAGTCACATTCAACGTACGTGTTGTGTCAGTGTTGCTGGGTGGCTGTCTACTGGTTGACACAATATGACTCCAAACCTGAAACTGGGGATGCGGCTTATAATTGAGCGAAATGCGGTAGTTTCAGCAGTGTGTTAGACCCCAGACTTCTTTGGATATGCCTTTATGAATGTTTCTGTCCGAAATTTGTTGTCTTTTTGTTTTTGTCATACAGCCTGATCTTCACTGCCCTTGGTGGCACCGTCGTTGTCTTTGTCAGCTTCTCCTTGTCGGCACTCTATGCTGAGGAGCGCTCCTACCTGTACCTGGGAGGTTAGCTAATACATATAGTGTGTGTGTGTGTGTGTGTTTGCGTGCGTATGCGTATGCGTGTGTTGTATGTGGGGTTTGAATTGAGCTGTGGAACGGTCCAATCCCAGCACAAGTTGCTATGGCTTTTTCTGTAGCATTGCTATCATCGCCTCCGGCGATGGGCTTAAAAAAGAAAAGAAAAAAGCAGGGGTTTGTGTAGGGTTTGTGTTTGCGTGTGTACGTGTCTGGGAGGATGAATGTGCGTGCACGTGCTCATTGGGAACAATGTTTGCTCTATTGTCAGGTCTTGGCCGTGCATGACCAAGAATCTTCAAACTTGTGGATTTTGCTGCTGTGCTGTGTGCTTGTTCATGTGTTGTAGTAGCATTTCCTTGCTCCGCCTACCGGTATGTGTGGCATAGTCTTCATTGATTTTTTCTTCATCCGTTTGTGCTTTTCCAGGTTACCTTTTGTCAGGACTGAACTTCTTGCTGCTCACCAGCCTGGTGAACATGTTCATTGGCTCCATCTTTGTTTTGGAGGTTAGTACGTGTTCTATACCGAAGCTACGAGTAGTTTGCCCTTGCTACAGGAGAATGTCTACAGTAATCCTGAGGAGGATATTGTGTGATCACTGATCACTTGCCCACTGTAGCGTGATGTACGTGTAGTGATCTTCGGTATCATCTTTCTAGTCCCGAGCAGCACTGGCGAGAGTATGGTATATATCAGAATGTGCAACCCCGCTCATAGGTTTAGGGCAGCGTATGTCGTCCACCTCATTACCCTCCTCAAGATTCATGTACAGTAAAAACTGATGTCACAAGGCATACGAGACTCTACTTGCGGCTTGTGGGCCATTTCCTCAAGAACGCCGTAAACAATGAATTCCGCTTTCCCAAACTGATGCAGAGTTGCACGCAGTGGTGTACTCTTGGTGCTGGTGATATTGGTTTTGTAAATGGGGCAGGCATGAGATGCGCGGAAAAAGTGAGTGCGCTTTGTATACCTGCGTGATGTGTCATGTCCTTGTCTATCTCTGTTCTGTTTTTTTTCAGGTGCAGCTCTACCTTGGCCTAGCTATCTTCTGTGCGTTTGTGCTCTACGACACGCAACTGATCATTGAGAAGAGCAGGATGGGTGACAAGGATTATATCTGGTAACTGCCTTTACACACACACACACACACACACACACACACACACACACACACACACACACACACACACACACACACACACTACTACTACTACTATTGACAGCTGCCAAGAAATGGCCACGCCGCTCCCCGAAGGGAGGTACTGTCAGAGAGGTTAGGGGAGAGGTAGGCAGTGCTTCAAATGGCGCTTCAAATGGCACTCCAGGTCCTGTCGCCTCCGAAACTGGCGTCGATTGCAAACTCGGCAATGATGTTCAAAGTGCTGGCGGTCAGTCACTGTAGGGCGATTCGGGCGGGGTCCACAGCGATGGCGCTTGAGGCCAGCAGTAGACTTAAAAGTACGCTGGCAGGCTGTACATACCGGGACCTCGGCAACAAGATGAGCATCACTAGGCGGTCGGTCGTCACAGTTGTCACTCTCTTACACACACACACACACACACACACACACACACATGCACACGCACACACTGTCCCTTTGTGCTAGGCAGGCGGTATGTCCTGCACTGTCCATCATCCCTTTTGAACAGCTCGTGCTTGTGAGGTTTTATGCGGGATGGTAAAGCATGAATTTTCTCTGTATCCTGACTGAAAGTGATATTTGGTGTGCTGTTTGTGTGCACCCTTCCAGGCATTCCGTTGACCTCTTCCTGGACTTCATAGAGATCTTCAGGCGCCTGTTGATCATCTTGGCCAAGGATGTAAGTAACAGCCGAGAGTACTCGAAGTGGCCTTTGTTTGAGTTTGGTCAAAGTCCATTGTGTGTGGGCTACCATGCCATGACAACCCAGAATAGGTTTCTGTTTTGTTCATGAACCATGTGGCAGGATGCATGTCTACTCATGGCTTCCATGGGCTTATTCAGTTCTCGTTTTCCACTGGGTGTGCAGCAGGTCCATCAAACGAACTGAACCATTGATCGTAGGGGGAATCATAGACTTGCAGCTGTAATAGACAGCGTGCACAGTGTTATTTCGAAGTCATCCGTACGCGTTTCTATATGAAATGGGTGCTTTTGGTGCTTTGTAGATCTAGAAACAGTGCAGTGCCTACTTCGTTTCCAAGGTTTGTTTGTACAATTTAATTTACTGTAAATTGAATCTCCCAAATAGTCATTTTCAAAGGACAGCATGTTGTCTGGTCGGAAGGTATGCTAATCATTGCTCCGGCGTTTTTCGTACGATGTTTGCTCTAGGACAAGAAGAAGAAGAGACGTGATTAAACCACCGACGTGTGCACACGATCATAACACAGCAGTCGTTTAGCAGCGAGCATGCGCAGCTATTATCAATACTTCATGAAATTAGCATTTATTATGTCCATGAAACTACAGCTATTGCCATGTATATGTATTACTAGTTGCTATTCAGTACTCTCTATCTATTGTCAGCTGGCTACTAAAAACTAGGTTCTTACGCATTGTAATGATTCATGTTCATTTGCACTGACTAAGCTTGACAGACACATCATGCACACCATGTGCACTTTCTAAAAATGAAATTATGTCGAAGGCTAGCTAATAATTGGAGTGGAATAACGACCAAATGCTAAACAGAAGTAGTAAAATGCTGTTTCTAAAAGGTGTGTAAAAACTGAATGCCTATGTGGCGAAATAGCAGTTGATAAGCAAGTTAACAACGGAATGGAGCATGAGATGACTGGGTAGGGCTAGCAATCATAAATTGGAGTGGAATAACAACCGAATGCTGTTGTTAGTTGAAAATGTGGTGGTGGTAATTTTAGGTGGTCAGCTGGAAGTCATCACAACACCTCCTTCGAATGTTGCGCCGGCTGCGACAGTTGCTGGTTGTGAGACGTACCCTGCCTCCACACACAGCATGTTGGGGTACTGAGACAACCAGTAGAGAAAGTACAGTCAGGCTATGAACGCTCATGACTATCTACACACATGTGAGCACAGTATAATCAAGAGTGTGCAACTTCTACCCTTTCTATCCGGTATGCCGACGGCGAAAACTCATATCACATGTACGAGTGATTCGTAATTTTTTAACATTGAGTCATTTCTTAACAAATCGGTAAAATATCTCATTGCCTGCGCCTGCAAAAAGTAATGTCAAATTTCTTTTTGCCATTGCCATTGCCGATGTTCTGTCAAGTTTGCCTCCAAAATTGAGATTGATACTTCTGCAGGAAGTGACATTGCAAGAGCTTTCAGTCTGCATGTGCGCTATGTTTACGGTAAATATGTTTACGGTAAAATAGAGTATAAGAAAGTCATAGCCGCTGGTTTCAACCTCCAGTGACAACACATTTAGCTGAAGAGGAATAGATATGATAGCTACATACTGGAAGCGATGCCTGGGAAGGAGGAATGTCGGTGTGTTGGCCCTGGGATTGGCCAAACATTGGCAATTACTGAATTTACTAACAGATGTTGATCATAATTGCATACGAAATCAGGGTGATACACCTATTGCTATGCAAGCTTGAATGGCTTGTACATGTATTTGGATGAACATATTCTTGATCCAGTCTTTCTGGACCATCCTGGATACGTAGGCTCTCTTTCTATTGAAAACTGACTTGAATTTGTGGTGCTTAGGCCTATTTTACCATGATGTTAAGAAATGACCACAACACATAATATGCAGAAAAATTGCCATTTTTCAACTGCCCCCGGCTTCCCAACACCAAGGATTATGTGAATGAACAACGCACCATTGCAATCTAAGGACATTAGTATTACATTTTAGAGGAAGAAATGATTCGCACCTCAAACCCTACGGAAGGCTTTTTTACTTTCGTGTTAAATAATGACGAATCACCTCGTCGTGTCACAGTTGTACGGTGCCAGCCTGTTTTTAGCGAGCAGCGGAGTAATGAAAAAACCCTCTCTGACAGAAACTCAGGCTGCGTTTACACGACAACGCTGGGGGTGAAAACGCAACAAAATCCTTTCGGATGCATGGTTCATTTACACGGTACGCGGAGCAAAACGTTAAAGTTGTACACCAAAACGGAAGAAAACCAAAACGCTGGCCAAGGTGGAAGAATTTGAAAACGGAAATGTTCTGCCGGATAATTTGGGTGTGTAAACAGTCGAAACGGTCTGCTGGCCTCGTTTTCCGTCACGTTTGTTCCGTTTTCGGCCGTTCACACGGATCCGACAATCAAAAAATTGTTTTACAATTTTCATCATGTGACGAGTGTTGTCGTGTGGCCTGTTTTCAACCATTCCTCGAGTGTGATTGGTACTTCGACGACAACACTTGGCACATGTAGAGCTTTGGCGGATCCTTTGCTCCCGTGTAGACGCGCGAAAGCGATACAAACCGAGACCACCTCGAATCAGCTTTGATCATGTAAACGAACGAAAACGAAAAAAAGAAATGCGGGACTGAAAACGGAAAACTGGCCGTGCGTTGTCATGTACACACAGCCTCACTGCACGTATGCAAATCCCCAGCATGATCATGGCAAATATTCGGACTGCGCGCACGCTATCCTTCGTTTGTACGTAGCTCGAAACGTACCTGAGACACGTGATGTGAGTTTTCGCCGTGGGAGACCCTATATGCAGAGTTGCACACTCTTGGGAGGTTATATTATACTCTTGGTATATTAAATTATATTAAATAGGCCTTATGCACGTGCACAGATGCACGAAATCTCGTAGAATCTTGTAGAATCCCGCAGACCCGGTTAGGTGTTAAATGTGCAGGACCCTATTGTGTTTACTGCTATTTCCACTATGAAATGGTCCCTGAAGGCATTTCATACGAAAACTTTTCCGGCAGAGACCTAGCTACGTAGTTATTAGTTCAATCCCAAAGTGAAGAAGCTGGAAAAGCGATTGTTTGCCATGAATTATGAGGCTAAATCGGTCAAGCGCGCATGTATAGCACACAATGAACACCCAACCGGGCATGTACACACCTATGGCCCTAGTACCAAACTTCGTACATCTGTACAACGTGCAAAAGGAACATAGTACTGTACAGCACAGTATAATACTGTTGTGTATTCCAAGTTTTCCAACTGACAAATATCACAAGAAAACGTTCTTGAAGATACTAGACTAGTGAGGTGAACGAAATGCAGAGTACTACATGTACTCACATCATCATCACCAAAATCACCCATCGCTGCTGCCTTTGCCTTCCATGGATTCCACACAACTGAAACAACAAGCCCACAGACAGCACAGTGCATCAACAATGTGAATGATCATACATGTAACAACGCATATCGGTACTCGCCCACAACGTGAAACTCAGATGTAACTTTAATTTCCCCGCCTTCATACAGTGTGTACGTAACAAGTTACTACATGTAATAACACATGCGAGTGTGTGGAGTGTGGATGTAGTTTGGAAATGACTTACATGTACTGTCATGCTGATGACGGGGAAATGTGCGGATATGTAACTGATGCATTATGTAAGGAGGTGGTATCACACAGTAGAATGAGTAAGTCAAAGTGGATTGAACCACGCCTCCAACTAAATACACTGAACAAACATTACAATCATGCAGGCCAAGGATCACTGATCCAGCAGCAACAGCACCGCCACCGACAGCGACAGCAGTAGCATACGCCAACCTACAGATGACCAGTAGATGTGCTGATAACGTGATCACTGCTCACTGTAATACAACTTACAACAATAACACGTGAAATACAACCCGTGAAAAAAGCAGCTTGTCTTCACTGCAAAGCCCAGTGTTCGCAGTGCTACACGTTGTAGGGTTGCACAGTCCCATGCCAGGATTGTGATATTCATGAGGTCAGGTTTCACTTGCCTGCTCCAAGAAAATAATGCGGACAAAATCCTAAAATGATGCGCATAATTATGCGGGCGAAAACAGGCCATTACTAGTATGCGGTCATTATGCGGGATTATGCGGCAAATATGCGGGATTATGCGGCAAACATGCGGGATTATGCGGCCACTATGCACAGGCCATTACTAGTCTGCGGCCATTATGCGGGATTATGCGGCAAATATGCGGGATTACGCGGCCACTATGCACAAGTTGTCTGTCATTGGTGCACACCTAGCATACAGTTGCATGCAAGTATACAAACTCATGGGCGGGTATGATGTTGTAGTACATTTTCAACATCATGTATATGTACGTACTGTTTCCTTTGGACATTCCCATGGATAACGCGGGTTTTATGCAAAATCTCTCGAAAACGCAAATGAAATCCAATAACGCGGAAAATTGCGTGCCCGTGGAATCGCGGTATCCTGTGGGGTCAGACTTGCCACCGCTGCACAGTACGGATATCACTTGCGGCAATGGTACTGTGATATGAATTTCGAAGAACAAAGAAAATCGGTGCTCCAATGTACATTATGCACCATGGGCGTAGGAACCGGTCCGGCGGTCGCCGGACGAATAATTTTCGAATTTTTTAAAACATTTCAACCTTGTTGATTGCTTGTCGACTCTTGTACAGGTACCATGTTTTACATCGACAATGCGGTGTATCATCAGCATGCATATTCTTATTTCTCATATTATTCTGTAGCATTAAAATATGGCCTTTTAGGCCCAATTTTCAAAAAAAAATCCCGCGGGAGGACCCCCTCTCACAATTTCGCCGCACCAATATTAAACTGCTTCCTACGCCACTGTGCACTAGTACATAATGTATACGCGACGCAAACTGCTCACCAGTATCGGGCAAGTTGTCCTTGTCAAGCGTCACTGTCCGAGTACCACTGCTGCCAACACCCGTCAGCACATGCTTGCTGGCCGTGTTGCAATACGTCCTGTAGTGTAGGACATGAGCCGGAGAGAACACACTATTACCAGCTACTAACTTACCACTCACATCAATAATTCAACCAATCAACCGTCAGCACGTTACAGTAACATACACTCCACACATGGACACAAGTGGAACGCCTGGCTCGTTTTCTTGGCAGGGACTGCATAACTACCTAAAGGTCATCCGATCATCGTGGACAAAAAGTACGTGGGTACAAAGTGCAGTATCCAATCCATCCCCGATGTTTCTGCATTTCTATCCAGTGATACTTTGCTTTTGACTTAGCCAACCCTCATTCCCAGGACAGACTGAGTTGAACACGACATACCTGTCAATGAAGTCAGACACAATCAGCTGCTCTTCCTGGGCCTCTCCATCGCCACCTTCCTACAGAAATCACGAGCAAGTTATAACAGCAACAAGCGACAATTCAGACTTGAAAACTAGCACTACAAACAGCCAATGTCCACCAACAGATAAACAAACAAACAAGTACACACACACACACACACACACACAAACACACATACACACACACACACACACACACACACACACACACATCTTGGTTCCAAGAGAAAACAAAATCAAGGGGAGCACAAGGAGCCAACACTAAACTCTCACTACTGCTGTAGAACTGGCAGATAATAGGATGAACCAGTGTCAGAACCACACATGAACAGAATAACTAACTGCACCACGCTACTACCAGTGAAGAAATGAAGCAGGACACGCTAGCACAGCTGCACAGTATGAACAAAGTGTGGATGGAGTGTGCAACAACTAAGTGCGAACACACACACACACACACACACACACGGGCGCGTACGTGGCACACATGCAGTACATAGAATAGCACTGCAACTGGTGACTCTAGCGCAATGGTTGGTACCGCGGCGTGAAGTCTCTCCACAATGACACATGGTCATGCCCATCACCCATCCAGTCAGGTTGCAAGTTTTCACACACAGTGCTGTTGCTGCGGTTAGTGTTATTGCTGGTGATGCTGCTGCTGCTGCTGCTGCTGAACACATCCACTTGTGAAGATTATCCCCTAGGCGATTAATGTTGTTAGATGTAGCGCTGGGATCAATGAGAAAGATTGCACCCAAACAATGAGGCAAGGATTTCACTCTCTTCTCCTGCAGGCAAGAGAGTGGAGTGAAGTGTCTTCACTCCCCGTGTAGTGCAAACTTTCTCATGTCTGAAATTCCTGCACACGCCTCATCTCTCCCTCCCTCTAAATACCAGCAGCGAGTTTTTTTTTATTATTCGAAAAAGGATCAAGTACACAGTGACATGTGTGTACACGTACAGTGCTACATTCCCACGACAGAGTGATGTACGTAACAAAGCTCGACATGCACCACAGTTATTGGCAAGCTGCTCTAGAAAAAAGTCTCCTTATCACAGTGCCACGGTGGTATGGTGCACGGTGCTCACCCTCTCCACAAACTTGGATCCCTTCAGACCTTGCACGCTCATCTGTGTAACATCCTTTGTGCCAAAATATGTATGCAACAGAGTGGTGAAGTCAAACGAAGCTGAGCCTGATAAAACAGCACGACACAGAAACAGCAAGACAGCCATCATAAAAAAATTCATTGCTATCGGGTTCGGCCTCATTTTCTCTGTGCTGCGCTGATGAGTCCACAAAGGACGAAACAGTTTTGTCCACAGATTGAGTATATTCTGCACATTATAGATTAATGCTAAGTCCGGTGCAGCATCACACAATGGAACGGCTACAACCTGCTTCAAGGCCACTAACTGACACAGACATATGACAGCACACACCAGCACATACATGTACACACCATCCACATACCTGTGTTCTGAACTTCCACCCGCAACTGCAGCGATTTCTTCGACAGATTTATGTGGTAGCGAAACTCAAACCTGCATAGCAAACACCAGTACGAAGAGACAGTACACTGAGAACGATAAAAAGCACCACCACAAAGACAGCAGTGTTCATTCTTTGACGCTCAGGATGATAATCGACTGTGCACAGTCTACTCTAGTTCATCTCTTGATTTTTCGACCTTATTTATTATAGGGCCATATACGGACTGAAAATTTGGCGAGAGTAATTTTTTTCGCAGTACAGAGATCAGTCAGCCATTCTGGATGGCTGCCATTCGTCAGTCAAAAGGCCAAGGAAGAATCATGCACTCTCACAGCAGAGCAAGCAAGTGTCCTACAATTCTCGCCCAATTCGCCATCACAACCTGGACATGGACTGTAGCAGCACACAACACCATCATCTATCATGTACAGGACGAGCAACATGACCTACTTATTAGTACATGGTTTCAAAGTGTCCAGCAAATTACTTCAAGATTGCTTGGCTGTGAGCGAGCATGGGTCAAACTCGACACATACAGGTCTCTGACAGATTCATCATTGCTAAAAGAATCAAGTAAGCTAACCTATGTTCCCACATGGCACGGGTAGCGTCGGAATCTTTCAGAGAAAATACGCTGTGAGCACAATCATCAGTTTTCTCCTGCAAAGGATCAGCAAACAAAAAGCACCACCTGCAAAAGCTGGGGAACATAATGCTATCTTCAGAGCATCAAGAAAGCCACAAGGCGACCAGGAACACTATTGTTGCAGTGTCTTAGCCATGTTGGAGGGGGACGTGTAGACGTACTTGTATCGAGCCAATGCGATGTATAAATATGCAGCACAATGCACCCATGGCCAAACACGTGCAGCCTTGTTATTCCGCGGCCATGACTTCAAGAGTTGCAGGTTCAAATTTACCATACTTACGAAAAAAAAGTGCAGTACTATAAAATACCTCCCTGTGCAGTACGATAGGAAGACCAAAGGTTCATAGGGTATACCCAAATATATGTGCGTGGGTTCCTATTGTTATTGAGAAGTCCTCTTTCCTCACTACATAACATTGCATAACATTGCATAAGACTGATACAGTGTACATGTGTATTATCTCTGAGCAGGAGTGTATGAGACAAAGGAGATCCACACCACACCGGGCTTTGTTTCACTTGATATGTGCAGGCTTTCGTCAGCCCTGAACGTGTTACGCATTCTTGCTCCGTGCGCGCATGTGTGTGTGTGTGTGTGTGTGGGTGTTTGTGCATGCGTGTGCTCATGCTCGGTAACCTACCGTCTTGTCCAGCGTAAAGCGGGAAATTCTTGCAAAGCCATGCTGAGGCCCCAGCTTCCATGGCCCAAAGTTGGCTGCGCAAAAAGAGCACAAAATTTCGAGCAGAACCAGTCAAGCTACCTCTGATAACATTATCTCATACTTTTTGGTACAGAGCTTGACGTGAACAACTGGCCACATTGACTTACGGAACACTAGAGGAATGCCTCCGCGGATAGCTTTCTTGTTGTCAAATATTGCCTTTGTGCTGTATTCAACCAAAAAACAAACATGAATAGCGATGCATAACACTCGTCCAAACTAAAAGCTGGTTCTTTACATGGGAAAGGTCTGAAGAAAACATTGGCTGTCGCCTCCAGGACTCGAACAAGGGACCCTCGCTCATGGCCAGCGATGCATCAGGTATCACCGCTTACCTGACAAACAGAAGCTCCTCTCCGTCACATACCCATGACACAACGGTAGCACCTGCACAGCAGACAATGCAGGCCAAACATAATGAGCACGCAGGTGAGCACTGACACAGATGAGGTCAGGAGTACACCGAAACTCCTGACCAGGTTACCACGGTTATAAACCATACACATGAAGGGCAAACTCATGTCTGTTGTACCGTTGCCATGGAAATACACTCATCTGGGAAAACACAAGCAAAAAAGTTTCGAACATGGTTGTGAGCTTTATGCCCACATTTGTGTTTTGTGCACAAGCAAACCGCAGCCAAATGTAGCGCTAGGCGCAGGTTGTTTATGCCTGTGGCCCTATGTGTTTAGGAGTGTACTGCTGGGTAGAACCCCAGTATCATGATATCAAGAGTCCATAACCCCAAGAGTGTGCAACTCTGTACATGGGGATCCGCGCGGCGGAATTCCAACATTACGTCAAAAATGACGTACACGTTCGTTGCGCTTGTACAGTCGTCCCTCTCTAATCCGGCACTTGTTTATCCAGCACCCTTGCAAACCAGCACACTTTCTGGCAAAACGGATTTTTTCAGTTCATTTTCTACGCTTTAATCCGGCACTTGAATTCCGCCTCCAGCAGCGATTTTCGGCAACAAATCACTCAAACTGTACATAATTCGATTTTCTAATCCAGCAGTTGTACATCGCAGACTGTCAGGGACCATTGTAACATACACAACACATGCAACATACACTTGGGAATATCCCATGCCAGTACATAGGATATTCCTAAGTGTATAACTTATAGACATGCATTCCACAAAGTACTTGGTTTGACACAGAAAATCCCTACGTTTTGACGTACGACACAAACATGTATGATAACATGTGGGCCGGGTTGGAGGGCAGGATTTCATAATCCAGCACCCTTGTTTATCCAGCAGAAAATGCCGTTGCAAAAGGTGCCGGATTAGAGAGGGACGACTGTACTACTCCCTGGTTCCAAGCACCGCGGAATGCGGAGTTTTGTCCTCTGTGCCTCAGCGGCATGACGTAATGTTGGAACTCCGCCGCGCAGTGGGCCTACAGCAGCCAGACCCCAGTTGCACACTCTTGGGGTTATGGACTCTTGATGATATCAGTTGTCTGATGATTGCCTCGCGGTGTGAAACTCAAGAGTTACAACCAACTTGAACGTCCTCCGCTGACCCTGCTATGTTCTAAGCTCTGTCTCTGATATTGAGCACTCTCTGCAGCTCGGCGATCGACGGATTTGTAAACAGGTGTCTGAATAAGCCCGAGGCTAATAAGTTCAAGGCCAGTAAGTCCGGACTGATTTTTCTCATGTTAAAACGCGCCCTCAGCAAATGTTCAGTTCTATGGGACCAAGAGCATTTATGTACTCTTGATGGGACTCATACCCATGTCCCCGGCAGTATGGAAAGTGCGGGATTTCATACTGGTCCTGAATGAAATATACGGGCCCAGGAAAAAGCTGCATAATACCGGTAGCCCATTCAATGGACAATGAAAACAATGACTGTTCTTAGGAGTCAATTTAAATGCAAGATAGCTGTGAGTCACTTTTAGTGAAATTGCTCACCATACAAATGAACGGTCACCGTATTCTTGTCGTCCAAGCTGATAACCACTGTGTCCTTGGCGTCCATGTTCAGCTTCGGAGTATTCCACCCCAACAAGAGTGCAATTATTAGACCGAGCAAGAAAAAGCTCCAGGCAACGTGTGACGTGCTGAAAATATTCTCCGTGTTTATAGACGATGTGGTTTGAAGTACATGTGAAAATGCTCAAGCCCTCACTAGGACTGTAGACTGTGACTACCGGAATAATTGTTCGCCCGGAAGAGGAAATGCCTCTTGATGTTGAATGAATGGCACTTACACAGTTACAGCCTGGTACAGGTCTACATGTAGGTACGTCCTGTACAAGGTAAGCTTGGCTCTGCGATTTTTTGTATTTTGAAAGGCTTCCATCCAGTCTGCGCCCTCGGCCTCTCGGCGCACACTACAAAATAATTGTAGGCGCCTCTCGCAAGCGCCGCTCGAGCGCTCGGCTTTTACCGGATGGTACCATAGCCATAGTAACAAGAAAGGCTCGTGATTTATTTCGCACTGAAGCTTCGAAGGGAAATCCCGCGAAGTCGAAAATAAAAAATACAACACATGAAGAAAATAATGTGGGACATATCCACAGTGCAGTCTATTCATGCCAGTGCACAGGTAGATCTTCGAAGGAGCTTTCGTACTGGCCATGGACCAAAATACGTCTACATGTCTTTTAGGGGACGGTCAGTGAGTCAGTTGACGACAAACTGTCTGGCATCTTTGTATTCGAGTAGAGGAGAAAATAGAATCCTTGCTTGGATCCAATTTGCTGTAACCTGGCTTTGTTGCAGTTGACTGTGTACATGGTGTACGTGTAGCAGTATTGGCAACCTAAAAACCTATAAATATTTTTCATCCAATGCGTGATTGTACCTTTCCGTACTCGTTGGAAATCTGTATGCACTTCTTGGCAGCTGTTGAACACTGCGCTGCGTGGACTCGTGTGTATCCCTGATGGATCAGCTGGTAAACTTGTCGGATCATACCATGGTGTAATAACACAAGCTGCCTCTGTTCCTGGCGAAGCGTTTTGAAACAATATTGGCCTAATTCAAAGTCCTGACTTCCTGACTTCCTGACGTCTTTCAAGACTACCTTCATCACGTGTAGCTTCTGACCATCTTGTTGATGATGGATACATGATCAATGGCCGATGGAAAGCATGGGGATGTACCACTCCTTATATCAGATGTGCGCCAGGACCGACCGCATGATCTAAGTGAACTAACTAGTGTTCGCCAAGGGTCCTGCTCTGGCTTCGTTATGGATGGTCGGATTGCGGACTCGCCGACAGTGGCAAGCAAAGTCAACGCCACTGTGAACTCACAACGACATCGCCTGTCTGTCATTGTGTTTGCCGTATGTGCCCTTTTGCTGGCCTTTGCAGCCAGTCGCTGGAGTGAACTGCTCAGTGCTGAGTTCCGTATGCTTCGCGGCTCGTTCAATGTTGTACTACTTATTTACCTGTTTCTGCTTAATATCCGCGGCTGGCGGGCCGGCAACATTTCATACATCAAGATGTTTGAGCTGGACAACGATTGGACAGTGTGGAACTCTGTCTCGGGTGTGTCAATGCACACCGGCTTCCTGTGGTCTTTCGGCTGCAGTGTGACGTTGCTGCTGTGCGCTCTGAACCGTACCACAGCCGTCAGCTATGTGCCAGTGATGCTGTGGGTGGCTTTATTCACATACTTTGTGTGGCCTTTCAAATCCTACTTCTTCGAGTCGCGCATGTGGATGATCAATGTTCTCTATCGCATACTTGTGTCGCCGATACACGAAGTCAGCTTTGCCGACTTCTGGGTGGCTGATCAGCTCAACAGTTTGGCGTCCGTGTTTGTCGATTTTGAGTTCAGTATGTGTTTCCTGGTCGGCCTTGGTTCATATAGTGTAGCTGACTTGAAGGAGATGCCGGTTTGCAGAATAGCTACCTGGAATTCACAATTGGTAAGAGAGAGAAAGAACGAGCGAGCGAGAGAGACAGAGAGTGAGGGGGGGGGGATGCCGCTGTTGCTGCTGCTAGTAACGAACCATGAATTTTATGAACGAATAATCTAGCGAATACAACTCAAGCGAACGAACGATTATTCTACTATTTCACAAGAAAATTCATTCTTGACAATTATCAAGAACTATTGCGAATGCTAAGTGTACATGTAGTAAACGCACAACACAAGCACTCAGACTCGAGTCAGAGTAGAGTCTACCATGGTCTACCACGCATAGTCTAGTCGTTGTCTGCAACACAGTACAAAGTGTATGCTTCCAAGTCGAGATGCAGCGCACGGGCTTCGTCCGCCCCCGAATATTCAAATTCTCGAACCTTCGACGAAGATGAGGCAACTAATGCCACACTCAAGCCAGCTACCTGCACGGCCTCTGCTTTGCGTGGCCACAATGGTCTGCATTGGCTGTTGCTCATGTGCTGTTGTAGTGACTGTGAGCTAGTAGTGTCTTAGGTGTAGCCTGAGTACCAATGTAGGTGATGAGATCGAGAAGGTTCTAGTAGTGTAAAATTGGTAATTTTTGAAGGTGACTTGTTTGGTTTTGAAAGTGCCCTTCAAGGTCGATGATGATGATGATGATGTGCTTACGAACACTAAGCTGGTGTACATGTACTCGTTTTTCTCCTCTCTGTAGATCTTGGCTGCACTCCCTGCCTGGTGGCGATTTGCGCAATGCTTACGCTGTTACTATGATACGAAAGAGATTCCCCATCTGCTCAATGCTGGCAAGTATTTCTCCACCTTTCCTACGATCGTTGCTGCGGGCATGCTGGCCACTGCGCAGCTCAATCGCCCGCATGCATGGCAGACAGGTCCGGAGTTCCACATTTGGCTTTACACGACGGTGTTCCGTGCTGTCTATGTCTATGTGTGGGATGTGCGCATGGATTGGGGCTTCTTCAAGTGCAACTCGTTCCCATGCAGTCCCGTGCGAAGTAAGCACCCATTTCTAAGAACTCACTTGCTATTCTCGCCCCACTGGGTATACTATGGCATGATCTTGTTAGACTTAGTGCTGCGCTTCAGCTTCCTTGTAAAGCTGTGCCCAGTGATCTTTGGCATGGTCCCGGGAGATGTGTTCTTCTCCATCCTATTGACCATGGAGGTCGTGCGACGCTTCCTCTGGAACTTCTTTCGCCTGGAGTACGAGCAGACAAAGAGTATGCCAGAAGATGCGCCGACGAAATCCAGACAGTTCAGTGCTGGGAACACGCCGACATTACCACATGAAATGTGACAGTGTGGTAACTTATTATTTCCTTTTCGTATTTCAAAGTACTTTCCGAGTTTTACTCCATGACTGCACCGTTTGGTGTTTCCCTTCTCTCTTTACGTCATAAAATATGTCAACAGATCGTTCAGTAGTTTTGCCTTATAAAAAAAAGTCCGATGCAGCTGCAACTAGAATAAACACCTCCCAGCTATTTTATATCTGCCGCTATTTTCTTGTCTTTGTCATGCTAAAGAAGCTGTACATGTAATTTATTGAACACGTTGATGGAGACATGTAGCTCACATTCATAATTTTTTTAGCATTGAGGTCAGTTTTCAGAAGTGCCTTGCTTCACCCCTACGCAACAATGTACACCGTTCACTGCGGTTGCTTGCGATAATACCAAGAGTACATAGGCTTCGGGTGCGCATTTACTCTTGGTAATACCAAGAGTACATAAACCGTACTCTTGGTAATACCGGTAGTTGTTGAGTGTCTTGCTACTCTTTCTTTGTCTTTGTAGCCATCTGCCAAGAATGCATAATATTATTATTGATTATAGTGCGGATATTCCAAAGGCAATGGTACCTAAAATTAATAATCGCAAGAGGGTGCAGTACCTACTCAGACCTATCTGGACATGCATATACGTACGGGTTTTTCACAGTGTATCATGTGTACTCTTGGTAATAGTATGGGAATTTCTACATTGTAGTTGTATAGCACTACATTCATGCAGTAAAAACAAGAGTACATAAAACTTTTATGTACTCTTGGTAAAAAAGGACACAGGCAATGGGTTGCATGCAAGTGCACACATTGTATATCATGATATGGACACCACACTGAAGTGAAGGTCACCTGCCACAGCTATTCATGAGTACATATCACACGACTACATTCACTTTGGGCTATACATATAAATTGGAGGAGCCTCGGCGAACTCCAATTGGAGTTCTACGAGCCTCCTCGTAGCATCCAGGAGCACTGTGCATGCCTAAGTCATGCACAGTAAGTACGTACTTACTGTGCATGACTTAGGCATGCACAGTGTGACTGGATGCGGAGAGGAGGTGAAGACACACTGAAGTACATGTAGAACTACGATGTTACTATCTCTGGCTCGACAGGAGTCTGCAGAAATAACGGATGTGAGATACAAGTACATGTACCCTGGGCCCTGCACTCGGTCCCTCTACTTTTGAGAGAGAGAGAGAAAGAGGGAGTATGCCTGCGGACTGGGATGATGTTCTAAGAACAATGGGTTTGACCTCAGCGTACCAAGTACAAGCTACCTATATGTATGCAGCAGTTCTCCGGGAAGCAGTATATGACATGGAGGAAAAGAGCTAAGGACCAAGTCATCAACGGCCCACTCGTGTCATGACATATTCAAGCAAGAGACTTGAGCATTTGAGAAAGGCAGTTGACCTGCTCATCATAATTATATTGAAAACAGCTAGGGAGACAGCAGCGGAACAAGCCACTGCGCTGTACGTGCCAGCACACTTTGTATGACCAAGCAAGGAGCTAGGAGACAGGAAATGATGTCGGAGAGAAAGACAATCTACTGTCAAGGAGATAAAATACTACAAGTAATACAGAAACTGTACGCCCTCGACCAGAAACTGGGCAAAAACATACAAAAAATAGCTGTTACGAGGATTAAAAAGAAAAAGATTGTCAACTGGTTGGGGGTAGCTGATACAGCACAGTACCCAAGGTTAGAGCAAAGACAGAGCCCACATTGGGATGATGTGGCGGAAGCGGCGGCTGCTGAGCAGGAGACTATCCCCCCTCCCCCACCCCCTGCATCAGCAAACAAATAACACGCCACTTGCCAAGCTCAAGAGTAGACAGTTGACTGCTGCCACTCGTACATGACACCAAATCAGCACCAGACGCACACTCACTCGCTCCCACCCACGCTCGCTCACAGGCTCGCTCATCCCGCGCTGGAGCTCGCACTTCCACACGCGGGCGCACACTGTCTCTCGTTGGCAAGCACACTTTCACTCACTCTCACACTTGCAAGTCGATCACAGACGCACATTATTGCAAAGAAGGCCGCATATGTTTGGTGTCACGCTGCCGGGGATGTTGCCGATGTCAAGCAAATCCCTCCGATTACACCTGTGTTGTGCAGGAGACTATTGGCGGCATTACTCCGATGACCCATGGACATGGTACACAGGTGTGGATGCGTGTATAATCTACCAAGAAAGAAAACTGGGCGATGATTGATGACGGTCGTTTAGCATACGCACGCATGGTGGCATATTGCATATTCACACTTTCAGCTTGCGTATCTCCTTGCTGGTCCATAGTGCCAATGCGCGGGTCTTTGCCACCTTTGAAGAACGGCCCTCTTGCAGCAGGGAATGGACGGGCTTCTTGTCAATGAATGGAAGCAGCTGCTGACCAAAGCATTTCATCAGGTCTCCGAGTAGCCCGCACGCCACAGCAATGTGAGAATCAGTGCGGTATGGGTCGGAAGCCCCTTGCTCCACATACGTCAGCATCGTTCCTAGATGCGGCTCAAGGACTGATACTTGTGCGGCCTGAAAATGCAAAGCGAACACAAAAACAGCAATTGCACACGTCTCGAAGCACCAGATATGTGTAAGTACAAGCAGTTATCCCAATGCTGCACTAACATCAGGAAAATAGACTTCAGCGCCAATTTACAACCTTCACCTCGGATATTTTCTCCTTGCTACTCTTAATCCTATTTCGCATTCCACTCTGTCCAATAGGACATGCAGAGCAATACCAATACGGGAGTGTCCCCAGCCAGGCAGTGACGTGGGATGTCACCGGCTACAGTACTCGTGCAAGCTTTGGGGACAGCTGCTGGAACTTACAACATACATGAGAAGCACAATACCACACAAACCTAGCGAGCAAGCAAAGCACTGGGATCATGACGCAGCCAGACGGTACTTCCTACTACAGCAAAATACTAGTAATCATGGAAAACTGCGCTTATAATAGAGAATATGCGGTATGCTGTCAGGTGAACCTCTTCCACAGAGGCAAAGTCGAAAAATGTCATGTATTTTTGTCTTTTTGACAACTCCCACAATTTTCTCACACCACTACTGTACATGTACAGGGACAGCTGGAACAGAGTCTTCACCATGCTTTATCAATCCCCTTCTGAGAAGCAAGCTTGAAAGCCTATGAGGATGACACAATGCCTCACGGTCCGGGACATGCTGTTGCTACTTACCACATTGTCACCATTCTCAGCTGCACTCGTCAGGGACTGCACAACACCAATGTAGGCTTCGAGTACACTTTCCCGCAATTCAATGATATACTCGTGATCATCAGGATCCACCTGAACAAGACGCAAAGTACATGAACAGGGAGAAGCAATTAACAGTCAGATGAGGATACACACAGAAACCACAGTGTTATTTACAGTTGGCGATGTGCTTCAAAAAGGTGTTGCCACCACTGACTTCAACCCACTTCTGATGTATGTACATGTATGGGCATAATACACTTCATTGCCTCTGTTGAGAGACAGACAGACAGACAGACAGACAGAGGAGAGAGCGAGAGAGGGAGGGAGAGAGCGAGAGAGAGAGAGAGAGAGAGAGTGTGTGTGTGTGTGTGTGTGTGAGAGAGAGAGAGAGAGAGAGAGAGAGAGAGAGAGAGAGAGAGAGAGAGCAAGAGCGAGAGCGAGAGCAAGAGCGAGAGCCAGAGAGAGAGAGAGAGACAAAGAGAGAGAGACAAAGAGACAGACAGACAGACAGAGAGAGAGACACACACACACACACACACACACAGAGACACACACACACACACACACACAGAGACACACACACACACACACACACAGAGAGAGCGCACGAGAGAGCGCGCACAAGAGAGAGAGAGAGAGAGAGCGCACGAGAGAGCGAGAGAGCGCACACGAGAGAGAGAGAGAGAGAGAGAGAGAGAGAGAGAGAGAGAGAGAGAGAGAGAGAGAGCTGCCAGCTCAAGGCCCTCGCTATGGGTGTTATTTTCCTAGGCCATCATGAGATTTCCTCAAACCGATAGAAACCTGCAGCTGTAGGTAAACTATGCACCTGAAGATTATAAGTGTAGACATGCCGGTCCACACATAAATGCAAGCAAGAATGAATGCGCACGCATACACACACACACACACGCACAGATACACAATAAAAACAAAAGACTGTGGACTATGGCTACGCCAGCTATCCCCTATTACGTCTGGTATAGCTTCGGGAATACTCAGTACAGCTATACTTACTGGAGCTGAACCAACGGCCTGCAAGATGAGCAGCAGAGAGTGGTAGTAAGGATTAAACAGCGTGCCAAGACACAACGCCACATCTCCCAGTACACTCAGTACCTGCACAAAAGCAAAGATTTCAATTACGAGAATAAACATACAGAGAAGCTTCAGGACAAGGTATCTCCAAGGGCAGTAAACGTCTGTACTTTATAGCCAAGGTTGAATGACTGGTTGGCTTGGTATAATACGTACAGGGGTACTCTATATCCCACAACGCTAGAAAAAGTGCGCATGCAGTCATAACGTAGCACTAGAAAAACAATATCTCATCGATTTAAACGTCTTCTTGCGACGTCCATCAGAAATCATCATCACGATGGGATAAGGACTACAATAAGATATTTATACCCAGAGGTAGAATTATAGGGCTAAAGAAACAGCAACAGAAGACACTGGCAAAAATAGCACCAATACTACAGCTGCAAATTCAGAGCGAGGGGGGGGGGGGGTGTCGCTGGCACCGAGAAATTGTCCACTTTGTCGGCCAGATAAGGGTTAAAGTAAACGTTTGTCTCTGTTTTCAAAGGAACTCACGATGGCTGCTAACATCCGGAATAGCCCAAGTGCATTATCATTTAAAAAATTTGTATACTTCAAAAAAAGAAGTGCATTTTTTTGATCGTATTGTGCACCTGCCATTTCGATTAAATACAGTAGATATGCTGAAAGGGTCTTCAGAAGTCACATGGGCGTGTGAAATAGCCAACAGGTACATGTATACGGAACAGATTGGCTAAACATCTCTCCAGACCCTACTTCTTCTTACCTGGGGCTTAATTGACTTTTGGATAGTGTCGTCCTGCAGTACAGCGTACAGTGCAGACACAATCTCAGACGCGCAATCCACTAATGCAGCCTTTCCCACAGACCGGCACAGGTCGCTGACTATGCCAACGGCGGCAAAGCAAACCTGCAGCAGACACATCAAGTTGGGCAGAAGCAAATCAACTCAATTCCGTACGACAGCCGTTCAGATCATGAGTATGGTCGTATCATTGCTGGTTAAAAAAAAGCTGACGCGCAGGGGTGTTTACTACATCAGCATTGAGCCCATACGGAGTTCAGGTATGGTAGCATAGGGCTTTAGGGAGACCCCTAAAGCCCAATGCAATGGTCAGGAAATGCAATGTGGTACATGTACTACACTATAATTATTTGACAAGGATCAGGGAGTCATCGTGCAACACTCCAGTATTATCACATGGAGACAAGTATCATCCCTACTCAGCCTGTATATTATAGGGCTGAAACGATTATACCGAATATTCGAGTACTCGTTTGATAACTCTAACCATCGAGCAATCGTTTAGATTACCGATTACGATTATTTTGCGTTTTTTAAATTCGTGTTCAGAAAGTGCTGTAAGCACTCGTTTTGTGAAGTTTGAATCAGTTTCCGCAGGGAGTATGCAGTTGCCACGGGTATGGTTCATGTTCTGAGGTTAAATTGACTTCAAAACTGCCATGTTTCGGAGCTACCCTTTCACTAATGCAGATTGGTTGGTATTATGAAGGCATAGTTTGTGGAAACAGAGTAATGTTTGCACAGAATTATGACTCTATTTGCTAACGATCATAATCGATTACTGGATCGTTAAGCTAAAGAGTAATCGATCCGTGAAAATCCACGATCGTTTCAGCCCTACTGTATATGTCTATGGCATGCACAGAAAATGTACAGGGACAAAATTTAATAACAGACAAGAGAGCAGGCGCAATGAAAGAAAGCTACACATAATTTCTCTCCTTACGTCATGCTCGTTCCGTGCATTCAGGGCCACAATCAGGTACTGCTTTAGTTCAGGCATGAAGCTGATAAACTGTTCACCGAGTAGTTCAACCAGAGATCCAACGGCCATTAATACATCTTCTTGTACTGCACCGGTCAGAGAAGCACGGAGCATTGAGATCAGCGAGCGGAAGACTTCTGGACCGAGGGTGGCTGCATCCTCCTCGCTCATTCGGCGCAGCAGTGCTTGCAACGCCGCACACAGCAATGACTGTATGTCATTGAACTGGGAGCGATTTTCTTGTGAGACATCTGGCGCCATTAAAAGCAGCTGCATGGAAAGAGAAAGCAAAAAAAGCCGCTATGAATTGTCGATTCAGTTGGTCCTGTTGATTGCTATCCTAAAAAAAACAAGTACATTGATGACCACAAATATATACGTTTCGTTTCTGAGCTCACTTTCGACCGCATTTGATTAAGGCTAGCACATGCCTCCAAGTATTATTTTCAGTTGTGTACGAGTACAGTGTGCCTATTGTGTGTCAGTATGTCTGGTACGCAATACAGATCCAAGTGTTCAAAGGAAAATTCCACCTCCAAAGAACCAGCCTTGGACCATCCAGCAGTGCCATTCAAAATCGAGATTTGATCGTTCATTTTAATGTCACAGATGATGGAAAAGACACACACCCCTATGTGCACGTACACACTGTTCACAAGCACACATGTATGCCACACATGCACACACGCACACACACACGTCTGGAGAGAACAGCTTACCTGCTGAACGCGCTGCATGATCACCATCATGGTGGACTGGACAACCGGGTAGCAGTCTGCTGGGCTGTTCTTGACTAACTCCATTACAGCCTCGTACGCCGAAGACCGCAAGTGGCTGCTTGATGCATCCTCCCTGACGGTGGCTGCCAATAACTTTGTGACCAGAACCTCAAATATCGGTGACAGGCAATATGTTGGCGGGATCTCACCCTCCTCCGTTTCCGCCCTCTCATACGCCGTTTCCGCAAGCGAAGAAATAGCCAGGCAGTAATTTCCAGCAACGGTGGGTTCAGCATCAATACCAGCGATTACGCCCTGTCAAACGCCAACACAATCATACAAAATGCAAGTATGTATACAAGCAGACAAGCACGCAAAGCGAGGCATGGCACAAACGTAAAGATGCACTCAAGCATCAGGTCCAGTCTCTTCTAGCAGTAGCGCAAGCCACAGGAGAGAAAAGACTGCAGTTGATACGTACCTTGAAAAAGTCGCCGGTGTACAGCTTATCAATGATGGCCTCCGGGTGCAGCTCACAGATGCGGCCGAAACAGTACGCCAGAGTGTCCTTCACCACACTTGATGGATCATCCATTCTACAAAGGAATACTGGGATGGCCTCAACGATCACCGGTTCCAACGTCTCAAGTTTCGGACCTATAACACAAGGGAAAGGACGATAAGGAGTTGGAAACATGGCAAGAAAACTAGTTTTGGAGAAGTTACAGCCACTTGGTTCATCTGGAAAACCTCACCTCACCTCTTTTGAAAAGAGTCATGCTACATGCTACATGTATTCCAGACGAGACAATGCAAACTCATCCGAGATTAGCAGAGGTCACCGGTGTGTGGTAAAGAACTGGTAACACGGGCAGAGCACTCTCAAGAAAAGGTGCGCACACGATATTCACCACTATTATATTACCTGCAGCGAATAATGCCTGCAGTTCATCAGCTCACTTTCTGCAAAGCAATAGCACCCCAGAACATCCACCTGAAGTCTGCCTTGCAAAAATTTCAACAATCAAGTCTAAAAATGAAGTTGGTTGTTCCAACGAGGAACACACGCTTCCTGCCGAACTTGACACTTGACTGACCCATGACTGCCATCCATACGAATTCAACACACATGCTGAAAAAATGCAGCACACCTAAAACCATTCATTGAGCTGAATGGGGCTGAAAGTCCAAGGCACTTTGTCAGCTCCTCAGCTAGAAGCTCATGGAGTACAACCACAGACTAAATACAAGCTATCAAAGCTCATTGGTAACTGTGGGCAGCAGCAACAGCAGCAGCAGGGCAAAACGTACCTTCCAGGATAGAGCTGAAAGCCATAAGAGCAGCCTCTCTGAACTTCCAGTCCTCATTCGTAACATTAGACGTTACAAACGGCAGTACACGGTTGACTATGTCGTCCTCGCAACATGTTGCCATAAGCATGAGGCAGACACTGGCAGCTTTGTTTGGCTTCCACGCATCCTCATCATCAAATTCATCCTGGTGAGTGAGTACAAGCATGAGGATGGGAACGAGAAACTGCAAAGCACCTGTACATACCATGCACAAACACGCACACACCAAGTTAAAAGCTATGCTACCACACAGGCATATTCAGTGCGGCATAACTGATACTTCAAAAGGGTTCTAGCCATGGGGGGGGGGGGAAATCAGGAGCTGTACAGTCTTGATTACTCTTGTGCTCAGGGTATTTCCTGGGCAGCTTCTGACCTGCGTCCAGTTATATATCGACCCCAAATAGGTCAGACCCTGAGGGAGCAGGGGTGGTCTGTAAGTTTGCATCGATATGCACAAGCTCATGTCTAGGGAAGCCCAGGATGTATGGTAACATGCTAGGAAAACATGGCACTCCTGATGCGACCTATTCTGCACACTGATTTTTTATGATGTAAGCAGCTCTATGACTGTATGCATACGAGACAAGAGGTCGACCTGGTGCAATGCAGTTCTGGGTACATTCAAGCGGATTACATCATGACAACTGACATAACTCTGAGAACGAACCGTGACAGAGGTTTACGTAAGCTACACACTCTGGGGAGTTACATACTCTTCTTGTGACCAATTCTACACACTCATACCTTTACATACAGTGTTAGCAATAGTACAGTCACTGTATGTCAGACAATTGTCACACAATTGACCCAGCCAGGCGCAGGCCATAAGGCACAACCAGAACCACATGCAATCATGTACACACACCATGTACACACACACACACGCACCAGCAATACACATACCTTTGGCATAGTGTTTGCTTACGACCTCCGGTACAAGTCCGTCTTCAGCCGCCTCTGCGGCACTGATGTCTAAGTCAATCTCCTCCTCTGCTACCGTCGACCAGAATTCAATGCCCTGCAAACAAATTGGAAAAAAGAAAGTCATCTTACCAAAAGGCTCCTATCAAGACACTACATACACTACATTCATAGTTCTTCGGGAGGCACAAGGACACTCCATAAGGTACGTACAACTTTATGACTGTTGGACTGAGCGCGCCCAGATAGTCAAGCATTCATGGCCAAATTTGAGAGAATGAAATGCACACCAGACACACCAGCGCATGTACATGGTTGTGGGAAGAAAGACTTACTGGTAATTCAACTTGTCAAAGAAACTTCATTCTATGGTTGTGCTAATACTAGGTGAGACTTGACTCAGAGTGCCAAGCTGGTGCCCTCGCCCAGTTCCCATTGCATCACTATATTGGTACTGTCGGGCTCACTGAAATCCGACCCAAAGTACAAAGCTGGCGCCCTCAACTGGCACGGCCTTTGACGCCCTGGAAGTGGCACGAATGCGGCTGGATGTACACAATCATGTACTAATACAATGATGTAATCGGAACTGGTCCAGAGCGCCAGCTTTGCACTTTGGGTCGGATTTCAGTGAGCGCAACTGTACCTGTGTACTTCCAGCAGCATTTGTACCACTTCCCGGGCGCCAAGGGCCATGCAAATCCGGGTGCCAAACACGCACTTTGGGTCGGATTTCACCAAGCATGGCAGCTCCACAGCACAATTTCCTGAAAAGACAACAGTCCTGACTCTACCAAGTATTGCAGCTTGAGGTGGCAAGGAAGAGACTATTTCAAAACAGTAGTCAGTGCTGAGAATTACCATTCCGTCATTCTGACATCATGAACAAGTCGACATCCATCAGAGTCAAAGAACAGTGCACAGAGAAAAGTCTACCGTGCGCACAAGGAGTTCACATACCTGCAGTGCCACATCATCATCATCCGACTGCATGGCCTGAACAGTAATGGCAAATAACGCCTGGCCCATGTAGGTCTCCATGAACTTGTAGTGCAAGCACATGACCTGGTTCAGGTTCTGCAAAGCCGCGACGCGCACTCGTACATCGGTGCACTGTGTATTCTCACACAAGACCTGCAAATCACACGATGAAAAGCCAACGCACGGCCGGGGCCAGGAGCAAAAACAAAAATTCATCAAGAAGAGCATTGTCACTATAGTACATTTCAATATCATAGACTCTCACATAGTTCCTTGCGATTTTCAGCAGCGTCAGTTCTGTTAGAGTTCTTCCAAAGTTTGGGAGTTTGTAACAAATACGGGTTTCAGAGTACGTTAGAAGTACATACTCCGAAGTACAAACCCATGTAGGTTCACACACGTATGCTTTTCGAATTGCATATTGAAAGTCGACAAATTTTCGGCCCATTCAAGTTCGGCCTTCCAGGGCTAAAACAAATTTTCGGCCTGTACTGCTGCAGCCTGTATACACTGTCACACTGAACCTTGCAAAACAAAATTTCGGCTGCAACACATTTTCGGCCAAATATGATCAGGCCGAAAATAGCCGAAAATAAATATGCGCCGAATAATTTTGTTAAAAGAAAAGGAACTCCACGACCAAATAGTCCAAAAGTTAGACTGAGAGGGCCATACTGAAGCACTCCCCCCCCCCCCCCCCTCCCCACACATAGTATTAGGAAACATACTCTCGTGTTTATTGCACAATTGCCAATGTACTACACTGTACCTGCATAATAAAATGCCGCTCTTGATCGCTCTCAAAGTTCTTCTTGGTGAACTCCATTGAATTAAGGAGTGCCTTGGTCGCAGCCAGGCGGACGCGCACACTTTGCTCTTCTTTGCGCATACCCTGCACGATTGCTGTAAGAATATCGTTAGAAGCAGCTTGGAGCACCTAGCACAAGGACAACCAGACCAAAGCAATACTGTAGGAACCACAGAGTGGAAGGCGATCTTCAAACATCCAAGCTAGACATGTGCCTGCTGACACTTGCTTGGGACCCTTCCACACCTGGCAGATGTGAGTGCAGTAACACTGGGCACCCAAGAATGTGGCTCTCCACTTCAGGCTTGGCATGTTCATGTTTTTCAAGATTCCAACCTTTCATTATTACAACTCGCGCACCATTAGGCACTGTTCTTTCAACGTCCATCACATACTGGGTATTTTTCAAGAGAGGGCACTATTTTCCCAAAGGTGGTGCAAATGTGGCACCCACCATAAAAAACAAAGAAAGCAAAGACGAACAGAGTCTAAACTATCAGTATCTGGGAGTGTACGTGCGGCTGAAAAAGAAGAGAAGCACGACTCCACAGAAACCGTGAGGCACTACAATTTTGATCATGAAGCTTAGCCACAAGCGCAATGTCATAGACAGAAAACATGAGGAAAACAACACCAAACGTGCACATACGCTTGACTACAAGCCCGGGGCACTAATCAGCAGAGTGCTTTATTTTTCCATTAGCTCTTCGAGACAGGGATGTTATTTATAAAAGATGGTGAGACTCAGTTAGACTGAGTAATGCCACCGCGCTCAGGGATGAAGGCGCGGATGCAGCACTATTCAAGACAGGACTTCAATCGCGCAAGTACGATAGTCCGTGATTGTACATATGTGTAGTACAGGTACACAGAGCGCGCTGTCTTACATTAAAAAAAAACAATCTCTCGTGTTCCAAAATGCTTTCAGCCATGTGTGTACTGTTCCTCAATCCTGCTGAGTGTCCAGCCTGGATGGACCTGAGCAATCTTACCGATGCATCAATCTCCTCGCACATGTATCCAATGGCTTCTAGAGATGCTTCCTTGAGGCCTTCGGTGCTGCTAGCATTGGTGACACCTTGCAGCAACAGAGGAAGCAGGTCCGGCCACGCACCAATGGGGATTTCGATGCAGGCGATGAACGCCACACATTGCGCGGCACTTGACGGTGAGATTGTTTCCGTGCCGAGTGACAGCAGCACCTGTGTCCGATAGCATAGATAGAAGGCCAGGAGACAAGCATCCAGACTGATATCGACATGTGATCCAGAGAATTAATTATTGTGTATGCTATGATAGTGTGGCCTGGCAACGGCGATGGTAAAAAGTAACAGGGATTAGGAACAACTTAAGTGGAGGTCCATCAGTTCAACAATCAAAATCCACTCCTTGCCCCACATCCGCAATAGGAGGCTGGTCAAATTCTAGAGAACATTTACAGTGGCACCTCGTTAGAAGAACACTGAATTGTTCGTCCTAAAGAGGTTTTCATGTAAAAGAGAAAGGATCAATAAGTTACGAGTTGTGACTAAGGGCATGTTCGATTGGTTGGGCCCGGATCCAGATCGATTGAGTGGATCCTTCGGATCCACCAAGTATACAATCATGGAGGTGTAGCATGACTTTAAGGCTGAATCAAGCCCGACGCCGTGCGTACGAGGGCTTGGTGCAGCCAGTAGCCACCGTACGAACCTGGCACAGCTGCGATTGGCTGGAAGAGGTCACGCGAACGAGCTTTATTGTCCATCGATTTGGCCTAGGACTTTATCGCTCAATCAAGAACACCACGTGAAAGTCGCTCATTGGCTACGGCCATGGAAACGGTACGGTAAAAACCTGAAGGTTCAATAAGACGCTGCCCTTGCTTGAATATGGAATTTGAGTGATTTTTAGGGTTTCCATGAGAGAAAGCAACGATTTCCGCATCATCGCTTTTATTCCCAATATTTGTACATGTACCACGTACAGATTTTTGGCAAAAAAGGATCCGTTGGATCCGGTAAACCCTGCTCCCCGAGGTGGGTTGACCGGATCCAAATCCAATGGACCCGACCTATCGAAAGGGTGCGGATCCAGTTGATCTGGATCCGGATCCTACCAATCGCACATGCCCCAACATTCCACCAAGTCAGATAGTGCGACAAGGCACAAAATTGACAGGGGTACTCAGACATTCAACGACCTGACACTTGGCTCCAACACATCTACGAAGCGCAAACCGATAACCTTCCAACTTGGAAGGCTCAGGTGTGAAAAGTTTCAATGACGGGGAGGGAGGCCAACTCGTAGATGTGTTGGAGCTAGTGTCAGGTCGTCGAATGTCTCAGTACCCTGTCAGTTCCGTGCCTTGTTGTCGCACTATCTGACTGTACATTATCTCGGTACCTAGGTGGACTGTTAGTCATAATTCGTAACTTATTGGTCCTTTTTTCTTTTACATGAATACTATTGGCTCAACATCCGAGAGGTTTGATTGTACTATTCACAACACCCCATTTTTGCCATTTCAAAAAAAGTATATTCACATGAGATGCCTGACCACCACCCCCACCCCTCCCTCCCTCACACACATACAAACACACATGCATACATACAAACAAATACAAACACATACATGCACCCATACAGTAACAGGGTTCTAGCCAGGTCAAAATAGTAGGGGGGTGGGCATGGGAAACAGTTACCCTATATCCCATTTTTCCACTGTCCAATATTGTCTTGCCACGCCAAATGCAACGTATATGGGGCGAATCCCTGACTTCACCCCGGACAAATGTGCCTTTATGAACCATCTATGCATGAAAAACACGAAAATCGGAAAATGAGTAGGGGGGCGCCAATTTTTCACAAGGGGGCGAGCAAACAGAGTAGGGGGGCGCTGCGCCCCTCCCCCCCCCCCCCCTACCCCCCTTTGGCTAGAACCCTGCAGTAACATACATACATACACACACACCGGATCTGATTCTGATTGAAACAGATCAAGACAAGCGCCAGATAACTGTTACACACACACACACACACACACACACACACACACACACACACACACACACACACACACACCATGTACCATGTACCATGTATACGCCCGTCGCAAGAGAAGCACGCAAATCTGCAAATGCACTGGATGTGCACCCACAGATTTTCTCTTATAGCAACGATAGCGAACAAGATCTGAATGAGACAGATCAAGACTAGCGCCAGATAACTGTCTAATCCACACAACTGGGTCGACCACCAATGCACACCTGGTCTACACCACACGGAGTACATCGGCATAAAACGGCCAAGACAGTTACCTATGCACACCCTACACTTGCTGGGGTAACCAGTATAGACAGCACGCTGCTTTGATAGAAGCAGACACTAGATGCACTGGTACCTTGAAGTGCACACACACACACACTTCATCTTTCTGCGAGAACTGTGCCAATACGCCCAGTGGGAAGGCAGATATTACCTGTGCCTATGGTGAAGTAAATTTAAGCTAAATAAACAAACAAACGCACACACCGAACACACACCTATACCGGCACATACTGACCTTTTGCTTGACGTGTGTGCGGACATCATCAGAAAAGTTCGCCCAGTTCTGCTGGTGCTGTACCTTGACCTCAGCATCCTTCGATGTCAGCAAGTTCTTTAGGCGCAGACCAGCAGCCATGCGAATGGCTGGTAACCTAGTGACCTCCGCCAATACATCACTGAGAGCCACGACTAGAGCAGCCTGCCAGGCAAATACCAGAGCAAAACCAATACAGCAGACACATCACAGAGAATATCTTAGATCACTGACGGCAGCTGAACTACAAACTAAAAACTAAAAAGTGTCTCAACAAAAATGCGCCGCAATGTTCTTTCTGCTGTTAGCTAGCACTGTCGAGTGTTGCGCAATGTGTCAGAGTGTTGATGGGCTTAGTATTCACTGTCAGTTTTCCACCAAATCATCTCACATGTTATCATCTGGTCAAACTGGTGTGAGGGTACTACCATAATAATGCTCAGAAAGCACTGCACTAGAAGGATGAATAACAACACAATTGATAATTAACCCTTCGTGACCCCATCGATCGATATCGATCAATTGGTTTATAGTGGCAATAAAAAAAGTATATCTCTGGTTTTCCTTCACCGATTTTCATAAAGAAAGCATCTACGGTTCGAGAGGAACCTTGGCTATCACGTCGAAGTTATCCGAAGTCTCTATGAGGTATGATGCCGCCGTGGTGAGACTCGAGGTCGGAGGAAAACTGAAAAATTCACTCCGATCGAAAAATTCAAATTTTCACACCGCACTTGGCAGGGGTTTTCCCCGGAGTGCTACGTCATACTCAACCATGCTGCACACCAAAATGTTGTGCTTGAAACGAGCTTTCCGCTGTAGTTTGTTTGAAGTCGATGTGATGAAGGGGAATGGAATGACGGCTGTTTGAACTTTGCTGGAGCTGTTCGCGCACGGCTGCTGTTTTGAGCGGCATTCTAGGCCACACAGAGCAGAGGCCGTGCAGGTAGCTGGCTTTAGTGCGGTATTAGTCGCTTCGTCTTGGAAATACTTTCCAGCGGTGGCAAGTTTGTAAAAATTGGTGAATGTTTGGCAGAGATACAAGCGAAAGTGCATGTTATTTGAAGGTGAGTAAATTGTCGTACTTTCAGTGGGGTCACAAAGGGTTAAGTCCCATGCCCTTATTCCCACATAAAACGTAGTGTCAAAAAGATCTTACCAGATTTTGCTGAATGGCATCATTGAGGTACTTTTCCGCATGGTCAATGCCTGCTTTATCTGCAGTGAAATCAAGATCACCAGTCCGCCGTAAGACTATTACATAATGTCATTGCTGCTACCACCGCACAGGATCGGACTGTGCAGATCACATAAACTTGACAGTTGAGGATTTTTCTTGAGAGTACTACGATAGTCAGACTATAGTGAGTGGATTCCAGTATTTAATATACAATGTACTGAAAACTCGCCTAAACAGCAAGGACTAGCATTTTCAACTCACCTCCAGTGACAGTGGCTTCAAGGATCTGCCCCAAATCCATTTTTCATGTATCAAAACTGTTGAAAAATAAACTGCCTTTACTCAACACGAATAATCCATCTCACGTATCGAACCAACTGGGAAAACTCGGTCCACGGATACACACGCACTACATAATCTGTGAGCAAACGTGAAACCGTCTCCAGCTCTGGAGAAAAGTACGAACAGAGAAAATCTACGACCTGTTTAGTGGCAAAAGCCTCAGCTACAGCTGAAAAACAATCACCGACGCAGTGATCGGATCAAGCATTATGATTTATGTGTACGAGAGCCACACTCAGCTACCACTGCACTGCACTGAGCTGTGTATGAGCTGAACTGGAAAAACAACAGGAACGAAAAAATTCGTACTTTGCTGAACATTTTCGTGTGACTTTTTCGCAGCAGCGAAAAAATGGATATCGGACAGCGCCATTTCCGGCCCTTGTGCGCATGAGAAACTACTCCTACAGTGCTGGCAACTGAAATCCGACCCCTGGGCGGCGCGCCACGCCCCCCGCCCGGGGTCGGATTTCAGTTGCAAGCACTGTAATTCACACTAGCGCATACTGTCATATATAGCGGCAAGAGTGCATGGACTCTTGATAGCGGGGATCGCGATATCGATCCGGGATCGCGACTTCGCGAGTCGTCGCGCGATCGCAGATATAAGGGACCTTTCGCACCCCGCGTACGGATACGAAACGAATGCTGATTCGTCACCTGGGTTCGAGGATTCGTCAGAGTCCCTGCGGAGAACTCGTTTTCACGAATGGAAGCCTCTTCATTCGTGGCACGCTCCGAATCCGTCAGGTACACATTTATTTGGGTAGGTACACATGTTTTGCAATGTACACATTTTTCCCTTGATTCCATGATCCATGCACGTGTGCGTGTAAAAACCCGTACGCCAAGCTACCGGCGCCCGCGGCCGTATTCGTAGTTGCCATGCACATTTGCATGACGACTTGCGAAACCTGAAATCTGTTTTCAACGAAACGATTACGAGCCGAATCAAACTTTCGTTTCGCATTCGTTTCGTAGCAAATGCGAAAGGTCCCTATAGCTAGCGCTACGATCACGAGTAGCGCGAATCATTCTTTTTGCGAAAAGCTAAACGGCTACGTCACCACGCGCAGCGCCGAAGGCGCGTGCACGCGTGATTGTGAAGTCAAAAGTAAGTAGTTCTCAAAAATTGAGTCAAAAAGACAAAAATGAAAGTGAACCACATGCACAAGTCTTTCATACAATGATTTCAATTTTGTTGTGGCAGTCTAGTCCATATATCGCTGCTCCCCCCCAAAGTGTTTGTCGGTGTATTGTATGGTTTCTGAAGGTGTTCTGTTCAAAAATAAAGATACTTGACCAGTGATAAATCAGAATGGTAGATGACTGATTTCGAGCTACATGTAGTGGGCGTGGAAAGATTCCCAGTTGTCGACAGGAGTGAACATTGTTTTCCTTGAAATGGTGGAAAGCTGAGGCCATCGTCTCACCAGCGTAATGGCCGCCTTCAACCAGGATTGGAGCGGTGATAGGATCGAGCTATCAAATGAAGGCACAATAGCTCGACGGACTGCAAGCTACAATGGTGGCATTGTGTACAGCTCCGAGCCCATAGAAACAAATGAGATTTTTCAAGTTCGTATTGACACCATGGAGATGGGATGGGCTGGCTCACTGGTAAGTAAAGAATTGCGCAGTAAAAGTGAGACAAGCTAAATAACCATAGTACAGTATGCACACGATCTGCAAAGATTCTGTGAAAGTTTTGCTTTGAAAAACGTTAAAATATACTTCATATACTCAATCAATTCGGTGCAAGCAGAAAATACTTTTCCGTAATATAATTTCCTCCTTTTCGTCCAAAAGGTTCAGACGAAATTTAACGCAGGATTAAAGCCGATTTTTTTGGCTTTCTGTACACCTCAACATCCATGGATGAGAATTCCAACAATCTTTGCAGTTGGAAACTGTTTGCCAACTAAGTTTTCTGCTTGAACAGTCAATTGATCTTCTTCTAACGATGGTCACATGACATATACCCCCAAAGTTCCTTATCATGTTGGCTATGTACGTTTGTTACAATTTAACGAACATATAAGCAAGAGTACATACCCCCGGGTGTGCAACGCCTGATCCAGCTCTGCATAGGGTCTTGGTCGAGCGTAATCGGATCTTTGCGTCATAATACCGTACACATCTGAGAGGAACCCGGGGAGTAGCGGAAACTCTCGGATCTAAAATAACGATGCCCTGCCTCGAGACCGGCCTTGCGCTGGTGTGGAGTGTACACTACGCTCACCAAGACCCTATGCAGAACTGGATCAGGCGTTGCACACTCTGGGGGGGTTATGCTATGAGTCTTCAAGCCATATACATATTATTAGAACCGAAAGACATGTTTTAGGAGGAGTTGCAAATGTTACGATTTTCCAGAATATGTACTTTGAGCTTATACATGTAGAGGCTGTCTTCGCACATACATGTACATGTAGGTACTTTGTCCGAAAATTACTGCAGCACTGGCCCAAGAAAAATCAGAATTGGCCTCGGTGTAGCACTGCGGTTTTCATGAACAATGGCCTCCGGGCACAAGGCTACCGTGCACTGCATGTTGTACCAGAGACTAGTGCCGTGTTGTATTGGCATGTACTGTAGTGCTGCTTTGTGCAATAGTGTTACAGTCCATTTCAAAACTATAGACGCGTACCTAGGCAAAAACCGTTATGCCAGCATCTATACCACATAAAATCTGTGATCACTTTGTGCATAAATTTTTCCAAATTGGGCATCTGTTATCCAATCCTTTAGAAACTATATGAGAGAGTAATTGTGGAGTGATCCCGAGCAATATTCCGAAAACTATTCTCAAAAAGTTCCAGCCAAATTTGAAATATTTCAAAAACCCTACGCGTCTATAGTTTTGAAATGCACTGTAGTACGTATTACCCTGCCTGGGAACCTTTGATGTCTGCCATAAGATGTCAATAGTCAGTACCGCCCTTGTACACACGCACATCATTTTAGTTTATTTGTCTTTCCTACCATCCTGTTGTAGAAATTTGGAGTTACTACGAGATGCCCTATAGACCAGACCATTCCGAAGGGTATCTTAGAACTCTACAACCGCGATGATTTTTGGGTACTGTCGGGGGACAAGCTACATCATGATCATAAAGAACTGGTGAGTGCATTGCCATATCATTGCTGTTTGTATTCAGTTCTACCAGTGGATACTGTCAGTACCGGTATACTGCAACCGGTTGCATGTGTAGCTATTGCTTGGTCAGTGGTTACTTGAGTCATATGGATCTTGAACTCTACAGTGTGTGCAGCCAAGGCAGGCTGTTCTTGATGTTTGATAGATTTGTAATTCTATGGCAATTATCAACTCTAGCAGCTGCGAATCCGTCGCCATTATGCGATGTTGTGCTGCTACTAGGGGTGAAACGATTAGTTCGAATATTCGAGTATTCGTTCGAAAATTTCAAATGAGCGAGTATTCGAAATTTTGCACTTGATCGTTTTTTTTTTTTTTTTTTTAGTATTGGCATTGTATTTTTCAAAAACTTTTGTTGTACCGCTGGTCCACTGGTATGCATGCGTTATGCATGGTTTGAGTCAGTATTTTAAGACTTGGACGATGCGATCACCACGGCAAGTAACGTTCTGAGATATAAAAGTACTGATGAAAAATCGTTACTTTACACTCTGTACAAGACATTGGCGACTTTTGTTCTATGTTCACAGATAATTTCTTCCGAATTGGTCGAGAACTCGCAAATCTAGTGCTTTTGAATTTTGATAAAATACTCGAAATAATCGGATACTCGATCGAATATTATGAACAAGTGATCGATTGGTCAAAATAGATACTCGTTTCACCCCTAGCTGCTACCCATCTGTCTCATGCTGTTGCTGCTGCCGCTGTTATTAATTCTCGCGTGTCTAGGCATAGGCTAGCTTATTCCTGCAGACAGATGCGTTAACCCCATATGTTTCATTTGGGCTACATGCGAACTGTGTTTATTGCTATTATTATTATTCTTATTATTCTTATTAGACATATGAGGGACCTTCTTTGGAGAGCTTGACACGCGGCGACACCGTAGGTCTCTATGTGAGCAGCGAAGGCGAGTTGCACTTCCTTTTGAAGGGCGACCATGCTGTGAAGTCTCTAGAAATACCCACTGATCGTGATGTCTACGTCGTTGCTGACATCTATGGCCAGGTGAAGCAAATCAGCATAGACGACTCTGTATCTTCAGGTGAGTGATGTGCACGGTGTAAGTACAGCTGCTGGTGCATCATCCCGTACGTGCGATTGTTGGCATCGTTTTGTACTTCAAAAGCTCATAGCTCTGCAAGGGAAACTTATTGTTCAGCTCATGGTGCTGTATTAGACTGTGCTGGATAAGACATGTTGGCCGTATGTGTGTTTGTGGATGGTGGTTTAGTTCTGATTACTGCTGGTTGGGATCTCTTCAATTAGCAGTCCTAGATAAAGGATTCGATCTTTTTTGGGGGTATCCGAAGCTTTTGAATACTACAAATTTATAGTATGTATGATAAGAGAGTGGCAGTTGGGGTAGACATGGGTGTGCTTGTTGGCAGTCAAGACTCCTGGGGAAATGATACTACTACGATTTGAGATGATTCGCAGAGCAGGACTGTCTGCTCAGCCCTTGTAGAGGGGACGGCTCGATACCGGGACGCTTTGACAGCCAAATTTGTATAGACCCAAACCGATCATCAGCGTTGATTTTTCACTCGAAATATGTTCGTGGAAGGAAACTGGCATGTTGAAGTTTGCTCTGGGGCCAGAGTCAATCGAACTGAGCCACTCCTTTGTGTTGACCCATTGCCTCCAAGTTGCCCAATTTTTCGCTTCAAAAAGGTTCAAATCAGAGGTGGCTCCAAACCGGACACGTTTTAGAGTGCACGTCAAATTCACTCTGGGTCTGAAATTAGGTAATTGCTATCGCTCCACGACGGCCAGTACAGAGTAACAATAAGCCTTGTGTGTGCTTCCATTAGTTTTGATTGGTATGCGGTGCTTTATTGGCGAGAGGCGAGCCACTGTTTACCTGCGACAAGAAGTTGATTTTTCGAAAGTCGTAAAACTCAAGCTGCAGTGCGAAGCAACACGTCAAAAACTCACCTGCTTGATATGGCGCTTCTGGTCATCGCAGAGCCATGAAATTTTGGCTCGGAGTATAACACATCGTAGTCTCACTGACATATGTTTTCTTATCGAAATACCAAGAGAGAAAGTGAATATTGAGTCCGTTCCGGTTTGCAACCTGTATCCTATTTGAAACCGTCCCCTCTACCCCAGTCACGATAGAGAGGTGTTTAGATGTCCCAATAATGGGAAGGCGTTTGAGCAGACAAACTCAGTCCCATGACTCTGTACGGTGCTAGGTGTTTTGCACCGTGATGGAAACAAGCTTGTCAGTTCCAACAGCTTCCTATTAGATGAAGCTGCAAGAAGCCTCACCCTTATCTAATAATGGTAGCCGATAACGCCCATGCCTTTGATGTAAAAAGTCCACTGTTGTTCGCTCATAGTGTATGGCCGCACATACTGAACACTGCTCTCGGCTGCAACTGTAGCTTGTCTGCCGATTTGCCTCTTGGTGTTGAGTAGTAATAGTAATTCGATTATAATTGAATGGGGCCTGTGTTGACCGTGTCTGCAGTCCTGGTGGATACGCCCATGACAGAGGTGGACATGTCTTCTCGCAAGTCCGCTGGCGCCCTCCCCTCTATGCCATCGCCGCTCGTTGCCGCACGAGCGCTGCGAGCGGCTGCGACAACGCACGCCATCGAGTCTGCCTCTGCACCCGCGGTCGAGAACAGCTGGAAGTTCTACGTCCACCAGCAGGCGCACATACAGCGCGAGCTTCGTGAGAACGACCTGGCACTGGCGGAACTACACCGGCATCACTTAGCATCCTTATTCGGCACCCAGATCTTGGCAGCCGAGGGCAAGTATGTGACTGTACAGGCCCAGGATGTGAAGCAGCTTCTGGAACAATACAAGAGAGTGCTTGAGCAGACCTGTGCCGAGAGTGCTGCAGCGAACGAGAGCGAAGGAGATGCTGGGAGCGATAGCGCAGATGCCGAGACAACCGGCTGATTGGTGTGCTTGCAACACTGCAATTAGCACTGAATTGTCATGGAAAACCCACCGAGTATAAGATCTGCTTGCTCATTGAACTGCCGAACACTTGATGTGGAGCAATGCGGCCGCCGTGTTCGTCCTTTTTTTAATATTTCCCCTGAACCTTGACATGCCCCTTGTGTTTGTTGCTTATTCCTACTATACTCTACTATACTCTATAATTGTTTACCTAGCAAAGGTCGCCGAGTTGTATGTAGTCCTTGGAAACTCTTCATAAAATCGTCTTGCACATAACACACATAGATATGAACGCCAATAGCTCATCATTGTTATTTTCAACCTCCTAACCTAGTTCCAGTCCAGATTGTTGTTTGCTGTACCAGCGCCGCCCCCCCCCCCCCCCCTCCCCCCCAACCCACTGTGTGTCTTGTGTTCATTCACTTGTATTTAGCTGACAAGCTCCATTCCACGATACCGCTGGAATTTGTCTACTTCTTACCATGGTCGAACGATGACAAGAACGGATCCACTTTGTGTTTCTACCCACGTCTCTGCACGTTGTCTTGCCTTGTCCTATTCTCTGATAGTGATTTTTACTGCAATCAGCCATGTTCTGTTATGAAACAAATCTATTTCTATACAGTATGAGAGAGTTGTGTTGACCCACGTGTCTTGTGCTGGCGATCTGGTGCTATTCTGCAGTAGCAGTTTTGAGCGTTTGCCACGTTTTGACCACGTACACGTTTGCAGTAAGTAAGCTTCACCTGGGAGGGAGTTCGCTATGTTGTGGAGAGGTTGGCTATACATTGGCAAAGTGCTCAGAATGGCATATCGAGAAGCCCCCCCCCCCCCCAGGAGAACCTGCCGAAAACTGTACGTCCAGGTGCTTGTGAATAAGCATGCACAGCACTTAGTACTGCCTCTCCCCATGTGTATTTGCAGTTTTGCACCACTGTACTCACTTTTGGGGTGAACAACTTTTCTGGTAACATTGTGGTAATGGTCAATGCAGGGCGCGACCAGATGCTATTACCGGTATGTACTGGGGTACTAATTTGTTGTAGTTCGAATGGTATATCTGCGTACAACAAAACCTGGGATCGTGCAGTCAAGAAATGCTGCACTTAGGCACACATGTATTGTGGCTCACCATGAGCAAGGGCAATTGTAGATGGTGTGAGATGTGGACCTCCTCTCAGTCTCAGTCTCTGGGCTTCTATGTATAGAGTAGATGTGGTCATGTTGTTTGATCTGCCTGACGTCATGTCGGAATCCCTGCATAAACTATCCTGTATGTACATCCCTGCATAAACCGTCCTGTATGCACATGCACATGTAAACAAATTACTTCCAATATGAGTCGAACTGCAGGAACTGGCCATAGTCTTACCACTGGCCATTGGCCGCAAAGCAGGAGCCGCAGCATAGCCAGGCGGGCTGCAATTTCTCTGCGTGGGCTGTCAAGTGCTGCCAAATGTTGCAACATTCTTCAGGCAACACAACGGTCTGGAGAGTCTCCTGCACAACGTGCAGTCGTCCGTTATTCAGAGTTTGCATGTGTGAATATGAGTCATACATATCTAAAAGAAAAAGAGATGAGAGCTTTTCACTGTATAGATGCCTGATTTTCCTAGTGATGTGCTAAACTTACTTAGACTGTCACCAGCACCCTGATCAAGACTGTATGTCAGTAATTACTTATCAAGAGCCTCAAATTTTGAAAGCACAGGTAGAGCTACCGATGGAACACGATGTACATGACTGTACATGTACATGTATGCATGCGACAGTGTCCGAAGATCCTTCTTCTTACACGTGACATGCTGGAGAGCTGCTGCCTCTCAAGTTCTGGTACAATACGATGGTATTGGTACCTTGCACGATAGCGTCAATGTGGACGGTTACTCAAGTCAATGTGACGAATTGGCAAGCAGCCTGTCGGAGTCGTGGTCAGAGGCAGACAGCTGCGAGCTCGTCTTGGATGGGAAACGAGCATGTCGCACGACTATACCCTCTGCATTGACCACAGGCCGGCAGTGAAAATCGGCGTGCTGTGTTGACATTTGATTGGACTCATTTACGCCGCCATTTGTGCCAGGTTTGGGAGAGCTTTCCACAAAAGCGATTGGCTCCTTCGGCCTTCTGTGCTTTGCTTCCTGTGTTGCTGAATCCACTTCGCCATCAAAATCACTCTCAGGGTCTATATTGGTGTAGACCATCTGTGTTGCAATTGGCTGATTGGGTGCGGCTTGGAATCGCAGTGTTGCAGCTTCGCCGGTGTCATCCTTTGCACCTTGGTCATATCCGCTGTCATTAGTTGTGGAGCGCCAGCGATGTGTTGTCCCAGGCACAGTTCCTGCCGCGGCTGTCACGCCTTCAGGACATAGGGTATCGCCAAGTGTGTTGAGCGGTGCAGAGACACTATCTATGCTACTGCTGTATTCACTGGTCGGGTTCCCAGAGTCAAACTCCTCCTGATCAAAGTGAGGCCCGCGTCGCACCAGCACATCGGCCACCTGCTCCTCATTGAAGCCCTGGACTCGCTCTTGTTGCTCTCGCTGCTCTTCTTCCAATGCCATGTCTGCATTGAAAAAGCCTTGATTCACCGCACCGAGTGTCCTCCCTGTGTGCATTAGAATTTAGAACACAAACCACCACTATAAATGTCCTGATTTACAGGCTTTGAAAGTAAGGGATAACGCGAAGAGTACATAAACCCCCAGAGTGTGCAACGCCTGATCCAGCTCTGCATAGGGTCTTCGTCGAGCGTAGTCGGATTTTCTGATGTCATGCGTACACTCCACACCAGTGCAAGGCCGGTCTCGAGGCAGGGCACCATTGTTTTTGATCCGGGGGTCCCCGCGACTCCCCGGGTTCCCCTCAGATGTGTATGGTATTATGACGCAAAGATTCGATTACGCTCGACCAAGACCCTATGCAGAGCTGGATCAGGCGTCCATTTCCCGCCGTTAGGTTTTGCGGGGCAAGTCCACTATAACCGTACACACTGTAATACCAGCTCTGCGTAAAAGGTCATGAATTCTGTAGGGTCATACTCTTAAATTTACTAGAATGGATTGTACCTGCCAAAAAATGGGGCAGCTTGCCCCGCAAATAGGTGACGGCCATCTTCGATGCATACCTCCCATTAATATTTTACTGCTTGCTAAACTGTCCTGGATGTGTACAAGGAGAACACATCACCACCACACAATGCGCATGAGCTTTGCCATCCGAGCCCCAATTATATATTGAGCTCAGGTGGAAATACACAATCCTGGGAGCTAATGCGACTCTTGAAGTTACATTCAAAACGCTAATTGAAAGTTTCGTGGCTGACATGTCCCCATGGCCATATGGATTGACTACTCTGCTGCGATGAAGCCAACACAGGGACTACACACATAAACAGACACACATTTTTACGTACACACAATGTTGGGAAGTGCAGAGGAGAGCCACTATATTCATTGCCAGCCAAGCCATTGCTAGGGCCTAACTAACTTACTTGTTCCAGCTGTTCTCTGGCGTTTCCACTTGCCATTTTGTTTGTAGATAAGGTAGACCAAGAGAAGAAGGACGGCAACTCCAGTCAGCGAACAAACCGCAGTCAGTAGTATGATAAGAGTCGCCTCATCACTGTACATTTTGCTTTTAGTCGTCGCTGCATTGGACAAACCATGGGAAACAAGCATGCAACATGTCCATGCTGAGGTGAACCTTATCACAATCAATGAGTAGTAAAATACCGGTATTTTACTACTCCTTAAAAGTATAAATTGCAGTTTACTTCATCCATCATTAGCTCTTCTTTTTTTCTTCGGTGCAACCTTAGTTGTGGTACAGGGCCTCAATCCGTCTAGTGAACAATCAAAACATATGGCACCATCTTGACATCCGATGGCCTTAGCACGACTTAACCCTTTACTGACTGACCTCAATGTATACAGAGAACTGTACTCTCAATTTTTTTTACCTTGAAATGGACCTAACTTTGGTTTCCTTTCAGTTTGACAACCGCCATCATCTTGGGCATCCTGGAAAGCTCCTGACAAGAGGAACACTACTTGAACCCAAACTCGAATTCACGAGATGCGTTCAACTGACATGTACCGTGTGGGTATACACGTGTTTGCAGTTCATGCCCAAACACGTGTTCAGGCTTTCACAAAAGAAGACAGCAATTCAAATCGTATCAGTTTAGGTTGTGCGATGCCTTTGGGTACTAATTTTTTTATCCCGCCAGTGAAAGTAACTGGTATGTACGCCAATACACACTTGATACGCGCTGAAAAATACAACATGTCAGGATTTTCATTTCGGTGCGTTTCGATACGCATGACGCCCCCAAAGCCAGCAAAGATATGCATAAACTCATGGTTTCACTTGTGAGCACAGCTTTGCACTGAATTTATCATACTTATACGTACTTGTAGAGCTTTGACGTGTTGTACGATGAGGAATTGGTTGGGCGGTTTGTACTCCTGTGTCACTGCCAAGCGTGACCTGCAAGTGGAGAGTGCTTACAGTAAGTGAAGATGTTGCTTGTGTCACTGGTCTATATGTTGTGTGCTGGGGCATATCTGTCGTGAGCCTTGTCCCGGTCAGTGTGGTGGGCTTCGTGATGGCGGTTGTGGTCAATCGTGTGGCTTGTGTTGCAATTGACGGCGTTGGTTGTGATGGAGATGGTGAAGATAGTACGCTAGTTCCATCCACTGCAGTAGTCGTAGTTTCAGCGAAGGCAGTAGGAGTCATGTGTGTACTGGATACGACAGATGTTGACAATCCAGGTCCTTGTGAAGTTTGTGCAGAGGATGCCTCCACCGAGCCTGGTAGCGCCGCAGTTGTCCCATGTGTTGGAGGAGATGTATGTGTAACACGCATGCTGCTTGATGCTCCAGTGCTTGGTGAAGAGCGTGTAGATGCTGGCATGGCCCGAGTACTACTTGTACTCACATGGCTAGGGCTCAGAGTCGTGGACATAGTTCTGGTAGATTGATGCGAGCTTGGACCGGGAGCATTGCTTGGCGTTGCAGGATTCGTTGTGCCGTCCGCTGAGCTTGTTACTGAGCTTGTAGTGGCAATGCTAGCACTCGAACTTACTGTTTCCAGTATAGCGCCGGTGGTCTGCTGACTACCACTAATGCTAGTATCTGCAGATAGGAGGGCATTTGATGAGGATGGAATTGACGGCGCCACTGAAAGTGACCCAGTCAAACTGGTAGCCAGGGTCTGTTCGCCGCTCAGATTCCCCAAGGTTGTACTGATCTGTGGCTCTGTTGTGCCATGGATAGACGGGTCGACACCGCCAGCGCTGGCATCTAATGACACAGTCCCAGGTGCGGTTGCTGTAGACGACCCTGGAGCTAATGTTATTTGGCCTGTATGGTAAAAACAAATATCCAAACTCTTACACTAGCATCTTCCAACTTCCAACTTGGAAGGCTCAGGTTTGGAAAGGTCCAACAGGGGAAGGAAAGCGCAACAAATAATGCCGAAAGTTACTGGATGATGACGAAACTCGTGGGACATAGCTCGAGCTCTTCTTCCTTGCGCTTTCCTTCTCCTCTTTGTCTTGGACCTTTCCGAACCTGAGTCTTACACCAGAATGTTATTAAACAAGAAAAGGTTCAAGTGCAGCTCTGTGCTTCATGCATAAACCAGTTGTGATAGCGCAATAATCAACTAATCGTGGCTATGAAATGGGTTTGCGAGAATTGCCGGCGGTGGTAAGTTAGTGCGAGTGCAAATAAGAGTGAGAATCATCAGATCAGGAGGGCTTGATGCATGCATGGATAGTCACAGTGTCAGTATGGCTATCTTTGACAGGGCTGGTGCCAGGCATCAAGGCTACGTGTACTGGGATCATCAGTGATGGTCACACTGCTACTTCAAAGTATTTGTTCCACAGATACAGTCAACGCACAGATTTTGTTGCGATTTTTACAATAGTGAGTTTACGCTTCACGTTTTGCAACATGAGATTTCAACGCGAGAGAGGTCCAATTCACGCCGTCACAGTGAAAAAAGCGATACAACGCACAAGTTTTTCCTCACGTTCGAAATTGAAAAAAGTGAAACTTAAACTCTCTATTGTCACAGTCTAACACCGTAGCCCAGTAAGTGATTAGAGCACTGATATCACATAATGACACAGGTCACTTGGCAATAGTTTATACCCAACACCCCAGGCTGGCCCTAGTTCAATTTCTGCTGGTCAGTTTGCTCTCGTATTTCTTCACTTTTCATCTCCTTGGTCAAACTATAATACATGACATTGTACTAGAATGTGAACGGTGTCAGATTATTGTTCTCCATACATGTACGTGGCAAGTACCTGGTCCTTGACTAACGCTGCACCGTATACAGACGCCAGCGAACACGAGGGCCCTAACCCAACTGGCGATTCCTGTTCCTGGCTTGTGGCATCTCTTTGCAGCTGGGTTATGCCATACTGAACTGCGCATAACTTTGTTTCATCAACAAACGGACGAGAGCCAACTTGCAGTGTCGTCCACTACCGACCAGCAGAAGATGTTCGCAGTCCCCGAACCCAGCACAGTCACGCATGAACGCACTGTGGTCCTGTTGAGCGGAAGATACCCCGCGGCGAGGCCGCCCAAGCCCAAGGCGAGGGCAGGCTATCCGTACCAAGTCATTGAATGGCTAGCCGTTAGGGTGATTCGTCCTCCGGTGCCGTCACTGGCAGTGAATACAGTGCAGGTCCTTACCTATGCCGGTATAAACCACCGCTACCTTGACCAGCCACCGACTCAGTGGTATGGATTGGAGGTGTCCGATGGAAGCTAGTCTGCTTTCTCAGCGGACTGGAACCTTGACTTGATCTTCCGAAACACAACGGCGAAGGTTATGCTACTCGAAGCCACAGTAGCTGGATTTAGAACGTTGAGAACGTTTCGGTAGGCTGAGCCAAGCGTGGGTCTACCGAGCGTAAATCTACTCCATGCAAATCTAATTATTATTTTAGTCTCGACATCATCTTGAACTAAACTCTAAACGCTAGTAAAGCGGCGCAGCCGAGCCATGGAGCTCCGGAGCTGGCTGTTCTGTGTACTAACTCCGCGGGGATTTCCGTCTTTCCTGTGACTACGTAGTGTAGATCTTTTACTAGGTCTACGTAGCGAAAATGCTAGAGTGAACGTCCCGCGCTGCTTCATCGAATAACAATAAGGGTCGGCGTCAGGTCACATAGTCTGTAACTATGATGGGCTCAGCGTCTAGAAGTCAATACAATCATGTATTCTTACATTCCAGCAATCATCAGATTATCTGGTCTACCAAAAGCAGCGGCCGTAACTCCAGGGTGATTCCACGCTACACTGCGTGGTCGCGCGATGTGATAGCGATCCTGGTTGACGGGCTGGAAGACGGGAAATGTTCATGATTGTATAGCAAAGAATAAAAATTGTATGGTACTTCTGCTCTGGATCCTGGTGCAGTGGTGGCAAGCTTTGCGTCAAAGACATCACTCAGCTGGATCCATGGATGACGCTCTCACGTCAATATTGCCCACCGCAGAGTTGACCAGTGGTTGCAGGAGGCTCTTGTTTACCAATATCTCGCACGCTGACTCCAGCTGAACTGTAGCTTGACCTGACAAGTTAACTGTCTCAGGTGCACCGTAAAGTACAAGTTGTCTCGTGACGAGTGGAGCGCAACCATCCTGCCTGTCGAATATATAGGCCGGGGACGCAGTCCCGGACACGACTTATCGGCTGTTTCCCCGTGTGACGATGTTAGCATGCAGTTCCTGCCATCGGCGAGGGATGATAAGGGTCGGCCCAGGGCCTTGGGAGTAGGGGTGTAGCTGGTCCACCTGTTAGGGGGTTACACGAGCAGCTTAAGGGGAGTCTTAAAATAGCAATCTGGTACTCATCACTTCCAGTGGATAAGAAATGAAACCATACCGCGGAGCTGAAACGATTGATGGACAATTATTGGAGCTTGACCAAAACTTGGGCAAAAGCAATGGTACAATCTAAGGTGCAGTTTTTGACTACAGTAGTCCAATGTATCTGGACTCTGGAGCAAGTAAGCTGATTGCGGGATATCCTCCTAGCTATTAGCTGGTCGACCCGTCACCGGGCTCACATACCTGTAAATCCTAAAAGCCCTTTGCGAGAGCTTTCCAGACGACATCCAATCCACACCGTGGCAATCACACCGCCGGGTGCAGATGCATGTAAATTGATAATATTATGATGTTGTACAATGTTGTACATAATGTTGCACAATGCACATTACTCGATCTCTACTTCAAGTAGAATGCACGTTATAATGAAGCGGATGGGAATGCTGATCAGTATACTATTACAGTACTTTGTAATCATTTTATGAATGTGTATTGATGTACAACTTGTACATGTATACCCAATAAATGTACACTCTTTAAATTACTGCTCTAGAGTAGCACAACTTTAGGGAACCCATTGCAATGCAGGTAAATCAGCTATTCAAGATAACCCTCGGTTATCCGGCAGCTAGTCTAGGTACCCGGCAGAAGCTGAGAGTCACCGCTTCTGTTGTTAGCAATAACCCAGAACTTTATACAGTGCTAACATTGAAAAAGAAATGGGGAAAATATTGGTAGAATAGAGTGAAATATCAACGTAATCAAGTGTTGACAGTGTGGGGCTGTGCATTAGGTTTGAGCTTTATTGATTGTTTTAAACATAGTTCACCAAGTTTGTGCAAATCAACCTTGTAGTGACTCAAAAATTTCCTTTGTCTTCTAATAATACCGGGGTCCTTCAAATACACTGCCACTACCATCGTGATCATCGCCTAAGACCTGACAGTGGTACCAATATCCGGGGATGTGCAGAATATTGATATGATTATATGCAGAGAAGCTGCACGTTTCAGCCTGTGTAGTACGCACTGATCTTCAAGGAAGTTCACTCGGTTTGGTGATGAAACCATCCAGAATGATACAGGTCAAATTCAATGCGCCACACATGTGGTACTTGCAAGTCTGGCTTAGTTGCAGTGGAATGTCTCCTCAGCAGATATGCACTGGTCACAGACCACCCGGCAACACCAGTGGAAGCGGCACTTGCACTTCTTTGTGGTGACCGTGCGCTTGGCGTAGTAGCCACGTCCGCAGCAGAGCAATTCGCAGCCGTCGTCACCTGTCGACAGTTCCTGGCACTGTCTTCCACGCGTACCACTTATCGAGAGGGTAGTGTTGGGCCGACAGTAGTCAGGCGACTGGCGAACGTAGGAGAGCTCTGTTGCGACAATGCGTGTCTTGACACCTTCATCCCTATCCAATGGAGTCAGCCTGAGAGCATTCTTCTTGGCCTTGACCTTCACTTGCCGGGCATTGCGGTAGTTCTCCATCAGAATCTCGCCGACAATCTGTATCGTGGGTAGAGACCTCCAGCAGATCTTGCTTGTGCATGCACCCGTCAGGCCAATGCACTTGCACGTCCGTCTGATGGATGCCCTCACAGCCTGGGTGAGTAGCAACACCAGAACAGAACAAGGACATAAAATTGCACAATGGAAAAGGAAGTGTTATAATGAGGGAGTAAATTAAAGAATGAGCAAGTGAGTGAGTGAGTGAGTGAGTGGGTGAGAGAGAGAGAGAGAGAGAGAGAGAGAGAAGGAGAGAGAGACGTATGGAATCATTAACAAGCACCGCCAACGCCACTGGTTGTCTCCAAGTAATGAAGTCTGAAAGTCATTCAAACATCCTAAATTATGATCAGACAAGTCACAGTCCAAAGAAAACAACTCAAGTCCCCGGCTTTCCTCAAGAATGTGTTATATATGCACACACGGTGGAATATTAGCTGCACATACCTGTCTGCCTGCTTCATGATTTTGCTGTGCCATCAGTTGGGAAGCAACTTCATTTGGTTGGCTTGTAGTCGGGCTGAAAACTTGACCATCACCGAGAAATTGCCTGCCATATGCGTATCCAGTGTCAACATTGTCACCACAGCCTCCCCAAACAAACTTGCCCGCGGTGGCATCAGCAGCACCAGTAGGTTCCCCCTGGGCAGGTCGGTCGGCAGAAGACAGTGAAGTTGCCCCGGAGCTGCTACCCCGCTGTCCTGCCCGATATTGCGGTGAGTCATCGCAGCCACACCATTCGGTGACGTTGCCTCGACTGCAAACACGAGCAACTGCTTGCATCATTCCTGCTGACTGGATGGATTGCAAAAATGCTGCCTCGGCCGTATCTGCGTACATTATCACAAGAGAAAAGAAGCAATGGATCATTGTGCGTCACGCACCTCAATCAGATATCTGACCACTATGACTTCCTGTAAGATACGCATACAGCATTGTTGTAGCCAATAATTGACCCATGCACACAAATTATTGGAACTGCATTGCATATGCAATAAATTATGCATTAAGCTATGCATGACGTACCCAGACGGAGTGCATTCTGGATGGCCATGCTGTTGTTCATCGGACAGTTCCATCGCTGATAGTGGAACTGCCGACTGCACTCCTCCAGTCCAAGGCGTGTGCCCTGCGCTATTGGCTGCATGAAGACATGATGTTGCCTGCACCACGCTTTCTGATGGTCACTCAGCCCAGGCAGATGCTCGCACTGCTCTGGGCCCAGAGTTTTCAGTGCGCGCATGCTCTGGACTATCTGAATGGCAGCCATTGAGTGAAATGATAAGCTGAAGGGCACAAAGCAATCAGACAAGCCACCAGCATGGTTAAACATGCATGGCACAATGGACCTTGCTGCAGAATGGCTAGCTGTTGAACCTTTCAATTCCCATGCATGGACGAGCTTTATCTCTCTGCGAAGCCGATATGGGGAAACACAAGGTTGAGCAAGTTGCCAACAGAGTGATTAGATCAGTCTGTATCCATCACGATGCACGAGCTACATACGATAGTACTTCCTTTGTTCAACTGCATCATCCGCATGTACGACACAACTGTATCAGAGTCATGTCCAAGAATGTCATGCTGCAACAAGCTAAGTAGCCCATGCATGATACACTCCCACAGGCCATCATGTGAGTTTTACTTGGAGCATGTCATGGGGGTTCATCGTACCATCACACAAACATGCATCCACTTGTAGGCACAGTCCTGAGATTGTTATCCACAACATGATGTCGGTGAATCCCTTCTAGACCAGTAAAATATTTCACAAGGCACTGGCACTGTTACTCTGGAAAGGGGTTGATTTACCTACATGCTTTCGAGAGCGACGACACTACCCAGAGGGGCCAACCAACACAACCCTATGGCCCTACAACCTGGATAATTGTCCCGCCTGTTGGACCCAGATTTCTGATCTCTCTCTCTCTCTCTCTCTCTCTCTCTCTCTCTCTCTCTCTCTCTCTCTCTCTCTCTCTCTCTCTCTCTCTCTCACTGGTTTTCCACCACTGTACTCGTACATGTAGTTAGATTGTTACGTTGTACATTGCACATGGACTCCATGATAGGTAGACCTACAGGAGAGGCTACATGTGCACGGTGCATTCTGTCGTTAGCAACCTGCACCCCGTATCATGACCAGTACCCGTACAGTACAGAATGCAGAAGGCAACTAAACTGTAATTACTTGATCAACAGTGAGGCAACCATGTGCCATCATGTGACCCTTACTACATTGTATGCAGGTGCAGCCTTGGGAGTGTGTGTGTGTGGGGGGGGGGGGGGGGTACTGGAGGAGGTACATGCACACGGACGTATCGCATATTCACTGCAGCATCCCCAATGTTGGTGACCATGGGGAGATTGTGGAGAGTACAGTGTCATGCAACTCTCTGTTTAGGAATGGGAGCACACACAGCCATTGCGAACATGTTGACCTATGGTTTGATCCAATAATTTTGGTGTCTGACAATACTAGTCTATAAGATAAGATGGTCTCAGTGGTCATTCAACACAGTGGTAACACAGTATGATCAATGCGGTCTGGATGGCCACTGCTAGCCTGAACAACTATGTGTTGAGCACAAACCACGCTCTGATTGGGTGTTGTCTGGAAAACTCAGTAAATGCAATTAACTTGGCTCAGTAAGGTGCTCTGCCACTACAACATGGCTCTTATTGTGTCTCATTGTTCGGGATAGACACACTTTGCTTACACTCTTGGGTGGTGGGGTGTCCCAGTCAGACAAAAGCACCAGCTGACCTAAGTATGTCAACATGAGTATCTAAAACACACACAGCCCGCCCTATCAATACCATACTGTCGCTAGGCAAGCAGCATCCATTGTCACAGTCCAGGCGGGGGTTATATGACACAGACTCTGAGAGTGTCATCTCCTCTTTCAATCATGTAGACCTATTTTGAGTCCCTAATAAACTTGAAATAGATGGTTAGATTGGCTTTTCTCCTTTGCGACCTTCTTGCTCCTACCTTTCAAAGACAAATGTCCTCCTCGGCCTGTTCCCTTTCCTCCACTAAGTATTGGGTGGTCGTGAGCTTTGCTACTTTATAAAAAAAAGGAAAAAATCCATAGTAGAGCCCAGCTTAGCCAACAGACAAGCCACCCTGCCCAGGATAGGAACCACTATAATACACAGGTAGGCAGATAGCTGCTAGCACGCCTCCTTCTTTGCGTTCGAAGCGTTTACTGGGTTCCCGATTTCGGACTGGGAAGGCTGCAACTCGAAACCCTCATCAGGGTTCCTTAGGCTTCAAGCCTTCAACTATCCAAGATGACTTTACACAGACCAGCTAAACTGCTCCATCAAACCCACAAAGCTACACAGTGTCTTGATTTACACAAGCGATGGAAAGTGGGGCTTACCTCGAGCTTCCGGATGTGAGCTGAACCTTCGTCGAAATTTGAACCGCAACCAATGCTAGAGCGATTAGGATCGCCATGGCTCCGTGGACGTCTTGCTATGGATATCGACTGTTTGGGCTGGGGGAACTGCAACGAGCAGAGAGCACTTTTTTTTACGGACGTGACGGAAATGTGGAACTTGAGACAAATTATTCCAAGGGGAAGCAGCGAAATTCACAAACACGACTGCTGGAAGACGGACGAGGAAACTGATAGAGCGGACCCGCGGACTAGGCGTGTAAGCTGAAAATATTGCAAAGACTGACTGCTTCTTTTTCTCTGACACCGCCAAGTTTTCTCCAATCGCGCTTGCCAATGCAGTATAGGGTTTCAGACGTGTGAATGTCGCACGGGGTTCGCACTAAGCATTGGAGGCAGCGCTAGCTCCTTCTGTGTGAGGAATCACATCACTCGATACCGACCCGGTGAGGTTGGCCGGACAGTTTTGATCGATGTATAGAATCTACCTATGACATAGTCTATGGCGATTCCTCCGATACCACACAGCTACAGCTACAGGTGCAGACAGAGACACAGTGTTTACCTGTGTACCGTGTGATGCATACCGCCAGTGTCACGTTGGCCCCTGGAAATTAGTGGACAGGCACTGAGGTGTAGTGAATGTCCTTCTGGTGTTGCGTTGTCGCCTCGAGCCCTTCGATTCACCCTTCTGACCTGTTTGCGAGAGCGGGGAAGTGCCTCAATTGCTCCTAAAAGCGTACCAAAGGCCACTGGGGCATATGCACAATCTGTGCTAAGATAGTAGCAAGCATTCACCGTGTTGGCCATGACTGCCATTTACATGCACAATGCACAGGATCACCTGCAGAAAAATCCGGTATCCGTGGGTGCCCTTCATCACGCTGGCCTCACCGCTATTGTGATGACCAGCACTGGAGGGCGATAGGTGCTTGATGTCGGGCTGGGTTCGCTCCCTACAAGTGACCCCTCTGGCTAGCAAACCTCTTCCAATGTCTGACTGCATTGAGATCTTGGCGGACTTGTCGTTTACGGCAGATAAGCAAGACTGCAGTCTCTGCTTTACCATTGTTTACGGCGGACTTGAATGTTGACTGTGCATGTGTCGGCTTGTGCATGGATACCAGCATTAGCAGACTCAGTCAGTGCTACGAGCAATACGTCGTAGAGTATTGTGCTGAGGAATTCATGTTCAGTGTTTTAGCATACACAGCTACTAGTACAGTCACGTTGATCTACAGTCATTGTCTTTCTCGCACATACTAGTATTGTACTAGTAGTAGTTATTGCAGAGGTCTACATTGATATCGGTACAATAGTGACTGAACGAGTGGCGGCACTCCCAGTGCACAAAGGCGTACAATAGAGCACTCCTTTTCCATCAAAAGACCCGTGTCAGCAGGTGCAAGTATTAGTTACTTGCTAGTAATAATTATGCTATAACCACAGTATCATCTACATCTACATCATAGTATTGTTATGGACCTGGCACAGTAGGGTGAAGTCCTCTATGGACAACAACACTATTGTTTAGCCGAATTCCGATTCCCGATGGCAAATACCTCCCGCACTTTACTGGGATCGCGCCCATAACAATCGTACTTGATGATCAAGCATCCTGGAGTTAGGCGAGGGACTGACACTGAGTATTCTAGACTACAAGTACAAGACTCAAGAGATCCATTTCAGAGTCGTGACTCGTGGTCTCCCCAGAGCTAGACTACATAGAGCCGTAGAGGTCAGAGGCAGGGACTGAAGGCCAAGGGACGACACCACGTTGCTAGGTGATAGCAACAGCATGGAGAGAGAGAGAGGGGGGGGGGGGGGAAGAGGACACAGCTAACAGTAACCAGGTAACAGGCACGTTACAACAAGTGTAACGACGAAGGTTACCTGGTTACGTAAGCATGGTAAGGTGGGGACTCCTGTTGTCCGAGAAGCTGATACATCCACATACTTGTAGATCTACAAGTACATGTGCTGACGGTGTTTCAGATTAGTCGGGACATGATGATGACCGAGGAAATACAATCATGTAGATTGGACCTACTGGTACTGGTAGGTCTACCTGCATAATATTATTATTACAATAATATTAGTGATTTTAGAAGACCTAAGTACTAAAGTAGGGGTGTAGGGAGTCTATCATTGCTTCCTGTGGTATCTGGAGTGGAGACCCGCTGCATAGGGCTGCTTGGTGATACGCATATCATTTGGAAGGCGATAATTATTTATTGCAATATCAATCAGAACCCTTGACTGTGCTGCCCCATCCCTTTCCCGTGGCTAGTAAACAGTAGAATGGGATATAGCCCCTCGTCGCCTGTGCTAATGAGACACCGGACGCCCAACAACGTTACGTCTTCAGCAGTCCACCAGAGTCTACAGTCATGTACATTGTAGTCGACTATAGAATGAAGAGTTCATAACGGCAACCCCACTCTTGCCTGTAGCTACTACAAGTAGACTAGCGGCTGTGTTACTTGGATCGAGGAATACTGGGAACGTAGTTTAGCCCGGAACGTGTAGACACCCGCGACCCGTGAGTGCCATTGCACCAGTCCATAATATCAAGATTTTCATAGTTGTTATGGACTCTTGACAGTGCATGTACAATTGTACATGTATCAAAGACTATCACAATTAGGTGTGGTCAACCAAAATGCCCCCCAAACCTAATTCAAGCTGCTCAGCAGATACTGTCTATCTCAACAAATATCTGACTTTATCCCAAGATCTGCTGCAAGGCTCAGGTCCGTCTTCAGAACATGAACATGAAACAGTGTGGCGCCAACAGGGTCTTTAACTCTTTATGACCGTCAGGCATGCATCAATCGGTGTACAGTCGACCTACCCTTATAACGATAACCTCTATAACGATATTACCCTTATAACGATATTATTCTGCCAAACCAAATCACTCCATTGACTTGTGTATACAATGCCTTACCCTTATAACAATATTGCTATAACGATATTACCCCTATAACGATATAAAATGGGCTGACCAATCGACATTTTCCATTTTATAACAATATCTAGCAGGGAATATAGAGCCCACTATCCAGGTAGGGCAAGCTTCACTTGATAAGGCGCTAGGACTTGACGAAATACAAAGGGGGCACCTTGCTGTGCATATAATGCGCATGTACGTCAGTTTTTTATGCTATGAAGAGTGTAAAAATGAACAAAATCCATGCATTATGACGTACATGTATGAAATGAACCAGTTACCCTTATAACAATATTACCCTTATAACAATATTTCTTGGTCTGACGCAAATATCGTTATAAGGGTAAGTCGACTGTATTTATATCTCTACTGTCAAGAGAACATACATTTTAACAAAGACTATGTACTCTTCCTACCACCAGGGACTCATTCTACAGAGACGATACGACCTGGAGTCTTCATCAGTACAGCATCAGACTAGGGATGTCCGTGCTCTTCCAATAGTTCAGTTAGCATACAGGTAATATCAAGAGTAGATAAACAAGAGTGTGCAACTCCGGATCTCTCCTGCACAATCTGCAGATACCCCCGCCCACGGCGGAATTTTTTGTTGACGTCACCTTTTTTCAGAAGAACGCGCATTTTGCTCCAGAGCAGTGTGAGAGCACGTGCTGGGCACCGACTTTGTAGTGCAAATGCGGCCAAGTGCACGAGGGAAAACTTTCCAAAAGACTCAAAGCGCGTGCGTCGTCGAAAAGATTACGTCAACAAAAAATTCCGCCGTGGGCCAACCCATCCGCGAGTTGCACACTCTTGTTTATCTACTCTTGGTAATATGAATGCTCTCGTGCCGTGCATAAAATCAAATGAGTGGCACAATTTCACAGCCGGCACTCTCCACCAAGGGAACGCGATTGCAATAGCAAAGGTAGTCATAATTGAAAAGGCACATAACCTCTACTCCGCCGGATTAGTACTCAGTCCTTGCACACACAACTTTGCTCTTTGTGACAATGTCCTTCAGCTATCCTGTTGCTGCCCGATCAGCATACAGTGTTTCTATACTGGCATTTGGCAATCACAAATGTAAATCAAAAATACAGACCGGCCACAAGGAGAGGTCTTCATACTATACCAGTAGCCACACTGTGATAGCAGGGTGTTCCACAGTTGAGCAGCAATACACACTCAAGACAGATAGTTATGGTAGTTGAAGAAAGATATACAAATGTGGCTACACAATTCGTTTTCTGATTATAGCAGCACAGTGCCTGGCTTCATTCACGTCCAAAATCTATAATTCGACTGCATGTACCCATTGCAAACCCTTGGCACATGCAGCAAATCAGTGAGGCTAGCCTCCCGTTCCCTGAAGATCCAGCATTAGACACGCTGCAACGCTTGGTTACGGATGATGTGTCCCATCGGGCCAGCCATTCTAGATATCAGTGGCATAGTTATGCTAGGCTTGACCTTGCATGTCAGCATACAGCGTGCCCAACGCCTTGCTCACCTGCTGTAGCTCCATCTCCAGTTTCACTGTCCACCACAGCACATATACAGGTGCATTGACATACACACAAACATAACAGTTACACACACGTTGCTAGCTGGACACAATGACATTATTTAGGGGAGTCTGTCGGCAGTTCTCAACTATTCAAATGTTAAACACCAGTAATTCACCCAAAAAAGTCTGTGCGGCTTATACAGTGTTTCTCAATGAAATCCAGTCACGTCACTCAAGTATGCGCTGGGCGTTGCGCAGCTCGAGACCTGCGAACACTGGGCTGCGAAATGATGCAAGGCGCAAACTTGAGTGACGCGACTGGATGTCATTGCGCAGCACTGTACTACGATGGTCAAATTAACAGTAATAAACAGGCCCGGTTAACAGGGTAGATGTCTGTAGTTCATGCCAAGTGATCTGTGTGCAGCTTTCCAATCTGGCAGTAAAGCTGACAGTAGTTATAGTGAATCTTTCTTGTTGGTACAAAATATTCCCTGAATCGCAGGTCACATGTGGCCTTGTGAGAATGGTCTATACCAGTATCAATCCACCTGACGTATGACAGAGCCACATCAGCTGTCATATGCTTGGCAAGCTTACCAATCCTATCCAGTGTAGCAAACACCTCTTCCAGTTTCTCTTGGATGCCATGGCTCGTCTTGTCATACACCTCACTCAGCCCTTGTTGTACTCGAATGTAGCTCTCATTCATGTCTTCCTCAAGGCTTCTCCGTAGGTCTGTTAGACAAACAAGACATTGTAGCAGTAATGATCCAATGAAACTTGAAAGGATATCAATATCCAGGCTACACACACACGTTCTTGAGGCTTCTTTCAACGCAGTGTTACTATAGGAGAAACAGTGAGGAGCAATACTATAGTCAACAGCATATCACCATCATCAACAATTCATCATCATGCTAAGCAGCTTCCTAACACCTCTTAAAATTATTCAGGCAATGGCCCGGGGTGCTCAGCATACCACATAAGATTAAAAAAGAGGAAGGAGTAAATGCATGCTTAGCCACATTCTTGGTTGTGCTATTTAGACGGAAAATCTGGGCAACACGTGCGTATGTTTTCTGACCGCACATGGCCATGGCACTGGAATCATCCTCAAACAAGACAACAGTATACACTGTGTTTAACCCCGTAGCAACGTAGTAACTCGCATCTGTGGCATTACTTGCTTGCTTTTGGCACCATTTTAAGTTAGTACTGCCTTAGCTCTCACCTGCTACAATAGTAGCATCGTGCTGTCTCTTTTTGTTGATACTTTCTATGAGCTGCTGAGCTGCTTGCTTGAGAGGATCTGCACGCGACTGCCCTGAACTGGTCATGGACATGTCAGTGTTGAGATCACCACGTACACTGTCCTTGTCAGATGTGAATGCGTCATCCTTAGTCGGCTTACTAGACGCCAGATGGCATGGCAAAGTGAAGGAGAATAGAGAGAAGCACAGGGTGTCCCCAAGTATGATCGGTCTCTTGGAGAAGCTGTCACCCCCCCCCCCCCCCCTCCTCCCCATAGAATAGTGATAAATAGTACATTTGGTAAACTCCCCGGATACGGCATGTGTGTGTGTGTGTGTGTGTGTGTGTGTGTGTGTGTGTGTGTGTGTGTGTGTGTGTGTGTGTGTGCATGTGTGTGTGTGTGTGGTACCTGCTTTCTCAGAAGCATCCAATGTTCCTGGGACAAAGCATCATAAGTAAAAGCTACATCTGTTGCATTGGGCCAGTATATCGTGGAATCAATGTGTATGAGGTGTGGGTCCCCAGACTGTGTGCATACATGGGTGTGTGCATGTGGCTGTGGGGACATCTGTGATGGTGTGTCGGTGATGCTATTGCATTATACAGTACATGCCTCACTTATTCATGCTCTGTCCAGTCTTTGTAGCTCATGTTCAAATAATTATAACATGTACGATCACTTGAAGCATCTTCGAGTTCAATACAACCGCATCCGGCACTTACTTGGCATGCGTCGGACCCCTTCCTTCCCTTTCCACATCTGTGGGAATGTGGGATACCATTTCACCCTCATTCGGAGCACTACACGTGCCCTCCATCAGGATTGTTCTCCTAAACTTCTCCTTCAATCGTCGTTGAGCTTTACTCGCACTCGGGCAGTGGTACAAGGCCTCCTAAAGCTGAACAGTGCGATGAACTACTAGACAACTTCTGGTTCCCGTTTTCTAAGAACGAGCGATCGCCCTCCAAGAACGTCCGACATTTGCGTCGGCTATTCGTGCTTCCAAATTGTTGTCCAGATCTTTCAACACTCAGCCACGAACAAGATAAGATTGAGAACGATCGGCAGACATGACACTGCAACCAGCCCGTCCAACAAGACTCGAAGCCAAGGCCTTCTCGCTTCACTTCAGTTTTCACGGGGATTGGGTTGTCCTAGTTGTGCCACCTCGATCCTTTCGTACAGATCGTAAGTCTGTTTTCAAGCTAAGCTGCTCCTGCTAGCGCACTCGGATATCGAGGATCGGACGTACTGAATAATTGACCTCTGACCTCCGACACTGGTTCAGGTCGTGCACTTTTGACCTAGGAAGTTTTTTCCAGGTAGATTCTACGTGTAGACTAGACTACTCATGATCATGCTGCATGATGCCTTGCAATACAAGGAAAGAGGCAGGGTTTGACTTCTTATGTTGTCGTTGTGCGTCTGCCAAGCCAAGCATGTAGGTCTGCAAGCCTTCGATCTATGGCCCATGGGCATGGGGTAGGTCTACGGGGTAGGGGAAGGGGGAGGGGGGCAAGCATACATGGCAGTAAATCTACAAGAACGAACCCTGCCAGGATGTGCAAGTCTTGAGAAACTACACAATCTAAGGCACAAACACCGGAGCGGCGGAGGCGAAGAGCTGTTGAGCTGTAACTTTATTTTTTTTTAAAGTTTCATGCAATCTAAAAGTAAAACATGTGATCGACACAATGTACATTGCGCGCAGCACCTAAAAATAATTTGAGTCAAAAGACTCTAGAGAGATGATCATTGATGTGGTTTTGCTGATGAGAGCTCTCTGGTTCCACCTCAGCAGTGCTGCCAGTGCACATTGCAAAACGCAGTGCAACGACTACACACAACAGTAGAATAGGAAGCACTGAGAAACCATTGTCCACTATAATTAAACGCAGCAGTGTAGAGAATACTATTACCAGATAATAAGTGGGAAAGCAATGTGCAAAGCTCAGCATGTATTTACAGCAAAGGGACTCAATCAACACGAAACATGAACAAAGTTACTACTGTCACGGTCACTGTCAAACATCATTGTTCAAGTATCATCATTATTTTGTTAGATATTTGTGTGACTATCACATGTATCTATATCTACAGCAGGTGTGGGGAAGCCGGTGAAGCAGTAAGGCCGGCTGCATTCATTAGCACCCAACCATAACGTTGTATAGATCAAGAGAGCTCAAAGCCAGCATTGGCACGGATCGCGTAGCGCAGTTTGTCACGGAGCACTGTCTTCTTGCTGTAGTTAGGCAGTTTTAGCATGTTGAAGCAAGTGGAAGCTGTGGGCAGACGGTCTCTGGACTGGCGAGCACGAGCTCCAATTCCCAAGAGACCCCTCATGACACTGACGACCGAGTCACCGGTGTCCTAAAGCAAAGGATGGAGTGTATCAAAGGCAACACAATCAACATGGTACAGGTTATGAGAGATCGGGGGAAACAACAACAATGACTGACTACATGCAGTGCATGTTGGTGGTCACTATGGGCCATGCCAAACAGCACAAGACTGGATGTAGTGCTAGGATGTGTGACACTAGGGCAGGTATCCATACAGACACCAGGGCAGGTATCCATACAGACTCCACTAGCCAGAAGAGAGTGCATTGCACAAGCATACAATGCACTCACAGTTCTCCCTGTTCTGGACAGGTAGGTGAGGGGCTGATAAAACAGCTAAAAGGTATAACGTATGGCTCTGCAGTGGCCAGGGTACAATGACCACACACATAATCCTGATATTAAAAGTGGGTATGTAAATGTTGATTGATGTACAGTGCTGGCCAGTGAAATATGATCCAGAGCAAAACAGCAGAACAGCCCTTGACGCCCCGAACTAGCACCTAGCTGCGGAGATTAGTTTATTGCACCTAGCTGTGGAGATTGCCGGGTTCATTGCATATGGCAGGCATAAGCAGAAGCAACATGCAGTGTAGCTCTTGAGCCAGGGATAATCAGGTTTCACTGGCCAGTAGTGCACATGAGATGCTGCTGCAGGTTAAATCCTGCTAGCAAACAAACACGTCTTAGCCAACAACATGTGAAATTGAACACAGAAAGTGGGGTGTTTAGGCACTGACCTGGTCATCTCCCACCTCGACCAAACGAATGTGGAACGGTGGCTGTAGATGTGCAAATCCAAGCACAGGAGGCTTTGAACAGCTGGTAACAAACTGAAACAAACGAACAGAAAAAAGAATGACATGGGCAGGTATGAAAACGGGTAGCAGTTGTTGAAATCTAACAAAGGTAGACAGTGACATGTAATCAGTCACTAATCACCCAACATTACAACAACACATCTAACGGTAAAGTGCTACTCAATGAAATGCGGTTTTGTGGGTCAGGTTTACACCTTGCACCAGTGCACAGCCCAGTGCTTACAGGTCTGGGCTCGTGTAACATTGATTTGCATGATCGGATTTGAGGATACACAGTCAACGCTAGGGGTTGGACCGCTCAGCCATCCCGAACAGCAGCTAGACGTGCCTTCGGCCTGCCTGCCAACCGCACTGACCTACACTCGTTCTTGGGTTTGGGCAACCAGCTCTCCGAGTTCACACCCGCTATTGCCGAGCTTGCTACACCTCTACGTGATCTACTGCAGTCAGCCGTCGAGTTCGTATGGGAAACGTCCCATAAGCTCATTGCGTAATCCCATATTTGGGAGACGTGATGGAATCGCGTGCCGTGGCAAAGTGCCAAGTTGTGGGCAAAGTAAGCATGCAGTATCGTCTTCTGGATGGTATCATTGACAACAATATATTTGATATTCTTGAGCAAGCTGTCGTCTCAGCGTGTGTTTTGTGCAATTACCAACCCACATTGGTTGCTACCTGATATGGTCTCGATGTCAATACAATTTTCACACCTTCATTCATAAATCGCCCTGTCCTGTTTAACAATGTACATAATTATGTAAATAGGCGAACATTTTATTATTATCACAGATAACGGGGGTGTTCCCAGAAACTTTATTATTTATGTGCAGCTTAGCACTGTGCACATTATTCTTTCTACAAGTATTTGCTGTGTTGAGAGCGTTGTGATTACTCTGTTCTTTCCTGTTTTGGCACCACCCCACACCCTATTATTTGATCATTATTGTATTTCGTCGCCTACGGTGTTCTAAGCCGCCATTCCTTTTACTAGTGCTTCCTGTTGGCAGATCCAATAAACCAGTCCTTTACCCCGCCAGTACTCAGACGCCTACTAATCGTGTTCAGTACTCCACAAGTACAAACAGTGTATTAATTTTTATGATTGAATGGAAAAACAATCACTTAGAAAGAAGATTGTGAATACTCCACGAGTGCTAACAGTGTATTTTATGATTGAATGGAAAAACAAGAACTTTGAAAGAAGATTGTGAGTTCTCGAAGAGTGCTATGGTGAAGTAACTAGGAAAAGAAAGTTCCAAAGAAGTCCAGTGTTGACATTAAGAACAACATCACATTAGAGCAGCATGAACGGCCGGAAGGTAATGCGAGAAATAAAATTTCTCCAGTCGGGGCAGAAACTCCTTCACAAGGGAATGATCAGCAGCGACAGTTTCCACAAACAGACCATCTGGAAACCATATGACAAAGTCGGCAGCCTCCACACCGCAAACATACATCTGCGTTCGAACTTGGTAGTAGTAGGTGTGCGTTCGCTTGAGGACCAAATTGCCATCAACATCCGTCAAGCATGAAGTCCGCCGTCCAGCAAACTCACGAAGCGACATACCATTCCGCATGGTGAAAGGACACTTGATCTCCACCACACGCTGCAGTTTGCCATTGACCATGACGAGACCATCAGGCGAAGCACTAAGCCATGGTTTGGTTGGATGGATGAAAAGGCCACAGGATTCGACGACAACAGGAACATCCGAAGTCTGTGCACGTGTTATGCAGGCTTTGACAGCATCACGTTCATGCGCTAAGCCATACTTCATAGCCGCTGTAGGATGCTGCGGTGGAGCCAACTTCCTGTTGATGATGGTGGAGAAATCATCAATTCGTCGGCTTGCAATGCTCTTAACAAGTGTTGCAGTCACTCGTAGTCGCCGCTCATTGTACCAGGAGAGGTTAGTTGACTGTCCCTTCGTCTCCCTTGCAATTTCAGCTGCACGGGCACTGGACACAGCAACACGGCGTTCATAAAAATCAGCAGGTGATTCTGGATCAATAGCGGCCATAGGCACAGGCGCCTCACAAGAAGACTCTGGTACACCCATCTGGCGCTCATTGTCTGACTCACTGCTGCTGCCCTCGTCACATTCCGAGTCATTTGAGCTTGGGACAGGAGAAGGTTCAAGTAGCTTTAGCCAACATGAGCTGCCATACATCTTGATCTTTCCCGATTTGTCCTCTGCCAGAGCCTTCTCCTCAACGCGCTCCAAGTCATTACACAGCCTGGCAACTGCCTCAGGGTTGACAAATCTGCGGTTTGTAGGCCTGGGGTCATAAAACGGGATGCTCTTTTTATTTTCTCCAAGATCTCTGCCTGAATACGTGTCCTTCTTCAGGTGGACTTCCGTTACTCTGCTGGCCTTGACGCGTGCTGCTCGGGGATGATTCCATTGCATAAGTTTCTCAGTACAAGTTGTGGCTGCCTCTTCACGCAGGCCAAGCCTTACAAAGTCCTCCGATGCATATAATAGGCCCGCTATGTGGTTACAGGAACCAGCTAACCCAGCAGGGCATGTGCAGTAGGCAGTGAGAACCGTAGGGACATGTGACACCCCGCCAGCAGTGCAGCATATCCGAACGTTGTATTTCCTGTCCTTACGGAAAGAGGGCAGGACGACGCAGCGTACAAAACAGAATTATGGAAAGACAGGCAGTGAATTGAACTGGATCTTCTGGATGTGGCCTGACTTGAAGAACCTGAACCCTTTGTCTATTCCACGGAACGAGCTGTACTTGGCTGTGCCTGAATCACCATCCTCCTCGTCATCCTCCCATTCGTCATCAACTTCAGCAGGGACAGCACTATCAGAAGCTACAGCACTATCAGCAGCTACAGCACTATCAGCTGGGACATCAACTTCAGCAGGGACAGCACCATCAGCAGCTTAGCACTATCAGCAATTCAGGTTTCGTTCCCGATCGACGAGCATTACGGCAAGCTAGCCAACGCTTCAATTCTTTCACGGAAAGTTGACTTGCCAAGCGTTGAGAGCCATCAGTATTCCGATCTAACGATGCTCCAGGCACATCGTCCTCGGAGAGTTTCACAGCCTGCGCCTCCATCTCCGACAAACAAAAGACTACGAAAAGTGTTCCTTGCAGAAGCTGACATTACAAATACAAGGCCGAGATTTGCTTCTGCCCACAACTCGGCACTTTCCAGGTTGGTCGCGTACGCATGACATCATTACGCAATGGGCCTATGCTGAAGCTTTCAATACGGTGAAAAACGCCTTGTTGCAGCCTCCTGTTATGGCGTATTACCTACCCGGCTTGGAAACGTGGTTAGAAATCGACAATTCCAGCACAAAAGGCCTCAGGTTCGCCTTGTTTCAGCGACACCTGGAAGGTTGGAGATTGATCCAATGTGGTACCCGGTTTGTCTCAGATACCGAATCTCATTATCTCATTATGCAATGGTTGAACTTGAGTGCACCGTCGTCGTCGTCTGGACGATTCACACGTGTCACCGGTACCTTGCAGGTAGCCCACTGCTTGTTCAGCTTTTTGTTCTGAGGTCAAATGCTGACAATACGGAAGCCCTGGCTAGAGGGTAGATCACTCTCGCTTCAGCCTTGCCTAATGCTTCTTTACGCCAAGGTTTCTACGCTCTGCCCTACCTGGCAGTAAACAGGTGGAATTTCTTCCACCCACCTGCCTCCAGGCAGCTCCCATTCCCATATAGAACAGCCAAGTACGCAGCCTCTTTTGCAATAGTTAATGACCTATTATGCCGGCTCCCTTCATTCCAGTTAATTTTATTCACAAATTACCCAGGGTACCCAATAAAAAGACCGACAGTCTGCGGGAATTACCCTAGTATAAGTTAAAATAATCGACACAAGCATTGACACTATTTATAGTAGTAGCTACTAGAAACAAGCATAGAACTGTCCAACTTCCTTGTTGTAAAACAGTTGTGAGGAAAAACTTCCACATACCTTCAGGAAGAGTCCTTTCTCTTCTTGATCCAGCTCTTTCTCCACAACATCCCACAGCCATCGAATGACAGAGTGTGCCGAGCTGAAACCACCACTATACTCCACATACTTCCTGCACACGAGCAAGACAGGGCAAGAAAATAAAACTATTGATCAGCTTCATCAAATTCATCGCAGAAGTGTGCATGCAGCGGTAGTTGCAATGAATCCTAAAACTTGGAGCACCTGGGCCCCAATGGATACATGCATAAATGCCAGCTGATAGACTAGGTGTCAAAGAGCTACAGCTAGCTCCTTCGGCGTGTGCCGTATAGATTTCAAGTGCTAAATCAATGCATGTGAAAATAATCTTGGCCTCCAACACCATCATGAGGTATATATTTGCCACCATTCCCACCAGGTTACCTCAAATCTCCAACGTCAAGAGGCTGATTGTCACCGGAGATGAGACGCTGCAGCTCCGGCGACGAGAAGAACACGAGCCAGTCCGGTTGAACGAACGAGTGGAAGCCACGGCAGAACGCGCTAGACTGCTTGTAGATCTGGGTGCACAGCTTGAAGTTGGCCATGAGATGAATGTAGCTGATTCTGTCGTGTGGAACACAGCGCACACACAGAGGAGTGAGTACGCACACCTCCCTTGGACGAGTACTGTACAGTCACCTACCTGTGCCTATATATTTGGCATAGTGCATCCATATGTAATTTGACCCCGCTTCCTATTTCACACCTTCGCGTACGCACATGCACCTCGCATGCACCAGCGGTAACTGTTGCGTGCCTGTGCTGTTTACATGCCTACTCTGTTCCCTGTGTTCTCCACTTCTCCTTCTGTCTTCATCAAGTATAGTTTGTAATTCCTACCTGAGTGTGATGGTCGTGTTGGACTGAGAGAGTGTGCATGGGCATTTACCCTTAGTGCTGTTGCAGTAATGCAACAAGTACAACTTGCAAAAGGGTGACAAGAAGCCATCTTTCCAGATATAACATGATTTGTCCTTATACCTCAAAGAATTACTTGAAGTTGAACATATTGTAAAGCTGCTAACAACTTGTTGGGAGCTGTCCAGTGGTTAATTCGTCACGTAGAAGTGCCTTTAATCTGGTAAAGGCAGGACACTTTATTTGATGATGCAAGCAAGCTCACCTATTTGTATCTGTGACCGGAATCACACGACCGCAGGGCTTCAAATCATGGGTCACAAGCTGTAGAAGAACAGCACGTGGAAAACAATAACCAACGGACAAGTAACGTATACTCGCATCATTCTCTGAAAGCCGAAACAACAGCAGTATCAATACATACCTGCACGAACTAATACAGTGTAACAGTCAATATCACTTATCCAACCACTTGTACTTCAGGAGTGGGATTTGTTGAAAACCTGAAATCCTGCTGTTAGGAGTCTTCGTAACATTCACGTGCTCACCTTGCCCAGCCGGTCCTCATCGATGGCAAACGTCAGGCAGAAATCGTCTTCGACATTACCTTCATAGCGCTATCAGCAACAAGCCAAGACCAACAGCAATAGGGAGAAACAGGATTTTAAAACAAAACCAAACAACGGCAGCAAAGTACACAGTGCACATTCATTACAGCCATCATAGCAAGCTAGTGTTACATTCCAGCAATCCTCAGAATATGCAACTCTTCAGGGCCCTAGAAGAAAACAAAGATATCAACGCACCCTAATACTATCCTAATCCAGACTCCCCAGATCCGGGCACTCCCATCCACCGGGCAGCTTCTTGACCTCTCTAGAGCCACAGAAATGGCACCAAAAGATTGATTGGCATAAACATGTGGGCACTTGCATGCAATCAGTATGTATGGTCCGAGTTCCGGGCAGTTCCTAGTTTCGAGCAGTACCCAGTCCCAACATGCCCGGATAAGAGGAGTTCTGCTATACAATCGTACATGTATTGCTTTGAAATTGATTAATTACATGCTGAGTGCAGTCTATCAGCTTCTACTTAGCATGTACACAAGGGTATGTACCGAGTTTTACTGCTTGTGCTCATGACTAGTCACACACACAGTCTTTGATCTCTGTCCAAGTCCACCGTGATGCAGACCAGAATACTCTTTTTTAAATACTCTTCAATGCATGGATATCGGAATACAATATCTCCAAGACCCATGTACAAGATTTAAAAGAAAGAGGGCCAATTCTACCTTGAGCTCAGAGAGACGCCGATACAACTCTGCATCCATGGAAGACAGCTCATCGAAGGACGAATAGGCAAAGCTATGTGTTCTGCCTAGTATTTGCGTCAGGAAGAACGATGCAAACGGCACTTCGATCACAATTCCCTGGAATAAAAGAGAAGATGGCAGTCAGGCAGAGGCAAGGCTGCAATAAACCACACCGAGTCCATTCACACCAGCCATCACATAAAGGCAAGTGATGCGTACTCACGTGCTTCAAAGCACATTTGACCTCCGCCCCGGTGGCTTATAGAAGCTACATGCTACACCACCAATGTCCTCTGCATTTCCCCTGCTCACCTCATATACAGCCTTGCCCAGGAGACGACCTACAAACTCAAACAACTGCAAGTGGTCGTTGTGCAAATAGCTGTTGGGCGATGGGTAGACATTGCTACCTTCTTCCACACTCTATACAACAACAGGCAGAAGGATGTGAAACGAAAATAGTTAACACATATTCGTAATCCTATGCAACATGCACATCTACATACATACACATTCTTATCCACATATCCTGGGTAATTAGAGCATTAACCATAGAACAGGTAAGCTCTGTGGAGCTCCACACAGGCAATCGCATGCACACAAGAAGAAGTGCACACACCACACACGCACCCACCATGCACCCCCCCCCCCTCCCTGCGAATTTTCAGTAATCTTTTGTTTTTGTGGAGCGCTTGGGTCGCAACGAAGCCGAGACCCTATGGTTGGTCAAGCTGCCCCTGCCTCTCCCCCACTCCTGCCATTCCATATGTCTCATCGCTGCCTTGCTGCTTTGGCCGTCAAATGGTGTGTTTTTGTTTGTAAAAAAACAAAAAAACAAACACTCTCTCTCTCACACACACACACACACACACACACACACACACACACACACACACACACACACACACACACACACACACACACACACACAAACAAACACGTCACATGCACGCCTTTCGTGTGCCACATTTTACACCCAATGCCTGCCGAAAAGATGCACAACATCACACAGTACACACTTGCAAAAAGGACACCAATAACTAGTATCCTACGCAACCCAATCGGGTCCTGTATCAATTTTCACATACACCTCACCTTGAAGAGAGCAAAGTTCGGATTGAACACTTGCTTGACAATTTCTTCCAGAAATTCCTTGAAGACACCATCTTGATCAATGCCAGCTTCATCAAGACCCTGCAATGCAAAGAAATGCACAGGCGTGCGCTGAATATCCAAGTTTCACCTACCTGATCAAAGCGACCAACCGAACCACTCCCCATCGGGGATTATCGCTCAATGTCACTCGTACAAAAATACCCATTAAATCACATCATTATGCAACCACATGTACACGTGCATGTGTGCATGCGACTAGTGCGGTGTGTCTAATTGCAAGTATGAAAGGTCAAGCTATTTAGCCTCGAAACAAGAAACGCATATAGCACACCGAATGCACGAACCTGTTCATTGACAAACTTGATGCGAATGATTCCCTTGGCGTCCTGAATACGTAGCTTGGAGAGCTGAGCAAAGCCATCCTGTTCCACAGTACACACGTACAAAAGCCGACACAAGAAACTTCCATTCACCCCACTGGCCAGCAAAAAAAACAGGCTGAGCTGCCCAATGCAACTGAAGGCGATATACACAAAACCATTAGAATCCAAAGCAACTGAAGGCGGTATACACTAAACCATCAGAATCCAATGCAACTGAAGGCGATATACACTAAACCACCAGAATAAACTCAATAAAGCGCTCTGGGTATACCATACTATGGATATAAAGTACATGCAACGTTATAGTCCTGGCCACAGAAATTCAACCTCATGAACAATCATAATAGTGCCAGGGGCTACGGGGCCCTAGCACCACACACACCACTCTACAAACTTGAGCGTGGTGCTACTTTATTCATGAGATTGACCTTCTCTGGCCAGAACTGTACTACTCGGCGGATTCAATTATTTGCCGTTGTTGAAACCCGACCCAAAGTACTTGTTTGGTGCCCGGATTTGCATGGCCCTTGGCGTCCTGGAAGTGGCACGAATGCTGCTGGATGCACACATGTACCAATACAGTGATGCAATCGGAACTGGGCGAGGGAGTTGAGCTCTCATTTACAGTGGCTCAGCAAAAGGTATAGTACAGACTTGTACGACTCACTTGCAGGTATGTTATACATGTACTGATGTGGTCACTGTTCATGTACAAAGAGATGAAAAACAGCACAAGAGACAGCACAGCACCGGTACTAGAAGAGAATGCAGAGAACTACAATTAGTACACGACTAGTTTACCTCAAGGAGAGCATTTCTGCGCACGGTGATGTACGTTGAAGCGCCATAAACATCCAGGTCCTGACCGGCCAATCCAAGCTGGAGCTTGTCTTTGTGCACAAGGTCACGAAAGATCTTTGCACGCTGTGACGGATGTGAGACACGAACATCAAGAAATAGGGAAAGAGAATTGGAAATGCAACATTCTCCTCTTCTGAACTTAAGAATCCCATCTTTCGCTAACAGGACCGGTCGAGGCAGCTCGGATAGAGTGCTAATTATGCAGAGCTGTATAGACAAACACTTGAGGTGAAGGGCTCTTGGGCTGTAACCTTAAGTTTCATGCACTTAAGCGATCGTCAGATAGTGGCATGCCGCTGACGTAAACGCCACTGTCTGATGATCGGTCAAATGGGTGAAACCTAAAGTTACAGCTCAACAGTCCATCGCCTGTGAGGTTTGTGATTTCATATTTTATAGACGTTTGATATTCCAATGATAGACATTCATTTGCCTTTGGAAAGTCAAGTAAATAAATAAAGGAATAAATGAAGGAAAGGAGTAGGGCTGAAAGGAATATTCGAATATTCGATTGATATTCGTTAGGAACCCGATGGAAGGAATATTTTCCCCTTTAGAATATTCGTTCGTTTTGACACGTGCGCACACTCTGCTCCTGTCGATCTATTTGTAGTAAATCTTGAACGGATGGAGTGATATGTGCATGTGTTATGTGGTGAGAAAGGAGACTATGACTCACAGGAGTAGTGGACATGACTCCACTAGATATCTACTTGGTCTAGAACAACTGGGGACTAGCCAAACTCTTTCTAAGATTCTTTTGGTATAGAATATTGGATTCATTTACAAAAAATCGATTTAGGTCCTATTTATATAATTGTTTCGAACTTAGAAATAATTCAGCATTTTGAGAGAATATTCGTTATTCGTTCGTTATGGATGAGTATTCGTTCGTTTGTGAAATAGAATATTCGTTGCAGCCCTAGAAAGGAGACATCTTTTAACGCAATCTACTGGACGCGTAGAGAGTATTAAAACTGCCCTGAAACAAATATATCACTTACTTCCAAATAGGGTATTGTGTGTGGCATCATTCGAAGCAGAGTGGTGGCGCGCTGCTTGCGACGCTCCAGCTCTTGGCGGAAACTGGAGAGGGGGACGGAGCTGGAACATACACAAGCGGCCACAGGAGTTACGCCACACACAGACCTCAGAGAATACATTCCCATACAAAACTAAACTCATTGCAGGGGTCCACGAGAGAGGCAGGCGACGGAAATGAATGCATGGCAGTAACAGAATGCAACATGCAGTAGCCACTACCAGCGGAGCAACAAAATAAACAATCAATTGCTCAATTTCATAGCAACTGTACTACCTCATTCTTCACAAACACTGGTGCATTACCCATGCATTGGTCAGGTACGCATAGAAATGCCATAAACACCATTGGCTTTCATGATAAGTAAGTTAAAAACCCATGCCCACTACAAAGTGTGAGTACAACAAAAGCATCCACAGCAGCTGTAACAACCAACAACAGCTAAGACTCACTCAATTATCCAATGATCCGCCGGAGCATAGTTTCTGCGACAGTCACGATCGTGTAGCAGCATCAGCAACGAGTGTGCGGCAGACAGAAGAGTAAACGAACTGTCACTCAATACCTGCTCAATGCCGGCTTTAGCTGCCGCGGCAGACACGGTGGCTGCTGAAGATGCTGTCGCGCGCGATGAAGAGACGCCTACGGCATTCCACACAGATACGGTATAAAGATAATTTATAATACGCACTTTCAGCATCCACCATAGAACAACACATCTAGGGCTTTATAACTAAAAGTGCATTCCCGCACATGTGGTGTGAGTGCCACCCTTGCTTATGCCATTCAGGACACAGTACAGAGAATGAAGAAAAAAGGCAAGAGAGAGAGAGAGAGAGAGAGAGAGAGAGAGAGAGAGAGAGAGAGAGAGAGAGAGAGAGAGAGAGAGAGAGAGAGATTCAGCATGGCAATTCGTACCAGTGGCAGGCACGGCCTTGGCGGCACTTCCCGCATGCCAGATCAAGTTGAAGCACAGCTTGTTCAGGAATCCAGACAGAAGAATCAGCTGGGGCAGTGTGAACGGCCGCTGCTCCTCATACATTTCAATATCATCCACTATGCTGCAGATAAGATGAGATGACAAGTACACAAAACCGGACATGGCAGTCAGTCGATAATCTTGTACAGAAACTCATATGAAATATACTTTTCCTGAATGGGAAAGGGCATAGCACAAGGACCTGGAGAACAACTACAAAGCCAATTAAGTTACGTCCAAGAGATGAGAAAGTAAGCATAAAATATGCAAGCAAGTACTGTATGCCCTATGGCCTCACGACTGCATTGCACCATACCAGCCAATTTCATATACCGTAAAATCCCGCCAGAGCGCCCCGTCTCTCCCATCCGCCCCTCCCTGACTTCTTGTCAGGGAAGTGATTGATTGTATCCTCGTATGCCTCTGTGATGCCGTACTGTACTGCAGACGCGTGCTCGACCCCGTTGGAACTGTACGCAACAGTGCCCACCCTCTTGATCAAGGATCGCACAAACCCTGAGTTTTGACGGGTCTGTCCTACTCCTGGCTCTTGACCTTTGGTTGGTGTACGAGATGCACGGACAGTTTTTGTAGGGGGAGTACTTTTTCATGTAGTACTGAATGCGGCAAGTTGGACTCGCCCATCCACCCCTCCCCACCTGAATCTACTCGAAGCATCGAGGAGGTAGGGGCGTTCTGGTGGGATTTTTACGGTAAATCCAAGCACCACTTTAAAGATCTACATGTACTTGATGGCATGGATTTTATCTTTTTGACAACCTACAGATTATCCTTCTCTTGCTTACTAGTGAACCCACCTGTGACTTACTCAGGCCAGCCACTAGTGCACTGCAGACATGTAGATACTCTATGTGACACTGGATGCAAGTTCTGTCCGCAGATTGAGTATTTCGCTCCTGCTCTTGTAGCAGTTGAGCACTCTCATGTGGGGCAGTGCCTTTGCGGTTTGCGTGATGCAGAGCTCACTGACTTGTCAGTTTGAGCACTCTGGCAAGGCACGTTCGGGCCTGGTTTAAATCTGGCTTTGGAAATTTTATTTTTCATTGCTATCAGGTTCGGCCTCATTTTCTCTGTGCTGCGCTGATGAGTCCACAAAGGACGACACAGTTCTGTCTGCAGATTGAGCGCACACTGGATACATTTACTTCAAAGTAGATACTCATGTGACAGCTGGATGATCAGCACATCACACTGGCACAAAGACAGGCATGCAGGCACGCACCCAAACACACACGCGCACGCACACACACACACATATATACACACACATACAGCTACTTACGCCAGCACGTGCGTGCAGCAGTTGCAGAACAAGGCGAGCACGGAGCCAAGCGGGTGCTGTGAGATTGCCGCTTCGTCGTGCGACATCTTGGTGATATGCTCGAGTGTGCTTTTACTGTTCAGATACTGCCACATACTGGGCAGCAAACCCGGATGGAAACACAGACCTGAACATAACAGATCAAGCGAAACAGAAGAAACCGCCTCAGCACCACGCCGCATACAAATTAGGGCAGTCAAGGGAAGGAGAAGATCGCCTTTCGGCTAATGAAATAGCAGCTGAATTTCAGTGGCAATGGTCAACTTACTGGTCAGGATTTCGATCTTGATCTGCACAAACGTCTTGAGGCAACCGTGATACAGAGAGCAGATCTTGCGCAGGGAGCAGAACTCAGGTGAATCCAGCTTCAGCGCAGATGTTGATAAGTGAGTGATGCGAAAGTCGAACAAGCGTCCCCAAATGCCTGCAGAAGACGGCAAACATTCGAACACCATTGGTGAATATGCAACTTGATTAACTGTGTGTGATGCAATCACCACAAACTTGATTTCAGAGGAATGATGTGTCGCCTTCAACAACACCTTTTCATGATTCAGAATAGTGCCACAACTCTCACAAGTACAATGTAGCCTCCTTCTGGTATGTGACTGGCCAAAGGACAATGATAAATCCTACATATTTACTGCCCTGTTCCTTTTCTGTCCTCTCTCCCCCCCCCCCCCCCCCCCCTCTTTGCTTGGTCCAGCAAAGTTAATTAGTATGAGTTTCGTCTTGTAGTCCTACGATGCATACACCCATGAACTTATGTACTGCAATACAAAAGATTGGCAGGCCGAGGAAAGACAAATCACCACAGCACAAAACAACCGAGCAGTACAAAGAGTTGACAATGTTACCTTTCGGTTTCTTCGTGCCACTTGCGGCGTCGGAAGCTGCTCCTTTCTGAGCCCCTGCGTCCTCAACACTGCTCGCACTGATGACATCACCAAAGAGCTGCGTGATCGTGCTCTCAAGCCACAGCTTCTCTATCTGTCTATTGACCAGCGGTGTTCCTTCTGCCAATCTGCATTGCACAGAAAAGATGATGGCGTGAGATCACATGTCTTTTCACCTGTATGGCATGATTGGCATCACGATCACTAATTCGGTCTCAGCCAGCAGAAAGGTGAGCATATAGGAGAATAGAGTAATCGTAAGGAACAGGGCATTCAGGTCAAAGACGCCGACTGCCGCAGGTATTTCCGACATTTAAAATTACATCTTGACCCATAACAACATTATGGTGGTGCGCTTGGTATGGCTCACAGGTCGTTTTTTTCTTCTTCATGCCAGTCAACTGTACCTCTCATCTGCCGCCTTCTGCTGGAACCAGCCCAGCAGTTGGTGAAAGCTGCTACTGCTGCTACCCTTCCTGACGCCAACATAGCGCTGGCAAAGTTCGAAAGTGCAGCCGATTACATCCTGAAAGTGATGAGAAGAAACACAGGGACGTTCCATGGTGACGTGAGCATCTCTATGAAGACACGGACAGTACTACACATAGTGCCTTATCAGGACAACGGTGTGTATTCACTGCTCAAAATACAGACTGAAAGAGACACACTGGCTATGTATAGTAGATTCAAGGCGGCTGCTAAATACTTTGAATTACGGGATTCAAGACTAAGAGAACCAATTAGATAAGAATTTATAGGGTACACATGTGCCTGGGCCAGTGGGGCAAACCACAACTGTGACAGGAAGCTAGCCATCCAGTACAAGAAGATGAAGCATAAAGACGCAGCATTTTCATGAGTGCCAAGAGTAAACTAGGAATCCGAAAACACCACTAACCTAGGAAACTCACCACAAATGGCGTACGGATTTCAGTAGCTTGTGGCTGCATGTAGAATTGGGAGAGAGAGAGAGAGAGAGAGAGAGAGAGAGAGAGAGAGAGAGAGAGAGAGAGAGAGAGAGAGAGAGAGAGAGAGAGAGAGAGAGAGAGAGAGAGAGAGAGAGAGAGAGAGAGAGCGATAGAGAGAGAGAGAGAGAGACAGATAGATAGAGAGATAGATAGATAGAGAGAGAGAGAACCGGTTGAAATTCGCTATACTGACAGAAACCGGTCATGTGGGTCTCCCCCAGGAGACGAGATATCTACTAGTATTTTCGGTACAATCATAATTTTGAAAAGATGACTCAATCGGCTATTGAAGCACCAATGGTCAAACATACTCTGGGTGAATTTGGAAACATGACCCCACTTATGAACTAACCAAACGACAGTAAGTGGAAGAGGACAAGGTGCAGAGAAAGGATTTGAGGTATCAGGGTATCTGCCTCGGGATACTTCAAAGTCCATGCTCCATACATTCTCAATAGAGTAGCCATACCTTGGGTGTGACTGTGTACAACTCGATCAAATTCCCTGGTGATAGGAAACAAAACAAACAACACACGGGCGATAAAGTCAGCCATGACCCAGGACCCATGACCCAGCAGCACCCAGGACCCAGGACCCAGCACCCAGGACACAAAGACTGCGTATCTTTCCACATGGCCACAGCCAGCATGAATGTGAACAGTGTAACATTACCGCAGTTGACATTAACACCATGTGCATGTACTGGTAAGTTCACCGCACGGTCAGAAACTCACAGTGTACGTATAACACCATTATACCAAGAAACAAAAGACCAAAGTATTTCTCTGTTTGAACTGCACCCAGAAAAACAATCCATGCTGCCGGTGGTAGGAATGTCTCGGCCCAAGAGTACAGTGGTGGTGGTGGTGGTGGTGGTGGCGGTGGTGGTGGTGGCGGCGGCGGCGGAGGAGGTGGTGACAGAGGAGGTGGCGACGGTGGCAGTGGTGGCGACGGTGGCAGTGGTGGCGGCGGAGGAGGTGGTGACGGAGGAGGTGGCGACGGTGGCAGTGGTGGTGGGAGCAGTAATGAGGTTTCAAAAAGCTGGTGAAGAAATTTACCAAGCACTTCAGTATTTCTTCTAACTTACCCAGCAAACATATGCTTTTGATAGCATGCAGGGATTCAAACACAGTCTTCATGTTGGACGGGTCAGCCAGAATTGTTAAAACACGTTTCAGCAACTGAGGGCGTTCCAACAGCGCGATGTGCTGAAAAACAAGAATGACAAAGAGGACACGGGTCAAACAATAACAACAATGCTGCTTGCATACAGATACGCCGAGGATGAAGCAGACACACACCAACGGTGTGTGCTGATGCTCAAAAGCTCATTTTAGCCAGCACAGTCATCTACTGGGTTTAGTGATGGCAGAATACATGCCTGACACCTTCCAGAGCAATCTGGCGGTGATCAGTGAGCAGCTGGCATCGTTCACAGACCAAAAAGGCCCAACGAGTCAGGACGAGGAACAGAGCACCGTTTTTCGACTTCCCTTTGGGAATCCGAGATGCCGGAGACTGATTGCCGTGGCTGCTGGGATATCCTAGCATCCCAATTCGAAATCGACATATCAACTGCTAGTCGGCCGGGCACCAAACAGTCTAGTCTATCGTGTTGTAACTGTGTAGCATGCATTCTGCCACCCACAACTGAATCACGTCCAAGCAGAGGCTTCATATTCACGTGGTACATAAGGTCTGGCTTCCTTGGTGCGTGCCCACGTACAGGCGTACACACACGCCTGTTACACAGTCAGGAGTCGGGGAAAATTCTGTTGCAACTCCAACTTTCAACTTATTCACAATCATCAGGCAACTGGTGGGTCGAAACAGGTGACCAGAAGATATGGCAGAGCAGGGCGAAGAGGCGACAGCACTAGCGCAAACTGTGCATACATGTATTAGGCAATAAGGCCTTGATCTGGGAGCCACATAGCGGCAGTTCTCACACCACAGATGCTACAGTTACACAAGCGAAATTGAGGGGAACAAGAAATGCAGTGCTGGTGGGGGTAGGTGCCAAAGCAACACACGGGACAAGCAAACAGGATACAAGCAGTACGACAGCAAAACTATTCCCATGTGACAATGGGGACAAAGTTACAAAGATTGAATTTGTTTTCATGACACTTCGACACCTGTTTCGACCTACGTACTAGTATTGCCGGGGAAGCGGCTTTTATCAGCCTGGGCGCGATCTTTAGTTTCTCAGCCAGACAAAGGTTGCAGTGCTTTGTGATATAGGAATATGGCACGGCTCTCCTGACGACCACTCTATGCTGCATGGCCCGTTGTCCTCCTCTAGTGCACAAGCCTGTTATAACTACAAGTACATGTATACACCGTACTTACCCTGAGGAATTGTGGATGGTCTTCCCGTCCAGAGGAGCCTGCTCTCCCCAATTTTTAGTTTTATTATTTTTTTGTCGTAACACATAAAGCAGCAGGAAGTATCACTATTTTTACTTAGTTAGTCTAATCACATACTGTTACCGTTGACCTCGAGCTGACATGGTTCGTGTGGGCCTACTGTACATACCATATGATATGCCATTGACACTGACACGAGCTAGTAATAAAAAATACTACTAAAAGACCGAATACGGATACATGCCAGCACAGACAGACAGACAGACACACATACGTGCGCACAAACACAAACGTTTGCCAACAGCATATTCACATACTTGGGCTCCACTTTGTCGAAGGTGAGACACCAACGCTGGTAAGCTCAACAAGTAGATAGATACGTCCATCAATCTTGCAGTTGAGTATCCCGAAGAGCTCAGAGGTCTGTCCAAGATCAAACAATCAAGCACAGAACACAAATTAAGTATGACTGACTACTATTTTTGTTTTCACCCCCACCCCCACCCCCACCACCACCACCACCACCACAAACTGACTAACGGGCCGAAGGTCAACGGCACACAACAAGAATAAGAGGATGAAAAAAGTTTTTTTTACTCCGAGTTTCACGCATTAAGCACTAAGCACTCTATTGGATAGCCTGGAACCTCTCTGTGTTTAAACACCTGAATACAAATGTGAATCAAGAATATTTCATATGCATTTTTTTAGTTAACCTTTTGAGCACGCGTGACGTTCTGACACGTCATGACCACTGCCACTGTGACACGCGTGACGTTCTAGGTGACGTTCTAGAACGTCACGAGTCAGTACGGAACTACATTGATTCCGCACTTCTTCCGTGGCTTGGCGTCGAGCTATACCGCTGCACAGAGGACTCCTAGGATGTACGAGTACAGTAAAAAAATGCGAGTCGCTCCGTATGTTTGAACTGAAGTTACATGCGCGTGCATGCATTTCAAAATATCAAATTCGCGTATAACTACCTTTCTGAAAACGGCCATAACTTTTGTAATTTTTGTTGTATTTCCAAAACAGTTCTGTGCTGTGCTCAGGATACATGAAAGAATTGTTTGAAATCAAGTTTGCTCACCTAAATTGAATTAAAAAATATACTGCGTGGCAGAGGTTTTAAATGGGCCCGGGCTCAAAGGGTTAATTGTTAACACATGCATTGGGTTTGCTCTATATATATTTTAATACCATTGTCACCCAAAAGGATGAGGCTCAGCTTCCCCAAGGAAGCAGGGGACTCACCTTAGCGAAAGCGTGACGATTGACAACAGAGCTGATGAAGACAGTGCTACTGGATCCCGGCACAGGCCATTCATACCCAGGTCCTGTAGAGTACATAGTTACACATCATGCAAACACATCATGCAAACACATCATGCAAACACGCCATGCAAACACATCATGCAAACACGCCATGCAAACACGCCATGCAAACACGCCATGCAAACACGCCATGCAAACACGCCATGCAAACACGCCATGCAAACACAAAAACAACGTGTCATATAAGACCGCACCCATGTATTCGTGAATATGGCCAATTGCCGGGAGCATCAAAGCAAAAGCATGATAGGCCAGCACCTTGCGCTTGAACGTCAAACTGGTGCCGAGCACATCCACTACTAGTGGTTTCTACCTGCTCTTGAAACTAGGGCATTATTGAATTACCACTCCAAGCATCATACTGTACACTCCAAGCCCCCTTGCTGCACACCCGGGTGAGGGCAAACATCACCCAGCATCCTCAGCCTAGTCAAACACATACAGTCAAACTATGATAAGATGTACCCCGTGGGCAGCAGGAAAGTGAACTTAGTATCCAATGTATTTCTTATCCTACAGTCCATTCAGAAAAAATGAACTTCTAGCTTTTGGCCATAAATGGGTCAGACGTTGAGTTTTTTTAGAATTTTTTTCTGCAATCCTCTATGGAATCCTCTTCCAATTACGTTTCTGAAGTTTTTTTCTCCAAAAAGCAAGCCATAACAAGAATAGGATTTCGGCCAGGTTTTGCCCCCAAAGCATTGAATTGGGAAAAACCATAAAAATCCAGGCCGTTTGACCCCGTCTGCAACAGTGCATTGTGCGGTTCGAACCCCAGTTCAGGTACCCTTTTTGGACCCTTTTTCAAATTTCAAATTTCACAGCACTGCACTGTGTACGATGAAATCACG